TGTAAATATTTATTGATTTTTGAGAAAAAGAAAAAGTAAAAAGAAAAAAAAAAACAACATCAACACAAAACACAAAAACCAAGAAAAAGAAAAAAAAAATATATACATTACTAAAATTTTCGCCAAAAACTATACATTATCATCTCTTTCTGGACTTCCTTCAGCTTGTCCGTTAATCTTTCATAGTAATAATTAAAGTTACGCATTTCTTTGCTTGTATTGTCATTGGACATCTTTTCCCCTTCTATTTACTTTAAACAATAACTCTTAAACATTCACAGTGCTTCTCTGAATCCCATTAGCGTTGTTTGTCCCTCACTAATGTGTTCCAGATAATCCACATATTTTCCCCAATCCTTAATGAACTTTTGGTCTCTTAAATGTCTGATCTTCCCTGTTAATCTATCCAGTTCCGCGTAGTCTAATAACTTTAATCTCCACTCCTCTATCATTGGGATTTCCTGCTTTTTCCACTTCTGAGCAAATATAACCCTTGCTGCGGTGGCAGCATAGTATACAAATTTACAATCTTTCTTTTTTATTTCATTCCCTAATATCCCTAATAGAAAGATTTCAGGTTTTTTTGTGAACGTATACTTCAATACCTTCTTTAGTTCGACATATATTTTTTCCCAAAATTCTCTCACTTTCCCGCACTCCCACCATATATGGTAAAAGGAGCCCTCCTTTTCTTTACACTTCCAACATCTACTGGATACCTTATACATTTTCGATAATTTCACAGGTGTTATGTACCACCTGTAGAACATCTTCATGACATTTTCCTTTACCGTTACACACGCAGTAAAATTTAGACCATCTTTCCATAATTTCTCCCAGTCTTCAAATTGTATGTTATGGCCCATATCTTTAGCCCAACGAGTCATTACTACTTTGACCTCCTCATCCCCTAAGTTCCAATCTAACAATATCCTATACATTTTGGATATTATTTTCACGTCATTGTTTAGGATCTCCTTCTGAAATTTTGAATCTTTGTCTGCATACCCTCTTTCTTTAATATCTTTTCTGAACCTTTCATTGACTTGGAAGTAGTGTAACCAATCATACACCTCACCCTTAACCTGCTCATATGGCTTTAGCTTCCATTTCCCATCTTCTTTAATTGATAGTTGACCATATGTTGCCCAATTACTTCTCATGTTAGTTTTCTTCACACTTATCGCTTCAAGAGGTGAGAGCCAATGTGGGACCTTGGGTTCTAATAGATTTTTATATCTTTCCCATATTTCGATAAGTGGACCTCTAAAAATATGATTTCCAAACCCCTTATGTACTTTCTTTTTCTCATACCATAGGTAGGCATGCCAGCCGAACCTATTATCGAAGCCCTCTAAATCGAGCAGCTCCGTATTCACTAAGTTTGCCCACTCTTTTGTCCAGCAAAGGCATGATGCCTCATAGTATAACTTAAGATCTGGCAGAGCAAAGCCTCCCCTTTCCTTTATATCTGTTAACAGTTTAAACTGAATCCTAGGCTTTTTGCCCTGCCAGATAAATCTTGATAAAACCCTTTGCCATTGTTTGAAGGTTCGGCTCCCCTTAATTATAGGAATGGTCTGGAATAAGAACAATAGTCTTGGTAATACATTCATCTTGATAGTGTTGATCCTTCCCCAGAACGACAATTTCAGTCTTCCCCACATTTCCAGGTCCTTTCTTATTTCTCTCCACATCGGTTCATAGTTGTTTTTAAATAAGTCTATGTTTTTAGGTGTTAACCAGATTCCAAGATATTTCACTTTTTTAACCACCCCTATCTGCGACTGGTGTTGAATTGTTTCTATTATGCTTTGGTCCATATTTTTAACTATCATTTTCGTTTTCCTCTTATTTAATCTGAAACCTGCCACTTCCCCAAACTGGTCTATTTCTTTTAGAATTTCTGCCATTGTAATTGTTGGGTCTTCCGTCATTATTACTAAGTCATCCGCAAAGGCTTTGGTCTTATACACATTTTGTCCAACTTCCACTCCTTTTATTTTTCCATTTTGCCTGATTGAATTTAGAAGGATTTCTAATACCATTATAAATAGTAGCGGGGAGAGTGGACATCCCTGTCTTGTTCCTTTCTGTACCTTTATTTCTTCTGTCACACTGTTATTTATAATCAATTTGGCCTTCTGCTCTGTATATATTGCTTTAACTCCATTATAAAAATCTTTGCCTACTTCCATATGTTCCAAGTTTTTCAACATGAAGTCCCATATCACGTTGTCGAATGCTTTCTCTGCATCCACAAACATCATTATAACTTGTTTGTCAATCCTGACAGATAGATATTCTAACATATTGACTATATTTCTTATGTTGTCCTTCATGTGCCTGCCTGGAAGGAAGCCGGCCTGATCTTTGTGGATAATCTCTGATAATAGACACTTCAGTCTTCTCGCAAGAATTCCTGCAAAGATTTTATAGTCCGTATTTAGCAGCGAGATTGGCCTGTAATTTTTCACCTGAGTTAAATCTGCATCTTGTTTAGGGATGAACGTGATAAATGCCTCTTTCCAGGTCTCCGGAATTTCTCCTTTACTTAAGATATTATTCATAGTCTCTTTCAGGGGATTCACCAAAATTGATTTCATCTCTTTATAATAGCCCGCCGTGAATCCGTCAGGCCCCGGAGCCTTTCCCCTCTTTAAGTCTTTAATTGTTTCCTCTATCTCCTCTATTTCAATTGGCATATTCAATCGTTGTTTCTTGTCTGCTGGAATTTTTTGCACCCTTTTATCTTTCAAAAATCTATCTATTCTCCTTAAATTATTTCTCTCCTTATTTTTGTAAAGGCCTCTATAATAATCCAGAAACTCTTTCCGGATTCCTTTTGGATCAGTTATTTCTTCTTCCTCTGCTATAATTCTATTTATTACACCTTGTTCTTTCCTCTTTTAATTTGCCATGCAAGCCATTTGCCTTGTTTATTTGAAAATTCAAAATTGTTTTGTCTTAATTTTTTATGTTCCACTCTACTTCTCTATTTATTATTGTGGCAAATTGGGCTTGTAAGATTTTGATGTTTTCTATTATTTTCTGACAATTAGGTTTCTGGATTAATTTTTCTTCATTATCCATTATCTGCTTTAAGATTTCTTCTTTACCCCTCTCTCTGTTCTTATTTTTAATCGCATTTTGTTGAATGAAAAATCCTCTTATCACTGCCTTGCTTGCGTCCCATACCACATTAATCTTTGTGCCCTTGTCACAGTTATCCGTAAAATAATCTGTTAGCTTTTTTTTTGCATTTTCTACAATCTTCTGGTCATCTAAGAGGTAATCCTTTAGTCTCCATCTAAAAGTTCTTCTTTCAAAACTCTCCAGTTCCAGTTCTATCGGACTATGGTCAGATATTACTTTCGGTCTTATTTCTATTTGTTTAACTCTTGGGCACAATTCACTCGAAATCCAAACCTGGTCTATCCGTGACAGCGATTGGTGTGGCCCAGAGTGGAAGGTGAACTGTTTATCCATAGGGTGTCTGAGGCGCCAGATATCTATCAAGTTGCAGCTTTTTGTCATTGAGAAGAAGGATTTTGGTAATTTCCCTTCTTTACTTGTTCCTTCCCTCAATCTATCCGCCTCTAAAGAGACCACGCCATTCATGTCACCCATTAAAATAATTTTTTGGTCCATGCAATCTAACAGTTTCTCTTCTAGATTTTTGAAAAAGTCTGTCTTGTTACCATTTGGTGCATAAACCCCGATCACGACTATGTTTTCACCTTGCCAATTAATCTGAATCGCCACCATCCTCCCCTCTTCATCTTTAAAGATTTGTTTTGCTTCAATCTTTTTTTAACATACACCACCACTCCCCTTTTCTTTTCCTTATCTGAGGATTCAAATTCATTTCCTAATCTTTTATTAATTAACACTTTTTTATGTCTTTTGGCCACATGCGTTTCTTGAAGACAGATGATATCCAAATTTTTCTTTTTCAGAAATTGTTCAATTTTATTCCTCTTTTTTTTTTCATTCATTCCATTAATATTCCAAGTCCAAATTTTTAACCCCATAGTACCTGACATCCACCTACGATTTATTTATCCTTTTAAATTCGCTGGTTCTTCTTCTTCCCTTTCTTCCTCTTCTTCTGATCTACTTCCACTCGACTCCTCTCCTTCCTCTAATTTTGAATCTCTTGGTGATCCTCCCTCTGCTCCCTTTACTCCATTCTCCTCTGATCTCAGCTCTTTATATTTCCTTAAAATTTACCAGTTTCTTCTAAGTTAGATAGTCTATGTCTCTTGCCTCTATAAGCGAATGAAATTCCTTCAGGAAACTCCCATCTGAATTCGATTTTATTCTTTTTTAGTGTCTGTGCTAGTGATTTATAACAATCTCTTCGTTTAAGTAGTCTAATTGGAATATCTTTGAAAATGATTATGTAATTTCCCTCTATATTCAGCCTCTTTTCCCTATTCTTTTGTAAAATCTTGTTTCTCATTTCTTTATCTCTAAATGTAATCAGGCAATCGCCTGTGAATTTCTTTGCTTTTGTTGTTTTTACACGCATTCTAAATGCATTCTGCACATTTTTTGCCATTTCCTCTACTGGTATGTCTAGCCATTCCGCCAGCTCTGTTATTAATCTTTCCTTAATATTTTCCCCTTGTATCTCTGGAACGGCTCTCAATCTAAGATTCACTTCCCTCTGTCGCAGTTCATTCATTGCTATAATGTCCTTCATCTCCTCCTGTGCTTTATTTAAATCCATCATTTCTACTTTAATCTTATCCTTATCCCGCTTAATATCCTTTAATTCCAATCTTGTCTTTTTTATTCCTTCCTCAACATTCTGCGTTCTCCTAGATACTTCTTTTATTTGACCTTTAAGTTCACTAACTGTTTCATCCATTTTTTTGTCCATTTTCCCAATTTTATTATCCACTTGTTCTAATTTATATTCTAAATTATTTTGACTCTGTTTAATTTCCACTAGCATCCTCATGATATCTGTCTTGGAGTCTGTCTCTTGTTTGGACCCCCTCCTTTCACCAGGGGTCCCCCCATTCATTCCTTTCTTCGCTGTATGAGACATCATATATTCTTATATTTCCTTAAATTACCTCGTTCCCATGTAACGCCCCTCACCCCCTCCACACCCTTCGTCTCTCCCTCCCCACCAAAGTTCCTTTTTTTTCTTTTTATTATTGACACTAGACAAAGCTATTTCTTCCCCATATAAGTATATACCATTCATTCAATATATAGTTCTTGTTGTGACGCCTTCTTGCCTCTATTCAGGCTATTCCAAGTGTCCAAGTGTCCAGTTGAACACACGTCCAATAAAGGGGTTGTTGTTGTTTTCCTAGGACGCAAAGGCTGCAATGCTGTATACCCGCTTACTTGGGAGTAAGTCAAGGGAGGCGTGAGTTTTGAGTAAGCAGTGCTTAGGGTTGCAATGAACGCCTGCGTTCTTCCAAGCAGCCAAATCCTCTGGCTACGAGAGGTTCACAGTCTCGAGAAGAGAGATGGGGGTGTGCAGAAGCAGTTGAGGGTCAGATGTTTTTAATCCCGCCACTGGAGGTCTCCAAGTCTCTTCAAAATAACACTGTAGCACTACTTGGAAGTACTGCGATATCGTATATCTCCCACGGTTCAGTCACACGCACAGAGAAACCCCGTAGGACAGGCAAGTGGAAGATAGTACTTAGTATTATCAGGGACCCAGTGTTTATATATTTTTCCCACTACGGAAGTGGTTGGAGTTATTCTCTTTTTCATTTATCCCGCTTTTCTCAGTCCACTACGCTCAGAAATTTTTTAATGGCGACGGAGCCTTCTCTTCCGGTTTCACTCCCCTTCTGTTTCAATACCAAAAAGTAGAGAGAAGCGCCCTTCCGCTATTCAAATCCTCCGTTTCTTCAAGGACTTTTAATCCCACCCGTTGTCCCTGGTCTCCTTTTCCTCCCACTTCCCTTAATTCAAAGTTGCTACATATAAGATACTTTTAGGGAGAAAATAAATGCGGAGAAAACAAAGTATCCGCTAAGGCAACTCACTTTCACTTTCCCAGCACTGGAGTCGCGTTGCGTCAAGGCTGATTTCGGCTCCCAGCTGAACTCCGTTTATATCTTTCTGTTACTTCCAGGCTTCCTTGTTATTGTTATTAGCAAAATTGAATTAGTTTGAAGCCGGAGTCCTTAGTTTTGAGAATGTAGCGCTTTCTCGACAAGCTCGGGGCTTCGCTATTAGGAGGTCGGCAATGGCTTCCCTCGACCCGCTGAACAACACCGCCGCTCTTTTCACTTCTTTTGAAGCTACCTGGCGGCCGGGTTGGTCGCTTTCTGGTCGGAACGGGAACCAGACCTTCTGGACACCCTCCAGAAGTTTTTCGGGGGGCCTCCGCGCCCTGAAGCACCCCCTAATCCTCCAAAATAGCCCGGGGTTTCCCTCTCGGTCAAACCCCCGCTTGCGACGGGATCGCGCTGCACCGGAAGTCCAATTTTTGTATTATATTGTAAGTCATTTTAAGATTCCATTTCATTAAAAAGTGACTGAGTAATGATAATAAAATAAAATAAAATAAATAAATAAATACTATTTGCAGGATCAGAGGCAGTTTGTTATGGAAAACCTATTGCTATGGAACAATGGGAGAGGGCTACTGTCTTCCTGCCCTGTTTGAGGGCTTCCCATGGGCATTAGCTGGCTGCCTGTAGGGTCAAAGAGGATGCTGGACTAGACAGGACCTTTGCTCTGAGCCAGCTCAGAGCCAAGCACAATATCCCTTAGATCCAGCAGAGGGCGCATGGAGAATGTCCTGTGTACTGACAACCACAATAAGATTCCCACAGCAATTTCCACTTGAAAAAAATTACTGTTTTTACTAATATGTTTCTGAGCACAATTCAAAGTGTTGGTGCTGACCTTTAAAGTCCTAAACAGCCTTGGTCCTGTATACCTGAAGGACCGTCTCCACCCCCATCATCTAGCCCGGAAACTGAGGTCCCGCTCCGAGGGCCTTCTGGCAGTTTCCTCACTGTGAGATGTGAGGTTACAGGGAACCAGGCAAAGAGCCTTCTCGGTAGTGGCGCCCTCCAGTAAAATGTCAAGGAAACAAACAACTATCTGACTTTTATAAGACATTCGAAGGCAGCCCTGTTTAGGGAAGTTTTTAATGTTTGGAGTTGTATTCTGTTTTTAGTGTTCTGTTGGGAGCCGCCCAGAGTGGCAGGGGAAGCCCAGCCAGGTGGGCAGGGTATAAATAATAAAGTATTATAAATTATTACTGGTTAGATTGTAAAAGAACAAAACCACCACCAGCAGCTGCAGCTCTTACCTGCCCCCAAGCTCATGCCCAACTCATTTCCAGAGTTCTGAAAACTATTTTTAGAGCACACCTAAGTTTGTGATAATCAGTATAGGAAGAGGGGGAAATAAGAGCAAGGGGAGAGAGAAATGGCAAAGGGAGCATAATCCCCAAACCTGACTTTGAGCCATCGACCCTAGTTAAGGGCCAGCTAATATTATGTCTGCGGAAACACCAAGAAATTAAAAGGGAATCTTTGGCAAGACTTCCAGTTTCTAGGAGATAGGATTTTAGTGGCTTTGCTGCCCCGCTACTTCAGGATGTGAGTATATTCTCCTTCCACCCTACACCTGCCCTGCATTCCTGCTCTCTGTCTAAGGAACTTGCTAAGCTGGTCTAAATTCTAAGGAAACTTAAAAGCCACCATCAGAATTACGCAAGCTCAGCAGACAATGAACATTTGAAAGTTGAGACCTGGCCTTATTTTAAGAGCCGCATCCAATAGTGTTGTTACAGTGTTTGGAATCCCAGAGCCATATGGGCATGGCCAATTTACACATTTTTTATTCTGTCATTGCTCTTCCAGGTGACGATCAAGTAGGGAAGGATTCATATCACAGTTGCAGAGCAAAAGCTTCCAATAGTGTTGTTTTTGTTGTTGTCATCTTAAAAACATAAGACGAGCTTGTTGGATCAGGACAATGGCCCATCTAGTACAGGACCTGCCTGGGTTTTGTGATCTTTGAGGGAAACCCTTCTCTGAGTTCCACCACCCTTACAGGCAGGCTTGATGGGGATGTGAGAGGGCCTTTTTGGTGGCTGCTCCCAGGCTTTGGAACTCCCTCCCTAGAGAAGCTAGACTAGCTCCCCCCTTGCTGTCATTCCACTGGCAGGTGAAGACGGCTTTATTCAGACAGGCTTTGGGGAACTCACTGCTTTTAATAAAAGGGCTGGTGCCATGCCATTCTTGCAATTATTGGTATGGTTTTAATAGATGTTATAAATGCATGCAAGTTTTAATCCTATTAATGTTTAATTTTTAAAAAATGATTTTCTCATGTTTTTAGCAGTTCTTATTTGTGTACGGGCAATCTACCCGGAAGATAAAATTGTATTTCGAGGAGTTAATGATCTGACACAGTTGCCCTCTTCCTGCCCTCTGTTCCTTCTTCCTCTCCTTGTCTCTTAAGTTCTTTGAGGGCATGAGAGCAGCCTTTAATGTCCTAATCTGTTGAAGGAAGTGATAGGGCTAGGTACCTTCTTTGATGCTGGACATTGTTTGGAGAAAGTGAGGCATTGGGAGAGGGTGGCTAATGAATAATATGCACGTAGCCAGTTGGGCAAACCACACAGGCTAGCTATCTATAAATCGGATGGTTGTGGGCAGAGTTTTAGAGATAAGCTCATGCACGGACTGACGGTTGTGGGGCCGTGCAACCTGAGGCTACTTGGGGAGTCACTTCGCCGCTTCTTGAAGGCTTCCAAGTGGCAGATTGAGGTGCTTGCCTGGTGTTTAGAATAAAATCTTTAATCTTCTCACTCACTTGTGTTTTGTATTACTTCTGAATCCAATTTTAAAAGAATCACCTTGCATTTGGCAAGACAATTTGTAAGCTGCCCAGAATCCCATTGGGGGGGAAGGCAGGGTATAAATAAAGATAATCCTGTTCTCACAGTGGCTGACCAGATTTCTGTGGGACAAGCTGGACATGAGTGCAACACCACTCTGCCCACCTGCGATTACCATCAAGTGATATTCAGAGGCATAATGCCATTGTAGAGCACAGCCATTGTGGCTGGCCGCCACTGATTACCTTGCCTTCCGTAAATTTGCCTAATCCTCTTTATCAGTGGCGTAGCGTGGGTTGTCAGCACCTGGGGCAAGGCAAGTAATTTGCACCCCCTAACCCTGAGTGAGCCAGGCAGGGGCAGAGAGCTGCGAGTGCGAGCGCCCCCCCCCCGATGTTGCGCCCGGTGCGGCCGGCCCCCCCTGCACCCCCCACGCTACGCCACTGCTCTTTATTATTTATTTAGATTTCTTGCCTGCCCTTTACCACAAGGTGCCAGGGTGAACTACAGCCATTTCAAAATACAATTATTTAAAACCGTTTAAAACAAATTACAGTCCCAACAATTTGATGGGCCCTAGAAATATACATGAGGGACGCGGGTGGCGCTGTGGGTTAAACCACAGAGCCTAGGACTTGCCGATCAGATGGTCGGCGGTTCGAATCCCCGCGACGGGGTGAGCTCCCGTTGTTTGGTCCCAGCTCCTGCCCACCTAGCAGTTTGAAAGCACCTCAAAGTGCAAGTAGATAAATAGGGACTGCTCTGGCAGGAAGGTAAACGGCGTTTCCGTGTGCTGCTCTGGTTCGCCAGAAGTGGCTGAGTCATGCTGGCCACATGACCCGGAAGCTGTCTGCGGACAAGCACCGGCTCCCGGCCCATAGAGCGAGATGAGCACGCAACCCCAGAGTCGGTCACGACTGGACCAAATGGTCAGGGGTCCTTTACCTTTACCTTAGAAATATACATATATCTCAAGTGTCAAAGGCCAGGGTAGAGGGTTCCAGGTGCAATCTCTGGTGTCTGCTGACAGGGCTCAGAAAGACCCCCGCCTGAAGTCCTGGAGAACTGTTGTTGCCGCTGAGGTAACATATGAATTGGTCCTACACCAGGTATTATTGCTTGCACACTGGGCAATTAAAAGGGGCAAGAGGAAACTAATGAATGGCAGGGTGGGGCAATAATTGGGTCTCCCAACATAAACGTACCTGTTTCTGATGTGGTAATATATTGCAAGAGCTACACTGTAAAAGAAAACAGAGTGAAAATACAGAGTTAGTGATCTGGGATACAAATTTAATGTTTTCTGCAAAGTCACATTGCTAAGCTTTGACAACCATTTTTAACCTTCCGAGAAGGCTCAGACAACCTGTAGGAACTGTTTCTTGCCAAGGGAGAGAGCAGGGATCAATAAACAAAGTGGTGGATGTTAACCTGTAGCACGCAGGGCTAGCTCCCATCAATCTGCACAGCGCTAAATAAAGTGCTTCTTCAGATCTTTGAGAGAAGCGCATTTTAAAAGAAATTGATTCAAAAGAGGAGAGGGAATTGAAACCGCCAGCGGTGGCAGAGGTCTTCCATGTGCCGAGAGCAGAATCAGGCGGGCGGGGGGCAGGTCAACCTGCCTCACAAGTAGTTCAAGTGGTAGCTTGGGAATGCAATACTTTTAGGGGCATCAGTGAAACTAGCACACCAGCAAATCTAGTGAAATTGGAGCGGTGCATCCCAATATCCTTTGCAGCACCACAAGCAAAGTGTAGATACTTCGACTTGCAAAATATTTTGGATAGGCCATGGAGTTGTAATGGGGAGGAACAAAAGTGGAATGGGAAAAGGGGACAAATTGCAGAAACTGACAGGGATCCAGCGCAGAAACTTACAGAGAGGTCAGATGCAATTGCAGCAAAGAGGACAATTTCTGAACTGAGTGAAGGAGGGAGAGAGAGAGAACAGAAAGAGAGACCAGCAATAGGGCGTACACTTGGTATAAGGATATCAGTTTGGGGAGAAGAGTTTTATCAATTGACTATGGAAAAGGAATAATAGCAGGTAATCTAGAGGAGGAAGCAGTAAGAACTATTGCTCTAACTGCTCAGAGGAGATTAACAGAAAACCTTAATGGAGCAGAAAAATAGAGAAGATATTTTATAGTATCTACTTCTTGAACAACAATCTACTTATCAACATTTTACTGTTTGCTAGTCTTATCTGGGCTTGCAACTTCCCACTGTGTCCTTTATAGACGTGTGTGTGTGTGTGTGTGTGTGTGTGTGTCTAGCTAGATTTTCTCCTCAAAAGGACTTTTACAAGAAAACCACTATTTTTCCAATGCATCATGAGTTAACACAGACAGCACAGTCCAATTATACTATGATTTGCCTTTTATGGGGTTTCAAAAGCTTTTGGGAGCAAACTGGGGAGGAGAGGAAAGAAAGGACACAAAGGGGTTATTTATGCCTCTTCTAGAAGTTTGCACAATTTTTTACAAACAAATATGCTAGCATTTCGGTGTCATGGTAATGGCAAAGCTCAACCACAACTTTTGAATATAAACATCAATGATGTTAATGGGTCAAAGGTTTATGGTGTGTTTGCATCCACATGTACATTTTGAAAGTCTGAGCAGATAACTAAAAACCTGACTGCAGCAGCAAAATCAGTTGTTTCCTTGTAGAAAAACAAATGTTTGTGTTCATTGATGGCACAGTTCTTTCACTATAGCAGTTTCACAAGTGTACAATTTGTGTACAGCATACTTGAGCTGTACACTCATATAGTTATTCACATGGAAAGCTCAACGTGTACACAATCTTGTGTTGCTGTATTCACAATAGCTGAACTGTACAAAAACACTCTTTCACACAAACATCTGTATGTGTGCAGGGATAGCTTGTACCTGTGTTCAGTTTAATGTTTAAAAAAAACAAAACATAGAAGACTTCTGAAGCCAAATGTTGACTTCAAGCATTCAGACCAGATCTGAACAAGCCAGCAAGCATGTGGTTTATTACTGGAGCGCTTCATTCAAAGCAAATCCAGCTGTTTCAGACTACAACTGCCACCAGTTCTAGCCTGCCTGGCCAAATGGGCAAGGATGATGGGAGATATACTGCAAAAACATCTGGATAGCACCCACCAGGTTGGGAAAGGCTGGATTAGGTCCGTCCTCCACTTTTGGAGTGCCTTTGTTATAGAAGCAATTATGCAGAAATAAGTAAACAAAAACAAAAAAATGCCACCATACCCACCTTTTAATTGTATACTTGAGGTTGGGCTGAGTGACTGTGCTGTCATCCAGGAAAATAGTGGAACAAGAACTGTATTTCCTTCTCAGTTGACCAGGAGCATGCTAGAAGGCAAACATACAAGAATAGTGGCAGTGACATTGGACCAAAGGCATTCCTTAGACAGCACAACATTGAGTAAACAGTTCCTCTCTGTCTCTTGCACACACACGTAGGCACACTCAAGTCAACAGGGGTCTGGGAATTCTTTTTTTCAGCGCTTGGGTACCTCATGAATCACACAGAAATGAGACTTTGCGAGTGGCTCAGTAAAGCGAATGGGGATAATTTGATTCAGACACACACACACACACACACACACACACAAATGTTTGCATGGGTTTGTAAGTAGAACGCAACCATCACACTTTCATTTCAAAATACAATGACTAAAGGACTGAGGAAATTGGTTTACTTATTATTTATTTCTTCAAAGGCATTTCTAAACCCCTTAGTATTTTTTAATTTTCTAAGCGGTGTACTACAACAACAACAACAACAACAACAACAACAACAAAGCAACAAACAATATTATTAAAACAAAAACAGTAGTATAAAAGCATATAAACACAAATAAAAGGAGGAATGCAGGGAATTGATGTAAATTATTTTTAAGGGTCTGGTTTTATGGGTCAGGAAAAGCCTGGGCAAAAAAAGAGGTCTTTACAAGATGACTGAAGCAACTGATAGTTGACATTTCACGTGTGTGAGATAAAAAGCCATTCTATATTACAGGGGAAACAGCAGAATGTACCTGCTTTTTATTCACCACCCTATGATATTCTGCAGGCTGCAGTATCAGGAGTAGAAATTTCGAAATGATCTAAGTGGTCTACACAGGATCAGATTATGTTTCAAGTAACTTGCTCCAGAGTTGTTCAGTTGTTTTGTTAACAACAAAACTGTGAACCTGACCCAGCAGCTCATCAGCAGTAGCTGATCACAAAAATACTCCACATAGCAAACCCAGCTGCTGTCCCTCTCCTGAAGAAGGTCCTCCATCAGAGCAATCAAAACCGATTTTGTCCCAAAACCAGGCCTGAACCCATACTGAAGTCAATCAACATACCGTATATACTCGAGTATAAGCCGACCTGAATATAAGACGAGGCACCTAATTTTAGCACAAAAATTGGGAAAACTTATTGACTCGAGTATAAGCCGGTTCACCACACCACAAACCTGGTGGTGGCGGCGGTGGAGGAGGAAGAACAAGCAGCCCAAAAAGGCTGCTTTCAGGCTGCTCGTTCCTCCACCGCTGACAGCGGCAAAGGCAGAGGAAGGAGCAGCCTGAAAGGACCCTCACTCGAGTATAAGCCGAGAGGGGCTTTTTCAGCATGAAAAATGTGCTGGAAAAGTCAGCTTATACTCGAGTATATACGGTAATCAGTTTCCTTCAAGAGTTTCTGCAGCTGGACTGCTACCACCTGCCAAAACACCTTACCCAGAAAAGGAGCATTTGTTACTGTGGCAACACACACACACACCAACCACTCCTGGACCCACCTGTCCAACTCAGCTAGCTTAAATAAAGTTACGATGCACAGGGGTCGAGGGAGCATGTTGTACAAGAGCATTTGGTCTACCATTAAACTGATCCCACAAGACCAGGCAAGAAGTTGTGGATCTATTATAATGGGAGCATTCAACTCAACAAGACGACAAGTTATTTTATTGCCTAAGTTCCAATACAGTGGCACCTCCAGTTACGAACTTAATTCGTTCCGGAGGTCCGTTCTTAAGCCGAAATCGCTCGTAACATGAGGTGCGCTTTCGCTTATGGCGCCTTCCGCTGCTGCCACGCTGCCGGCACGCGACTTCCACTCACATCCTGGGGCAAAGTTTGCAACTGGGAGCATCTACCTTTGGGTTAGCGGAGCTCAAAACCCGAAGCATTCGCAAGGAGGACGGTAAGTCCACTCACCACATGGAATAACTCTGCTGGCCAACTACTCAAGGTTGTGATGGAAACACCAAATTAGCCTTCTTTGCCCCTTTCACCACCACACAATAGGTATGACTATGCAATCTACCACATGCCCAATCAACTTCAGGCATCTCTGTACTCAGTCAACACTTCTCCATGAGACAAAAGAAAGGAAGATTAGAAACCAACAACAACAAAAGAGGTTTATCCAGCAAAGGGATTTTTCTTCAAGGAGGTCATCTTGGTTTACCCCATCTTCAGAAGTAAACAAATACGTGTCTTTCAGCAGAGACTTTGAAACAATTTCTTAAATTGGTTTTCTTTGGTCTTCAAACTGAAAAGCAGATAAGACACCTATGCCCACCCTACATAGCTAACAATGGATGCTATATATATTCACAGCCCCATCTATGCCATGTGTAATGGGTACACTACAAGGATGTCCTCATCCATGTTCTCACTAATCCACTCCCACTCCCAATGAATGACATGAGAAGTAAGGGGTGTCCTGCTGCTATTTCATCATAACCTTTATTCCAGGACCAATAATGAGCTGGGTAATATCCAGAACAGGGTAAAGGGTGGATTAATAGTAGGAATGCACCCATAAAGTTTACCTATTACAGTCCACCCAGGGCTGCATTATCAAGACCCAAACAGTCTACTGGATGCTGCAGCCAATAAATGTGCAAGTGGTGAACCAGGCTTAATTGTGGAGCTATTCATGATCGTTGGGGCTGATGGGAGTTGTAGTCCAAAATATTTGGAGAGAACCAGGCTGGCAAAGGCTTTGTGCTAAGCAATCAGAGGATGGTGTGTAAATATTGTAGAAATACCTATTATCTGTGGTGAAAGAAGGAAATGACTTAGGTGCCTCGCAACGTTTGTCCCACCACCTGCTACTTTACACATCTAAGCCTCTGAACACATATTAGAACCAGCAGACTGACCCTTAAGAGAAGAAAAAACAGATCAAGCTGGCAAACAGCTGAATTCAAATCTCATCGAAAGCTCTACATAAAAAAAAAAAAATCCAACACATTTATACAGAACAGATGAAGCTGAATCATATCGTGTTGGACTAGCAGTCCACCTCAAGCCCAATATTGTCCATACTGCCTGGTAGCACTCTCTTAAGGCTACTCCTACAGATAACTGAACAAGGGACATTGGGATGTGAACCTAGGAACCTTGCAAATGCAAAGCATGCACTTTATTACTGAGGTATAGCTACTCCACACATTTGGATCATCATTAGTAAAAAGCAGCATTTTTATATTGAGTTACCATCTTGCATAAATGGGACGCGGGTGGCGCTGTGGGTAAAACCTCAGTGCCTAGGACTTGCCGATCGCATGGTCTGCGGTTCGAATCCCCACGGCGGGGTGAGCTCCCGTCTTTCGGTCCCAGCTGCTGCCCACCTAGCAGTTTGAAAGCACCCTTAAGTGCAAGTAGATAAATAGGTACCGCTTTATAGCGGGAAGGTAAACGGCGTTTCTGTGTGCTGCGCTGGTGCTGGCTCGCCAGAGCAGCTTTGTCACGCTGGCCACGTGACCCGGAAGTGTCTTCGGACAGCGCTGGCCCCCGGCCTCTTAAGTGAGATGGGCGCACAACCCTAGAGTCGGACACGACTGGCCTGTACGGGCAGGGGTACCTTTAACTTTACCATCTTGCATAGCCAATGCTACAAATTTAATGGATCAATGAGGAACCATATACTGGGAAAGATGTTCCATCTACCTTGGTCATGGATAGTGGTGGGAGAAAGGCTTCACTTGCTTCTGGGTCCCAATCCTCCCTGGGATTTTGTGCCCGCCCTATACAGTTTGAGACCCATTGGTTTTAAGATAAACAGCACTGGGACTTGCAGAAACTATTTCAATTGAGCATGAACTCTATGGCACTGCTATCTTCAACGCTACCACAATAGTATTTATTTCTGACACTTTTGTACGATGCCAGCAAACATCAGCACCTCTCAGTTGTCCTTTCCACATTGCCATTTTAAAAGCACGCTGTCTGTATTAGGAAGAATGCAAGAAAGCACTGCTCTGGAATTACAGTATAGGGGAGCCAACTTGCACTGCTCAGAGATGCACCATGCACTTACGGAGGAAAAACATAAAATACAAAAGCACAAACCAACAACTCTAAACAAAAGTTTGTCAGAAAGTGTGGACACCAAGTCCACTGCTACTTTATCCAAAACTATTAAGGGGCTTTACAGATAATTGCTTTCCTTGATCTCCTGGGCTTCTACTCTCCTCTTCCACTATTTCCTTCTTTATTTCCATCTTCCCATAGAAGTAAGAAGTGTAGAGTTGGAAGAGATCCCGAGGATCATCTAGTCCAACCCCACATCTAGACTACAAACAACCTTTATCCAGGAAACTGGTGAAGATTTCTTGGAGTGCTGTTCAGAAAGAAGATTCCACCTAAACATTAGGAAGAACTTCCTGACAGTAAGAGCTGTTCGACAGTGGAATTTGCTGCCAAGGAGTGTGGTGGAGTCTCCTTCTTTGGAGGTCTTTAAGCAGAGGCTTGACAACCATATGTCAGGAGTGCTCTGATGGTGTTTCCTGCTTGGCAGGGGGTTAGACTCAATGGCCCTTGTGGTCTCTTCCAACTCTATGCTTCTATGATTCTATGATTATGAACCAAGGCAACTCAGAAAACCTTCATCAGATTCTGGGAAAAGTTGCTGTGAGGGTTTTTTTTAAGTCTCTGGGAACATTGCTTCCAGGCTTAGAGACTTTGATAAGCTGGTAACAATCTGATAAGCTTATAGACTTAGAGACTCTGGTAAGCTGAAGAAAGGGTGTTGGCTACTTAAATACAATCATCATCACCATCTCCCCTGTGCTCCTTCAAGATATCTTTTTGTAAAAATAAATAAAAACCAAAATGAAGCCGGGACTACTAGCACAAGAGGAAGTGGCAGCCTTGGCTCTGGTTCAGCTCATGTCTGCTGGATGGGTGCCCATTGCAAATGATTGCAGTCTAAAAACATGCATAATGAACCTGCAATAACCGGACTCAGGCCAAATGCCATTAGGTGGCACCCTTTGGGGCAAATATAATGACAGTTGACTGGTATATGTTGGTAGAGTGCCACTACCACACACCCCTCCTCCTCTTCCTCCTCCTTTTGAGCTGTGGCTAGTCTTACTGTGCCCTTACTGTGCCTCCAGAGGAAATATATAGGAGGGGGAGAGGCTCCGCGCCTTCATGAAGAGGGCCCACAGCATGAAAAGGAGGTCACCAGAGGGTCCCATGTCAAGCCCTCCCTCCCTCACAAACCCCCCAGTGCAGCTGGCCCTGATCTGACTGCAAGAAAATACTGGTAGAAGTTGTTTCTACATTATTTCAGAAGGAAAGAAGAGCCCCACTGGTTCTGACCAAAGGTCCATCCACTCTGGACCTCATGTCTCAGAAGTCTGGCAATTGCCTTCTTCCCATCCCGTTACCATCAGGAGCATGTAACAAATGGCATTGCATCTCAGGTTTGAAAAGGATGCAGTACATATCCCAGGGCATGGGAGAGTCCATGGCTGTGGGTAGTGTTATAGGAATTCTAAGGTCTCAAATATAGAATAAATGTTGGTAATTGCACAAGGTAAACACACATACATAAGTATATAAACCACATGTCTAAAATAGTACAGGAGAGCAATCCAAAAGCCACCTTGGCTCTTCTAAAGATGCTAGATATTTCCTCTACCTCCTTAATCCCCCTTGCCTGAGAACACGGGGAAGTTCCTGAAGAGATTCCTCTCCTGTATCTATGAACCTCCATTGTATTAATTTTCATTGTTTGCCCAGATGCTCTGGACAAAGGACGTCTGACAGGCATTCTGATTGTCTTATCAAACGCTCATGTTTTGTGTAAACTGTGTCTGGAACTATGTGAAACTTGCTAAATCCTCAGGGATATCACACCTTGGCCTGCCTGAGCCACAGAAACCCCACCTTATGTGTGATGTCATTTCTGACTGTTTGTAGAGGGAATGTCCCTTCTTCTCCACTCCAAAATGCAAACCCTTAAGAGAGATGCTTCTTCTTGGTTCTGGGTCTCTCTTGTCTCCTTGCTAGGAGGGGAGGGAACTCTGTTGCAACAGAAAAATAAAAGATCTGCATTGCTTTCACTGCCTCCTGCCTCCATTCATTCATCCATCTCTAACTGATCATGGACTTAGGGGACTCAGTCCCTTGGGGAGTTGGGCAGCAAAAGCCAACCACCCCTATTTTTCTATATCAGTTGAAATGCAGTTCCTGTGCTGCCAAGGTAGGAGCTGGAACTTGTGTCGGCAGAGTCAAGCAAACTTACAAGCCAGGAAGGAAACTTCCCCTTTCCTATCAGCAATGGCAGAGCCATCTAAAGCCACAAAAGGAAATGTGGGTCTCAAATCAGCAGCCTTACCAGCCAGACTCAAGCACCTTCCCTTCTGGGGGCACCAAGGCAGCATGCCTGCTGAAGGATTTGAGGACTGAACTGGGACCCAGGGTCACTGCTAGGCAGTATCAGATGCCCCAGCAGATGATCTGGTGGACCAATGCAGCTTTTCCTGGTCCTAGGAAGTGTCAGCCTTGAGGACCGATTGCTCTTCAGTTTCACCAACTTATCCCCAGGTAAAAACATCCCGCCAACCTAAGTTCCCATTTTCCAGCCTTCCAAATACTCTGCCTCTGTTAACCTGCCTCTAACTACACTGCTTCTGGCTTACCCTGGGCCCAGTAAGTAGTATCTGAACAGGGCCTCAAGATCACAAGCTGTGGTTGTGGAAAGCATTGTACGACAGCAGGCAGAGAAAATGGAACCAGTGGTTTGTGTTTTGAGGATCAAGTTGCATTTGCCAGAAACTGAGAAAAAAGGCACAGCTTGGAAAACAAGAGTGACCTTCCCCAACACCTGCTTTCAAGTGGCCTTTAAAGTACAAAAGAAAATCACAAAGGAAATGACCAGGAACCAAAGTTCTGACATTATTGCTAGGGGCATTTTGTTGTTTTGTCTTTGCCACAACGCATTTGGAACTCTGGAGATATATTGCTGCTGCTATTTGGCACACGGGTTCACCACTGTGCATCATTTTTGAACTTTCAAAACCCCACTGTTTAGCTCTGTTGTAGCAGCTATTCTACTTTATTTTATTTTTTGTGGGGGAAATGTCTGAACAGCTCTAATCTTCAGCAGAATGCCTCTTATCTAAATCAGAACAGTTTGCAGCCTGAGAGTCACTGATAAAAAGATTTTTAAAATGGACAGGCTCAGAAGTACTTGTAGTTCACTTTGCTGTTTTATCCATTCCTTTATGGCTCACAATTTTTATTCTAATGTTAACAGAATATGGGGTATTTTAAGTTGTGTGCGGGGGTGGGAGGGAAAAGCCTTGATATCTCAACCCAAAGTACTGAAAGCCGAATAACAGATGACACAGTATCAAAAACCAGGTGGGTTGAAAAAAAGGGGTATGAAAAGGTTTGGAGAGACAAAACAAACAGCAGTTGAGATCAGAGTACTTCAGACTTTAAGCATCATGTAAAAAAGCACCACAAGGCAAGGAGTCATTTTCAAGTATGATATGCTTTATTCAGTGAGGCAACACAGTCCAAAACTGGCTCTGATCCATACAAATCTTGGCCTTTTTTCCACTATGGTTTGGAATTATGTCCAAACCCAAGAGCCTTTGCTTAACCATGTATTACTTGCCCATCCAACCCAGATGCTTGCCAAGCTGCAGAGGCACAGGTAAGAACAGCTGGAAAATAAAACCGTGAGTAGACTAGAAGTAGATGGGGGACAGTTGGAAAAAACAAACTTTGGAAGAACAAGCCATGGTTTGTTTGCTCATCTGCAAGCAGAGCAGAGTCAAGATATTTTGCCAACTGGTGCAAAGGATAAGATGGTGCCCTTCCTCATTCCATATAAAGATGCTGACTGGACTGGCAGCTGAATCTTCTTTCAACCCTGGTGGCAGGATAGCATCCTTCATAGCATCTAAAGTCAGTAGGCCAGTTTGGGTGGAGTCAGGACAGGAAATTTAGCATACACAGCTCTTTCATCCCATAGAGGGGAATGGCTGAGGGCTTAGGGGGAACAGCCAGAGGGTTGCTGTCACTGCCCCCCAGCACCTGCCAACTAAGGTGATTACTTTGCCTGATGGCAAGGTCAACCCTATCTGTGACAACTTGCAGTTTGCTGACCGAGCCATGGTTAAACAAACCATGGCTTCTTCACATTATGTGCAGGTACAGCTATTAATTTATATCAGTTATCAGAAAATAGCCCAAGTTAACCCTAGACAATGCAATGTCAAACTCATTTTAGTAGAGGGCTAATATCCACCGCAGATTTTTTTAAAGAGAGAAGCCACTGACATATACTGTTTGCTGAAAAGATCTTGTAGCATCTTGGCTCCAGCTAGAAATCCTTAGTTACGCTAGCTCAGGAGCATGGGGAAGCCAAATTGTTCTTCAGAATTACTGTCATAAATGACTCAGCTACCTTGATTACATTTAAGTTGTTTTCTTCCTTCAGCAGGCCTGATAATATTTATTTATTCATCCTTTAATGAGCACCACTGCTGGAAAGAAAGGAAGGAAGGAAGGTGAGGCTTTATGAATTTTGGCTGACGTGATATGAAAGTTCAGCAAACAACATCATCAGGGGGTGATTTTCAACAAGAAGGCAGCACCAGGAGCAAAGAGTTAACCTCTCTGCATGCTACAACTCCTAAGCACACACAAACACACACACACACACAGAGAGAGAGAGAGAGAGAGAGAGAGCGCAGAAAAAATGAAACTGCAAACACATTAACAAAATTACTTATATCAACATGGGGGTAAGGAAAAGAAAACAGGAGAAGCTGCTCTCAGGTTTTAAAAGATTTTTTTTTTCATATTTCTTCCTGGTTCTGCAAAACAGTATATATATGAGGAAAGCATATGGACTGTTGTCAAAAGATGAATTTTCACTTGCTGGAGTTTCACCTACATTTATATATTTCGTAAAAGGCCAGATATTAGGTTTAATATTATGTAAGTTTCTAGGAGATGGGTGGGGGGCACTAGGGAAGGGAGGGAGGAAGAGAAAGAGAGAAAATGCAACACTTACATTCCTATTAAACCCTGATAACAAAGAAGTCTCACCTAATCCTAGGACCACCAGTTAGTAAATGTTTAGTACTTAGGTACACGCCCTTCAGTAAAAATACAAGCACTTCAGTTCCATTATTATTATTGTTGTTGTTGTTGTTATATCCCAACCTTCTTCCCAAAAGGAAGCACAGGGCCGTTAACCTCATAAAACAATTCATTAATCTTAAAACACCTGAAACATCAACTAGATCTAGTTGATGTTTCAGGTGTTTTAAGATTAAAAATAGCAGTAGCAGAAAATACTCCCCTAACACCAATCATACCCAAAGGCATGGATAAAAGGTGAGCTTTCAAATTGTGCCTGAACATAGCCAGAATGGGCAACAAGCAGATTTCTCATGGGAGGGAGTTCCATAGGTGGAGTACTGCCACGAAGAATGTTCTGCCTTGTGTGGCTGTCCTCCTTGCCACCTTCACTAATGGAACCACGATCAGAGGACTTCCCACTGATCACAAAGTCAGGTTGGAAGATACTGAGAAAGGCACTCCTTCAAATCCTTGGGCCCCAAGTCATTCAGGGCTTTGTACACTAGTATGAACACCTTGAGTCAGGTCAAGTAGATACACTGGCAGCCAGTATAGTGTTTTGAGAATTAGGGTGGAGATAATTCCCTCTTGCTGACCCCAAAACCAGCCAGGCAGCAGCATTTAGCAGCATTCACAGCTTCTGGAACTTTTTCAAGGGTAGCCCCACTGACAGCACATTGCAACAGTCTATATAACAGGTTATTGGAGCACAGATAACTGATCATGATAGATGACACATGCATATTTAAATTACTGCTTTGCTTGACTACACAGCAAGATGGCAACAGATCAGGTCTCAAGTTGAATGCATTTTGCTGAGAAAAAATGATAATGTATATATATGTATACTATTCACAACTGAGCCTAAAATTCATCTGCAAAACCATTCAGCTCATTTAGCTTCGTCACCCTACTTTTCTGTTCTAATATGTGGCAAGAAGAAGAGATAAGAAAAGGGCATCTCCAGTCTAAAACTGCATCCCCAGTCTAAAACGTAAATTTTGCACACTTCCTTGCCATAGGCTTCTGCAACAGATTCCTATAATACAGGAGGTCTCTTTCTACAGTCTCTAAATAACTTTTGGCACTCCATGGCTGTACATTTAGACAGCTGATTTGCTTGAAAACCAGACTTTTAGATTTATTAGTGTAAACTCAAAACATGCTATTCAGCCAGAAAAAGTTGCGGTTTTTTCACTTACGTGGTTTATAAAGAGACTCTTCCGCTTTTCTCTCACTGTGAAAACACAAAACACATTGTAGGGATGTTATATGAATTTGTTTGATTTTAGTTAACTCTCCCAACCACAGAATCTATCATTGGAAAATGAAAAAACTAAATTCAATGCTAACAAAAAAGGAGTTAGTGAATAATCAAATGCCTGGCATGTGTAAAGTAAAGCAAGGTGTATTAAAATTCTGATTTCTAAATTAAATTGTGCTAATGTTATATTGTACATTGATTTGAGATGTTTAAACATTAGATGGTTTATAAACAAACGAAAAAGCACAGCCCATTTAGTTTAATTGGAACTTTGTTATGAACTCTAAGAAAGCTTTTGATGTACTTGAATGGCACCTGCCAATTAAATTTGTTTTTAACAATGTGAAAATGTTAACAGACATTGAGATTTACCCGTTAATAAACATCCTTGCAGATCAATTTCAAATATTTCAATATGCTAAAAAGACAAACCAAAAGCTTTTGATACCAAATTAGATACAAGCTGCCTCCAGAACCTCAAACTACTTCATTTAGGACTACTTCATTCCACCATCCCCTTTTATTCCATCTGCATCCTTGCTGCTGTAGATCCAAAAAGTGTGCTGATGCCGATCCAATGAATGGCTGATGCAGGACATATCACCAACATTCTAGAGTCCCCACACCTACAAGAGTTCCATCCCTGCTCCCCACAAGTAGTCTTGAATATATCTCATATCATCTCATGCTGACCACATGGTGACCTTAGAACAAAATGCAATAATTATCTGTTTTATTTAGGTGCCAGGGACACCTAGCTGAAAAGATGGTGCATTAACAGTGCAACATTCTATGAGTATACTCAGCAGTAAGCCAGAATTCAAAGGGACCAGCTCCCAGGTGTAAGGCTGCAAGCCTCAATGAAACTGAATAAAATCAAGTCCAGGTTGAAAAGTTCAGCTGACAAGCTCCTGCAACAACCAACAAAAATTGCATTCTATGGTTTCTTAATTTGCTTTATTTTTAAAGCCAAGTGCCCAGTTCTAATTTCTGAAAGTGTAGTTTAACTGTTAAGCTTTTTAGTGCCGTAGGGTGAAATTAAGCAGCATTAAAATTAAGGGAGAAAAGGCACTTTTTCCATATTATTGTGCTTTTCTGTAGTCTTTTGTGCAGTGTGTAAGAGACAATTTTAGTGGGAGACTTCAAAAGGACAAAAGGCAATATCCTTGAGTTAATAATTACACATCAATTACAACCTCTCGCATTTTGATAGCTTTTAAATAATTTAGTACAGAAATAAAAGCTATGTTTCTTCTAGTTAGGGGAATTGTCTGGTACTGATCTAAGCAAAGGACTACACGAGTTCAAAGAAAAGCTGACTCGGTTTCTCCTCAACTCTTAAAATGAAAAGTGGAGTTTTCTTTGGTCTTTTCAAGCTGACAAGTGCATACTGGCAACAAACAAGCACAATCTCACTCAACTGAGGCAAGTAAGCAGGGAGGGGGCTAAATCTAAAGCGGTGCATCCACAGAATGTACTCCAAGGTGAACAACATTGCTCTAGGGCAGGGGTTGGGAAGCTCAGGCCTGGGAGCAAAATGCAGGCCTCTCTATGTGGCCCTCAGGACTGTACACAGGCCACACCTCCTGTACTGGCCACAGCTTTAACTGGCCTTGCTCCACCCTGCTTGAATGGTTTTGTTTTGTTTTTAAGGGCACTTAAGGACTCCACGGAGGGGCGCGGGTGGCACTGTGGGTTAAAACCACAGAGCCTAGGACTTGCCGATCAGAAGGTCGGCGGTTCGAATCCCCGCGATGGGGTGAGCTCCCGTTCCTCGGTCCCTGCTCCTGCTAACCTAGCAGTTCGAAAGCATGTCAAAATGCAAGTAGATAAATAGGTACCGCTCCGGCGGGAAGGTAAATGGCGTTTCCGTGCGCTGCTCTGGTTCGCCAGAAGCGGCTTAGTCATGACCCGGAAGCTGTATGCCGGCTCCCTTGGCCAATAAAGCGAGATGAGCGCCGCAACCCCAGAGTCAGTCACAACTGGACCTAATGGTCAGGGGTCCCTTTACCTTTACCTTTAAAGACTCCATGGAGCCCCCTTCCACAGTTGAGTCCACCTCCTCACCATAATTATCACTATCACTAACTCCTGCAGTGGCTCTTCATCATCATCACTGATATGGGCCACTCTAGGCATGCCATTTTGTGGTAGAGGAGGACTGCTTTGTTCTACCACTAAGTGGCATAGCTGAAGTGGCCTGCATGTCGAGGAAATGGTCATTCTAGCCACACCACTCTGTAGTAGACCCACTTTTGTGGGTTGCACCAAAATGCCTCCAGGAGGTAAGAAGCAGTGGTGGCAGCGGAGGAGGTAGGCAAAGGGAAACGGGTGGGAGAGGGGTGTATGTACTGTCACCTACTTTTTTTTTCCAAATAAAGCACTGACGATGACGAGGAGCAGGTCCAGGGGGTTACTGCCTGTGAGTCCCAAACTGAGGTATGGGACCTAGGCTGTTGCCCTGTTATCACCTCATTCCTGTTCAGGGTTCCATTTCACTTTCTTTCCTTTTCCACTGCAACTTTAAAACTTATTCCTGGACCTGCATCATGCTCTTCTTCTTACTCTGCTTATCCTTTGGCTTCAAATGAGAGCACCACATACATCTCAAACTTTGTGTGCAACTAGCAAATTCAAATGCAACCTGAATTTGTTCCTAACACCAGAGCCTACTTGCCAACTGCTCTTCTCTGGCTTCCACAATGCCACCGGTTTTATTTTGGGAATGGAATTTCACATATTTTTGCAGGCACGGCCTAAATTTAGAAATTCTGAGCAGCGTTTCGGGAGCGAGAGGCTGCACGACAATAAAAGATGTTCCAGTTTATTATACAAAGATGTGGGCTGCAATCCAGAGGATCAGAAATGGGCATATATATAGCCATGGTCTCCTCAGAGCAACAGCACAGAACCCAAATCCCTCTGACAAATGTCAGAAAGCACAATCTAGCAATATATATTTATTTTATTTATTTGTGTTCCACCTTTTTAAATAAATAAAAAAACATCCACAATTAAAAGCACAACAGCTAAGAAATCTAAACACAGCAAAACATGATTATAAAAGTGTCCAAAGTTACAAAAACAAAGTCAACATAGCAGCAGGAAGCATCATGCAACAACAAAACAGCATAATTAGTAAAATTCCAGCGGCAACAATAAAAATCATAACCACTGTTTATTCAAATCCCAGGCTAATCTGTTTTGACCCAGTGCCTATAATCTGAGTAGGCTGTGGGAAAAGTTGCTTCTTTTTTGTTTTGCCTGAGGCCATCTTTCAACAGGTTTCAGGTACTTGGTATATATTTTAGCACTCCCAACTCCTGCAGTACTGGCACTTGGTCAGCCTACATTGGCTTGCAGAGGTCCACACAGAAGACCAGAACCAGCATGCAACTAGGCGTCTGGCTGGCTTTTCACAGCAATTACAGAGTGTTGCAAAGCACAGGCTATCTCCCTGCCCCAAGGAAAATTCTTCTAAGTGAAAGTTGTTCTTAAAGCTACAACAAAATTGGACAAGGACGATAGTAGGGCTGGGCGATATAGAGTCGTACCTCCGTTAACGTAACCCTCTGGTTACGTAAACTTTGGGATGCGTGTGTGGCAAACCCAGAAGTATTTTACCAGGTTTCACTGTGCGCACATGCGCAGAAGCAATCTGCACATGTGCAGAAGCAGTCTGCACATGCGCAGAAGCGGTCCTCAGGTTGCGGAAACCTCGGGATCCGTATATCGTGATGTTTAGCTGATGATATATATCATGATGTTGAAAACCAGATATTGCCCAAGCCTAGACAGTAGTATCCTGATCAACTGACATCCAAAAACAAACCTAGGAAGTAATCCACTGCCTAGCAATGCTTTCCATTTGATTTAACTCTGCAAGTACAGGAAAACTACACTTGATTATAAAGGTGTTTTATAATTGAGAAGCTGTTCACACTCTGGGCGTTAATGTAAGACTGTGGTAGATTGTAAAGAAAACCAGAATTGGAACAATGGTCCGCAAAATAATCCAGTTTTACAATCACTGGAATGCAATATTCCCTGCTGACGCTGGAATAACAAATCACAAAACTGCAAGACTGCACCAAATGTTCATTTACAAACATTTCTGATGTGAAAACCTAGAACATAAGAAAAGCCTGCTAGAGCCCATCTAGTCCATCATCCTTTTCTCACACTGACCAACCAGATACCTGTGAGAAACCTACAAGCAGGAACTGAGCACAAGAGCAGTCTACCCCTTCTGAGGTTTCCAGAAACTGGAATTCATGATGATATTGCCTGTGAATTTTTTCAGCTTAGCCCAATATTTTTCTGACCATTCACACTTCTCATGTCTATTTGTATTGGTTATCTCCCAAGTGTTTTGTTGCCAATTCTAGATTTTGTTGCCAATCCTACTTCATTTCACGATCTTAGCCAATGAGGACTTGCACACAGAACATTAGAATAACATGGTACCACAAAGTCAGACTACCTGATGATATAGAAGGGAGGCCAACATAAGCAAGTGCAATGCTGTAAATGGGCACTGGAAAGTGAAAGTGAAAGTAAGCTTGTTCCTGTTGCCCCAACTGATCAATATGACATTCTGTGGTTAACCAAACTGTGTAATTTACTTGTCTTGGTACCAGGCAATTGTGATCCTTCTTTCACACTCCATTAAGAGTGGAGGAAATGAATCGGTCTTTAGTGAAACTATCCTGAAGCCAAATCTATTGTTATACTGTGCTTCTTCTGATCTGCACCACCCCAGATAAACCACTGAAGGGTGTTGTCATGGTGCAGAAGGGTTTACTGAAATCATTCCCCCATTGGGATTCATCTCTGTTTCAGCAACCACTGAAGGTTACATAAGTGTTAAAAGGATTTTAGAGATCACACATGGCACACCGAGGGTTGTATTCCATGTTGGTTCAATTCAGGATAGACCCACTAAAATTAATGGTCTGTATTCCAATGGGCCTACACTGTGTAGAACACAGTTGGATACAGTCCTGATTTCCCAATGCTCCTCTTGCATTAAGTCGTAAGAAAACACTGCACAGAAAAACAATTCTCTTTTTGAAATCACATACCTCTGTATCAGTCTTTCCCAACCTGGAGCCCTCCATAAGTTTTGAACTCCAACCCCCTCAGCCTCTGCCAGCATGCAGTCCAAAACATATTGGGGACAGCTTTCTTTACCCTCTTGTAGAGCTTACTCCCTGTCTTGATGCAATTGTTTTGTGAATATCTCTAGCAGACACACACCAGCCAATTATAGATGCATTCTGGGAAAACAAAGATGGTGGAAGCTGCAGCAGCCACTGGTAACTTTCTGCTGAGCATTGGGCTGAATGCAGAGAAGGGTGGCAGTGGTCAGCTTGGTCCTTGACATTCAGCAACATAATATGCAGCAGGCACCTCTATCTTTCTTTCCCTTGAGGGTCCACTAGGTTGGGGGGGCACAGCTTATTTCCCAGAGCCCCCACACCTCAGAACTGGCTTGTGATATCAGGACATAGCTGTCAATGTTTCCCTTTTTTTAAGGGAAATTCCCTTATTCCGAATAAGGTTCCTCACAAGAAAAGGGAAACGTTGACAGCTATGTATCAGGACATGCTATCACAGCAGGGGTAGAGAAGACTTAACAGAGGGTTGACTTTTGTCAAGGATATCTAGAAAACATTTCAGAGACAAAATGATTGCCATTTATTATACCTGACAGCTTCAGAAGAAGGGGGAACTATCATCACTGAGGCCTAGCACTACAGATTGAATAAGCCAACAGTAAATGAATCTCCCTCCACTGATTGCATCAAGGCTCACTCTAAGGCAAATACTGTTAATTTCCAGGTGCTGCAGAAACCCAGACTAATAAATGATGATGTTCGACTCCACTGATCAATGAGTGCAAGGAGAAAGACTGTTTTATTTTTAAAATGTGCAGCCTGCAAGCAAAATGCTATAAATCAACCACCTCAGCTCTGAGGCCTCTCTAACTGAACTAACTTGTTGAAAAATTATTCCTAAAGTTTCCAATAAGTAACTCTTGCCTGTTTTGTAAAACAAGTCATCATTTACAACAGGAGCCTGTGTGGTCCAGTGGAAAATTTGTTGCAAGCAGCTTCAGGTCCTTGCAAAGCAATAGTGCCTTGAGCAAAAGAACTGTCTCTCAGCCTATTTAGTACAAGAGAGGACCAGTCTTTGTAGGTACACTTGGTCCTCACCGACCTAAATAGATGGGTTCAGATAAAGCACAACAACTTAAGAACAAAGTGAGACCTTACTCCACAGTCTTTTCAAAAGGAAGATTCGTATCGAGTTAATATGTGAGAATTCTATGCTACAATACGTCAATTTCAAAACACTTAACTATACAACTGTGTCTGTATAATGGGAAAAGATTAATTGTTGATAAACACAAAGGATTTGGGGGGGTGGAATCTAAATAAATAATCCAGTAGTCTAAACATAACAATTCACTATGAAATACAGCCCTTATTGTGAATCAATAGCACATAGGCGCATAAGTGGTCTTGGAAAAAGGATTATGTGTGTATGGGGCCCTCATTTATCAGACTGCATTAAGCCCACTAGCTGATGGAACGCCTTAAAAACAGAGAGTTCAGATTTATGCCTCAAGAGAAGGCAAGATTATTTCTCTCTCACAGATCATTTTGTTAAAGTCCTAAAAAATGAAAATAAGTCAATAAGACTCTCATGCTAAACATGTTTAGGATCTTGAACATGTTTAGGATGAAAGACTTGCATGGTTAATTTCCATTTCTGATGCTGCTGTTAAAACAATCCAAGCCAGTGACCCACTCTGAATAGCAGGTCAGCCACAAACCGCAGCTTTTTAAATAAAATAAATATAATAGCTAATTATCTATCCAAATTGTTATCAGGTATGGTCTTGCAATAGGGCTATATGCATATTATAAACTATGCATGAAGCGTATGTTATAAAGTGCACATGAATCTTTTGTTGTTTGTATAATAACACTGGTGACTTACCGTCTGTTTGAGATTTGCTGAGGAAGATTGTGCTGGCCCGTGGATGATCTGATGGGTTGAACTCCATGTTCAGATCTTGAAAGAAAAGAGAGATAACATTAAAATAATGCCCCACGTGAGCCCATATTTAAGTAACTTTGGCCTTGAGACCCTACTCCCACAGCCGATTCTTTTTAAAGAGCTGAGTCTATTCAGATATATTTTCAAGCAGAATTTGTAGATGCAAAAATCAGTTGTACTGCAGCATAAACATGTATTGTGCAAATCGTTCATACAAGGACACCAACTACTGTCAGATCATTTTCAGATGTGGAACTGACAGCTGGCAAGATCCAACATACTGCCCTCCCACTGTTCTGATGCCTAGCACGTAATATACCCACTTCACTAACAGAGAGGAATAATATTATTAATCTTTGTTTCACCAAATCCCATAATGAGTGGCTGTTGTTTTTTCCTGGTTAGCCTGAGTTAAGAGATGCAGGAACCTAGAAAACTGCCTTATACTGAGTCAAGACCACCAGGTTCATATTGTCAACACTGTCTTGAGATGTGGAAGACTGAACACAGGAGCTTCTACATATAACACAGACACCCTGCCCTGAGCTACAGCCCTTTCCCCAAAATTCTCTTATTTGCATTACCAACTCAAGAGTAATGACCAAAGCAGGATGAGATGCATTGGGACTAAAACAGCCTGAAAAGCATGGAATTGATTATTGCACATTTTTATGAGTGTACCTCTACCCACCCACTGCAGAAGACTTAAACCGCTGTAAGTAATGATGTGGCGCTGAGTAACTATTAGCTGGGTGATTGCTAAATGCAATGCGGTTGCTAAAGCAGGGTAACTCCTTCCAAGTTTAAAAATAGGTCAACACATTTAACCTAGCATATATGGGCAAAAAAGATGCATTTCCGGACTTCCGGGTTGGCGCCTCTGGCAATGGCGGATTTCCTCCGATCGGGAGGAATCCGCTCCGTGGAAAAAAGGGTCTGAACCGCCACGGCGAGGTGGAGACCCATCAAAAACCACAGGCGGGAGAAGCCTGTGGATGTGGGATTCGGCTGGCACCTTTGCGCCCCCCCCCTACTCGCAGGGAACCCCGGTTTCGGGGATCCGGAGCAACGTGGGGTGAGTGGCGCGGTGCTTTGAATCGATTGCTTCTTTCACAGAGTGAAGCCGCATTGCTGTTGCCGGAGAGCGCTGACTTTTTCCTGTGGACAATTGAATTTTAAATAACTGCCCGTGAGTAGAACGGAAAACTGGATTAAGAAATTTCTTTCAATTTGGCACTGAAGCGGGAAGGTCTAAACAGGAAGTCCGCCTTCCGCTTTTGTAGATAGATTAAAGCAAAGACACGGTAAGCTAGAGTTTAGAAAGTCGTCTGTAAAGGACCAATTTTCATCATTTAAAATTACTGAACCCCCCTTGGAAGCAGGAGAAGAGGGGGGAATTTTTTCTGGACTGTTTAAACCTGCAGAAGATAGAGTAAAGAAAAGCAATTTTCCACCGTCTTGAACCTGGGAGCGGGGTGTCAGGACAGACGCCCTCGGGAAGTTCATTGACTATAGACAAACGTTTTTGACAGATAGTTAAAAGAAGAGAAACATGTTGATTCCATTGTTCCCCTTCGCATCTAAAAGGAACAAAATATTGACAAAATATCTGAAAAAGGAAACTTTGTTGTTAGATCTGCTTTTAAAAGAAAAAAAAGAGATGGATACAAATAGAAGCTTTTTCCCCTAGAGGGAGCTTGCGAAACTGTTATTAAATCCGAACTGGGAGCTGTGCAGCTGCAATAGATTAAGATCGTGGGATTAGACTCTGACCTTGAACAAGAATGTACTCGGAGGCTCTGGTGCTTGCCTTCTGCAAGACAAGTGCCTTATTGGAACAGTTACATGAGAAGACGGATTTGATGACTGTTGCGATCGGAAATTTTGGACAGGCAGTGGGTACCTATATAGAACCCACTCAGGAATTAATCCAGGAGTGTGCTCTGACAGATCAGATGAGGGAGGAGGTTGTTGCTGGACCCTGGGAGGCAGAGATGGAGGGAACTGTGGCCCAGCAGGAACATGAGTTGTTGGATTTGACGAATGAACCTGGAAAAAGCCAGATTTGGAGAGATAGAGTCTTGTTTGGCTTGGAGATGGGGGGCTGGATAGACCCCCCTGTGCAGGGATGTTTTGACCTTTCAAGTCTGGCTTTGGGCCGGGAGGCGTTCGGAGTTGTGGGGGTCCTTAACTTTAGAGGGACCTTGAAACATGCTTTTAAATACCACATGGAGTTCAGTGTTGACTATGGAAAAGGGGCTGATCTGTCGAGAAGGGACAAAAATATTGTCAAGCTGGAGTCTCCACGAGTGAAAGGAGCAGAAGACAAAGTAAAGTACAGGTATAAATATGAAGAAGACCTGCGGAAGGGACATGGAAGAGATTTAAGAGCCTCGGATATAAGGTTACCAGGTTGATGAACTAGATGGATGGGATAGAAAGGACTGACAAAACCCGAGACCAGGAGGAAGAGACGTTGGATGAAGATTGGAAGAAAGTTTTAAAAAATTTATCTAGGAAAGTTTTGTAAAATTAATGAGTATTAGAAAAATGTTGGAACGAAATTATTTGGCTGTAGCAGAAATGTTTAAAAGAATTATGTAAGAATATGTTATGGTTATGAGAAATTGGTATAAATAAGATTTAAGCTTTAAGTTTTAGGGTTTTTTATGGTAAGATAAGGTTAAAATAGATTAAGGTGATTTAATGACAGAATATTATGAAAGATGGAAAGGATTTGCTGAGATAATTAATAACTAGAATACAAAAAAGGGAGGTGTGAGGCGGTCCATGAAACAAGTTAATGAAAGATAAAGATTTGGGAATATTGGATTTGTTTTTAATTTTTTTGTTTATTTTTGCTTTTTGATTTTGATGTATTTGTGTGATTTGTTTTTTTCTTTGACTTTTGTTTTTATTGACTTGTATTGTTTAATTTCTCTTTTTGTCTACTTTTTTCCTTTGTTTCTTTGTAATCTTAAAATCATCAATAAATATTATTTTAAAAAAAGATGCATTTCCACTTACGTCTACTTCCTATGTATGAGGAACACACACAGGAGAGGAGAAAGAATAAGGGTGGTTTTCAATAGCTCATTTCCAATCTAGTCACACAGCAGCCAAGTCAATGAAGGTACCCCAGCTACCTCCCACCAGCTTAATGGCTGACTTGTAGCTAAGTATTAAGGTAAAGGTAAAGGAACCCCTGACCATTAGGTCCAGTCACGGACGACTCTGGGGTTGCGGCGCTCATCTCACTTTACTGGCCAAGGGAGCCAGAGTACAGCTTCTGGGTCATGCGGCCAGCATGAGTAAGCCACTTCTGGTGAACCAGAGCAGCACATGGAAACACCATTTACCTTCCTGCTGGAGCGATACTTATTTATCTACTTGTACTTTGATGTGCTTTCGAACTGCTAGGTTGGCAGGATCAGGGACCGAGCAACGGGAGCTCACCCCGTCGCGGGGATTTGAACCGCCGACCTTCTGATCAGCAAGCCCTAGGCTCTGTGGTATTAAAGGCAGACCCATTCTGAATACCCCCACTATTATGGTAAGAGTCAAAGCTGTTAAGAATCTCAGTTTACTCCCTCTACAGTAGCAAGCTGTTGAGTTCCGTGTAATCTATGCTGCTTAACAGGCCTGCACTAGAAATAATGAGGGACACATGGCTGCTGACCCACATCTCCCCAGTAATATATAGTGGAAGAAGGCTTGTGACCCAACATCATCCCACTTAGCATTTCCCTGACCCTTTTCCACTTCACTGGTTGCCATTTGCAAGAGGTAAGCAAATGCTGAGGTCATCAACACCACATCACATAATTTATTTTGCCAGCCATGACTTACTGTGGATTCACACAAGCATGCAGAAATAATACCTGCTACTAGTCTGCTCTGGACTGTACCACTTTATACTGCGTGGGGGCGGGGTTTATATGTCTGAACGCTTCTCCATGTAAAAGGCTCACTGCATGGGGAGAATGGGATATTGTCCCTATGGTCCCCAGGAAGTCCGGACTAGCTGCAGTTCCCTGTTGAATATACACTTAGCAGCAAATGCAGGGCAATGTGAGAAAATGGTCCTCTCATTTGTGCCGTCCATTAGGGTGATCTGCAAACTAACTGGGGAGGAAGGGACCAGTCTGATCTGTTCTTTTGCCTTTCACAGGAGAAGTCAGCCTGAGAATTTTATTTCAAAGCACGGGTATGCACACTATCACCTGATGTTAAAGGTACAGAAAAGGGATAGATGGGAAAAAGTTGGCAAGGCAAGGATGGCAATCATGATGTAAACAGCTGTAAATCACCTTATTATATGGTTTAGGCACACAAATCAAACTGCCAGGCATTTCCTTAAGTTCATGCCAAAGGTCAAAACAGAAGCCATTTATCTTGTTTGGAAAAAGTTGGCATGAGATTGTGCCTATTAAAAATGCACTATGCTTTCAGGGAAATGTAGGATTGCAAACTTTCAGGGATTGCAAACTTTCCAATCAGAGGTCAGTGACCAAAGCAGAAGACTTCCAGCCCATCCAGCATATTTAGTACTCACTCAGTCCAGTTCTATATATACTCTGATCCTCAAAGGCACTCAGGACAGAATTGCCTCTTGGTGGCTCATTAGTAAATGTGACATATTAGTAAATAAGCTTGTTATGTATTGTTCCAAATTTTCTCAATCCCTCACTTAAGGGACGCAAGGTTTTAAAAACAGTGACCAGAAAAATAATTATGCAAGTGAGGTGGAATGAAAAAGTGAAAGCCTACTGGCATCATTTTAAAGAAAGGGAGAGAAATTCCTTAAACTCATTAGTGCACAGGAAGGAGACAGCCACAAAAAGAATGAAGGCCAGGTATCCTAGCAACTAGCTGCTTCTGAAGAATTCTCATCACAGCTTCCCTGGGTGTGCAATAGGAAACACTAGTGATTGCTGCCTGGTTTTATCACAAAATGTTACAGAAACAAGCTGAAGAAACAAGAATACACACAGACACTTTGGAGGGAAAGTTCAGACTTATTTTCTGATACTTTCACATGGGCCAGGCTTGCACTCAACTCCTGTTAACAAACGAAGCACTTTCAAGCAGAAAGCAGGAATGCCACTTCAAGTTTCCAGGACCAGGAAAGGGGTGGAGGTTCATCTTCCGGCTCAAAAGCCTGCCCTTTGATATAGTCATGACTCAGGTACAAAGAGCACAATGGATTTTAAGAGCACTTGCTGAGTTTATATTTTTATATATTATAACCAGAGATTCAAAGTTACTCCTGAGGAATAATCTAATGTGATCTGACTCATGATGTGCTTTTCCTAAATAAGTGTAAGAAGAGCAGAAATCATAACTTGCATTAAATCCCAATGCCAACTATTACAGTGGTACCTCGGGTTACATTCGCTTCAGGTTACATACGCTTCAGGTTACAGACTCCGCTAACCCAGAAATATTACCTCAGGTTAAGAACTTTGCTTCAGGATGAGAACAGAAATCACGCAGTGGCAGCAGGAGGCCCCATTAGCTAAAGTGGTACTTCAGGTTAAGGACAGTTTCAGGTTAAGAACGAACCTCCGGAACGAATTAAGTACTTAACCTGAGGTACCACTGTATATTATTGTTTATCGCTTTTCATGCACATCTCAAGGAGATGTACCAAATGCAATAAAACAGCTAAAAAAACCCTCAACAGACAAAGTAACAGCAGCAGATAAATTAAAAAAAACAACAACACCAAGTAGTCACCCATGGCAAAGACCTATTCCTCCAACTTGGAAGGGTTATTGGGACAAAAAAAGATCTTCAATTGTTTAGGGAAAGTGCAGGTAAGAGGTGCCTGCTCTATCTCAACAGAAATGCTCTTCCACAGAACAAGGGCAGCCACACTAGAAGCCATGTTCTGAGTTACTGTAGAGAGAGCTCCTGAGATCTTTGGAACCTGCACCTTGGAGCAGTGTTGCTCCAGCTGTTGTTGGACTACAACTCCCATCATCTCTAGCTAGCAGGATGATGGGAGTTGTAGTCTGTCAACAGCTGGAGACCCCAGTTTGAGAAACAGTGCCCTAGAAGATCTGTAGGAATGGAGGCGATTTTTCCGATATTTGGGGACTAAGTATTTGGGGCTTTAAAGATCCCACAACTCCCTGGCTCAACTCAGCTACCTACAGCTCACCCTGACAATATGAGCAAACTCTGACCTGCGCCTATTGCCCTAATTTGGTTATCAAGCAGGGATTCAGTCAGTTCATCGCTACCTGTCTGTGGTCATGCAGAAGCAGTGGCAGGAGGATGAAAGACTTCCTTGCTGGTGTGGTTGACCACCAACAGCCCAGAGCAGGTAAGGTAATATCCCCCAACTGCAAATCAGAGGTGAGGAACCTGTTTTCTTCCAGATGTTTTGGACTATAATTCCCATCATCCCTAACCATTGGCCACAATGGCTGAGGCTGATGGGACTTGGAGTCTAACAAACATCTGGAGGGCCAAAGATTACTCATCAATGCCAAAAAGTACTTCTAGAAAGTATTGCTCACCAGTCCCAGCAACTAGTAGACTCTTTACTACAGACTTTGCCCTTTCCTCAACTTGGTATGCCATGCGCACATGACAGCATTCTGTACCCAAGAACGAATCCATGCTACTTTTCTGGAAGTGATTTTTAAATTCTATTTTTGTACGGTTCTTGTTCCAGCACATATTCTCAAATTGTCTCCCTAGATTTCTACAGCCTAAACAAATACCAGCTGGAGTTATATAATCCTTTGCTCACTCCTCTCAGCAGCAATCAAAATTCTATTCTTGCAGACAGCCTATGCATGCCTCTCAGCAGGAATAAAAAATTGTGCACAAACATTCTGCACTGATAATGCCTTTGATGAGTTCCTTGCTATGGATACTGCTTGATATGAAGTTCCTGGACTAAACAGACCAACGGGTCACACCCAGATAGTGTTGGCTCCAAATTTTGGGGAATCCTTGAGCAAGGCACCCTTAGTTGGCCCTTGTAATAATATAATGATAATAATAATTTATTATTTATGCCCCACCCATCTGGCTGGGTTTCCCTAGCCACTCTGGGCAGCTCCCAACAGAATATTAAAAACACAATAAAACATCAAGCATTAAAAACTTTCCTAAACAGGGCTTTCAGGTGTCTTATAAAAGTCAGATAGTTGACATCTGATGGGAGGGCATTCCACAGGGCAGGCACCAATATTGAGAAGGCCCTCTGCCTGGTTCCCTATAACCTCACTTCTCGCAGTGAGGGAACCACCAGAAGGCCCTCGGAGCTGGACCTCAGTGTCTGGGCTGAGCGATGGGGGTGGAGATGTCTTCTGTCAAGAGTTGCTTCCTCCCCCCCCCCCCCGCCCCATGACTCACAGCTCATTCATTTGCTCCAGCTCAATCTGCACCATTGTCCAGAATGAGAGGACAAGGAAACAGAGGCTCCTTCTCCTTGTTTTTGTTCTCACGATTTGAAGATGGCAGATGAACCAGTAGCAATGGCAAAGAGAGGACCCAGGGAGTCAGCAGTGTGACCACTGCCAGTGTGTGCACATCACAGCAAACACCTGACAATGCCAGTAGTTCCTGATGCAATCAGTACAATGAAATTGAGGTTTCGCACTCCTGCTCTAAATGTGGACTGCCTTTGAAAACTGGTCAAAAGTTCAGCATAGGCAATGGTGATGATTAAAATTTCTATACAGTTGTACCTTGGATCTCAAACGCCTTGGCTCCTGAACAAATCGGCTCCCAAACAATTGAAACCCGGGAGTGTGTGCAGTTTTCGAACAATTTTCAGAAGCCGAACATCTGGCACAGTTTCCATGGCTTCTGATTGGCTGCAGGACGTTCCTGCACCCAATTGGAAGACACGCCTTGGTTTTTGAACAGTTCGGGAGTCGAACAGACTCCTGGAACACATTCTGTTCAAGAACCAAGGCACAACTGTACCACCCTTCATCTGAGGATTACAGGTATAAAAACACAAAAACCCATAAAATAGTTACAAACAAAAACAATTAACCCCCCACTGCTTAAAAGGCCATTTGTTGTTGTTTAGTTGTTTAGCCGTGTCCAACTCTTCGTCACCCCATGGACCAGAGCACGCCAGGCACTCCTGTCTTCCACTGCCTCCCACAGTTTGGTCAAACTCATATTAGTAGCTTCAAGAACACTGTCCAACCATTTCGTCCTCTGCCGTCCCCTTCTCCATGTGCCCTCAATCTTTCCCAACATCAGGGTCTTTTCCAGGGAGTCTTCTCTTCTCATGAGGTGGCCAAAAGATTGGAGCCTCAGATTCAGGATCTGTCCTTCTAGTGAGCCATAGCTTTTTTAATTACCGGTAGCCAAAGGACACAGAGTTGCCTGCCCTTTCAAGAGACTGATAAAGACTTAAAATAAGCCAGCTGTTGTTGCTTTCTTACACACACAACCACACTCACACTGACCCCTGCATTTGATTCTGAGAAACTCTATTGAAGGAAGTCCCTCTGGTCTAACTATATAAGCATTGGCATCACTAATAAAGTTCTATTAGAACACCCTGAAAGAGGCGAGCAAGACTGACTAATAGCGCCTCTTCATTTCTAATTTCAGCTGTTTGGCAGTGAAACCCCTTTGGAATAACAGCTGCTGCTGAGCGCCAGCTTTTCACTCAAGTACAAATGATTTTTAAAATTAAAAAAAATTCATTGCATAAGGCGAAAACTCAAGAAGAGGAGAGCACAATGAAAAGCAGGTGCTTGCCGGTTGCTTTTCTGTTCTAGTGAAAGGAGGAAGACCAAGTCTCCCAGGGAAGAATGTCAGGTCAACTATTCTGAGAAAAGGGAAGAACCTATCATTGTGATTGCTTTATGTCAAGGCGGATATGCTCTGCTCCTGAAAATGTTCACATGTCAAAGGGAAAACTGAGCAGCAATTTGGTAACCAAAAACTCCCCTGCATATATATTAGGCAAGCTGACAAGAGAGGGAGGGAAGCATTTTTATGGCTGCTGAATACGTGACAGTCCAATGACGACAAAATTACCAGGGAGGTTAATTCCACCCTCTAATGGAATAAGGTGAAACTTATCATTTCATGCTACTCCTGGAGAACACACTGCCTTGATTCTGTGACCTCATTAAGTGAATGAACGTAAATCTTGCTGAGCCCAGCATTATCCTCTGTTATTAAAACAGTGATCTTTCTTTACCATTACTTCATTCATAATTTTTTCTGTTTCTTACAGTGGTTGACAGTGCAAGTTAAAGATTATGTTCAGGTACAGGCGTATGCAAAGGACAACCCAGGGAAAATAAAGGCATTTCTTGCTTGAAGAAGCAATCAGCATTGCATTATGGTTGCTTTCAGTACGTAATTAAAGAGCTGGAACTCCACACACAAACACAAATACTCTTCTAAAATAAGACACATTATCAGAGTTGTGTGAGCGCTGCCATAGATAGATAGATAGATAGATAGATAGATGATATAGATAGATAGATAGATAGATAGATAGATAGATGATAGATGATAGATAGATGATAGATAGAGATAGATAGATAGAGATAGATAGATGATAGATAGATAGATGATAGATAGATAGATAGATAAGACAGACAGAGAGAGAGAGAGAGAGAGAGAGAGAGGGAGAGAGAGAGAGAGAGAGAGAGAGAAAGAGAAGAGAGAGAAAGAGGGAGACAGAGAGATTTTCATCCAACAGAACTGCCTAGGCAGTCCCTTTCTCCCCTTCTCATGACCCGCAGCAGCAGAACAAACAGCATTTGCCAAAAGTTCTTAGAAGTAGCAGCAAAGAGCCAGAGAATTAAGGGTCATATTAAGGGTAATCACACATTACTGAACAGAAAATCAGGATTTGCCACGAAGTATACAATCAGTGGTAGCTGAAGCCAATCACAACTCTCTAACAAGGGTACTTGTTCACTGTTCTGTATTCATACTTTTTAATAATATTTTTTATTGATTTTTCAATTTTTTATCACATTTGCAACAATTCTAAGAAAAACCCAGCAAAGTTAGTAACAGCAATGTAATTCAGAGCAGGATGACATTCGTAAGTCCAAAAGATCTCTCTCCACATGTTGTTTAGGAACATTGCAATGTGTGAAGCAGCCTTTCAGCTCAACCAAACAGTCAATTTATATCATGTTTTTCCCAAACCATTTCATGTTCTGAAGTTCACCATACCTTTAAAGCACATTTACACCACTTTAACAGTTATGAGTCTCCCTCCAAGAGTGCTGGGAACTAGTTTACCACTCAAAGACCTAAAATTCCCAGCATGCATAACAAACTACAGATCCCATGATCCTTTGGAGGGAAACATGTGTTTTAAAATGTATGGTGTGCATGTGACCAAAGTGTTGAAAGAGGGCTGTTTTTCTTTTGTTAATACACAGAAATGTATTATATCCCTCCTTCTTTTGCTTTAAAAAATGCTTACCTGCTTTACACCATCTTCATTTTCCAGCACATTGAGGACTCAAGCATTCATTTTATGAGCTACAAGGACTCATTAAGCCCTTTGTTTTTGAAAAATTCTATCGAATCCCTGAAAGTCTTAAATCGACTTCCTTTGTGTATAGAATTGAAGGGGTGTGTGCAACTCACAATGATGCTGACCCATTTATTATGCCTAGTTACAGAGTACAAACCGAAAAACAAGCCTTGTTCAGATTACTTTGAACCTTTTCACTCGGAAAATAATTAGAAGCTACTTGCATGGTGAAATCTGAGATTTCAAGGATAACACAGCTGCTTCTTTAATATGCAGAATTATAATTTGCAATCGTTTCTGCAGAAGACAAATGAGGGTGCTTGGTAAAGGACAAATGCCACCCCTCCCATCCCGTTTCCCCACCCCTTCCAAAAAATACATGCACATGGCAAAGAGACGAAAATTACCAGGCTAGCAAATGACAGTATTAAATCAGCTTTCCAAAAACATCACCATCTAAAGCGACAAAATGAGACAGAGGAGAATGTGTGGGAAAGAAAGCCCCTCTCTTGACAAACAGTATCTAAATAATTTATTGCACATATTTTTATGTCAAGGAGATAGTACAACAGCCTCCAGATAAAAAAAGGGAATATGAGAACTGAAGCTGTACACATTTACTTGACACACCGTTATGCACAGTCCCCCCAAAGCCTTTGAAGGCCTCTTCCCACATTTCTTTTAAGTATACACCTAGAAATGTAACATGTGAATGCAACGAATGTGTTTTTAAGAAGCATATGCATCATACAGGTTTGCCAGATGTATCTCCAGAGGTACATTTGATGGCAGACCTGACTTTATTGCCATATAATAATGTAACGTTGCTCTAAGGGCATTTTCGTACATGACACTAAGGCCACTTCCTGATGGTTGCAATTTTGCAGGTAGGGTTTGGTTACACAATCACTGTGGATTTGGGGCTCTCCCACCCCACCACCCCACTGCACTGGGAAAGTGTGGGCTAACAACTGATTGATGATAAAGGACTCATCTAACCTCTGGACACCCTTACCTAGCAGGCCAATTTATCGGCCACAGCAATGGACTGCACCTGAGTATACCATGATTCTACTGTCAGGTCTGTTGCAGAACACCAGAAGCCAGCAGCAAAGATGTCAACATATCCCAGTGAGATAAATGTTGATTTGATGGATCTATTATTCCTAGCACAGCAAACAAAGGAACTGCATCTACTGTTATATTACAAATTAATCCAATTTCTTTGAAGACCGATGATCAAAGGCAGTCCTCGTTACTAGAATACGCCAATGGGAAGCTCACAAGCAGAACTTGAGCACAACAGCATTTTGCCCCCCACTTGCAATGCTCAGCTGGCATTCAAAGGCAGACTGCCTCAAGCAGTGGCTAGTGGCAAGCTTCATCCTCTATGAAATTGCCTCATCCTCATTCAAAGGCATCCAAATTGCTTGTCATTACTACCTACATCTTCTGGGAGTGAATTCCATCATTAATTATGTGTAGGCTGAAGAAGAATTATCTTTTTCCCCCCTGTCCTGAATCTTCCACCATTCAGCTTCACTGGCCTGAGTGCTAGTATTAGGAAGCAGCCTATCCACTTTCTGCAGACCATGCAGAATGGCAGCTTCAAGAAGGCAAATTTATGAATAATGATTATTATTATTATTATTATTATTATTATTATTATTATTATTTATTATTATTATTATTTATACCCCACCCATCTGGCTGGGTTTCCCCAGCCACCCTGGACAGCTTCCAACAGAATATTAAAATACAGTAGTCTATTAAACATTAAAAGCTTCCCTAAACAGGGCTGCCTTCAGATGTCTTCTAAAAGTCTGGTAGTTGTTTTTCTCTTTGACATCTGGTGGGAGGGCGTTCCACAGGGCGGGTGCCACTACCGAGAAGGCCCTCTGCCTGGTTCCCTGTAACTTGGCTTCTCGCAGCGAGGGAACCGACAGAAGGCCCTCGGCACTAGACCTCAGTGTCCGGGCAGAACGATGGGGGTGGAGACGCTCCTTCAGGTATACTGGATCAAGGCCGTTTAGGGCTTTAAAGGTCAGCACCAACACTTTGAATTGTGCTCAGAAACATACGGAAATGAACTTCATGGAGGAGCACTCTGAGCCACACTCTTCATTACACTGACTTCCTTTGCACACGCAAGAAAGGGCTATCACGACATGTTATACAGGCAACTCCCAATTCACACAGGGGTTACGTTCCAAGTCATTGCGCGTTTAAGTGAAAACGTATATATCTGAAACACCATTGAAAAATCCTGCAGAAATATAAACTGCATAACACAGCACCCAGATTGGCTGGTACTGGCTGCCAGGGCATTAGGGCATCAGGGTTGAAAATTTCACAGTCATCTTATTTGTTTCTGGTTATAACTCAGAGTGCTTGCTCTGGTCTTCAAAACTCTATATAGCTTGGGTCTGGAGTGCATTGAAAGACTGTCTTGTCTTTCATGAACTTGTCTGAGAACTAAGGTGAAGCAGGTGGCCACTGGAGAGAGGTCCTTTTCCCTAGAGGCACCTCATGTGGAATGCACTCCAGAGAGAGAGACTAGCCTTGGCACCCTTATCAATATGTTATATGTGTCTGGTTAAGATTTGGCTTCCCTATTTTGAATGATTTTAATCCACCAATTTATAATGAATCCACTGTGTTACCTGTCATTTGTATTTGTGTGTTTTATGTGATTTCCCCCTAATTTACCTTGCTTAAGATTTTGTTGTTCAACTGTCTTTGTTTAAAATGTTTTATTATCACCCTCTGGGTATCTTTTACAAATTGATAAAGCAAGCTATAAAATGATAATATATGACCTTAGGGGAGGGAGGAAGAGGCAAAATTAACAATGAACTGCTGTTTTCACTTAATTCGGCCTTAAGTAAACGAAATAAATCAGAATAAAATTTACTACAGGGATTCACTTTAGCCCAATTATTTTTTTTCCTCTCATGCACGGAGATTAACTCTTGCCATGCTGCCTATAATACTGGCATAATATTTATTTAATAAAGAATGTAAAAGTGTTGGTGCTTCTCTCCTTTGAATTACATCCAGGTGATATCTTAGCATTATACTAACCATTATTGTACTTGGTTATATAATCCATATCAGACTCTGTAAAGGACCCCCTTCATCCTCAATAAAACGATGATATTATCTGAGTTTTTAAAGATCTGTCAGCCCAAATCTGAATTATTCCTTCAAGAAATAAATCCATAAATTAACTATAGCCTGGAAACAGACTGATCCAAGAATCAGCATGTATTTTTAACAGCCAGATGAATTATTCATGGTCCACAGAACTGGTGAAACTAAATCCTGAGATCTGAAATTTGCAAGAGATACCTTGCTGCTAGGAAGTTGCTTATTGCTCTATTGTAGAATATTTTTCCTTGATTTTTAAAAAATTCTTTGAGCAATTCAAATATTGAAATGCTGAAATAGGAAACACGGTGTGTCTTTCCATATATACACAGAACAAATACATCTAATCATCATTATAATTATTATTTACCTGAACGTTTCTTGAGGTGGGGAAATCAAGAAATGTCTCTTTTATAAGAAACTTATACAAGATTGTGGTCTCAGCTTGACTGGGTTCCAGTCTAAGGGGGAGATGATAAGCGTGATCCCAGTTTTGGAGAGGCAAAGTCAAGCAAATCAGAGGTCAAGTTCCAACATGGCAAAGTAAAAGAAAAGCAGGTAACTCTCTGGCTCACTTTACGTGGCGCTCAGGCCGAAGACTCATAGCAGCAGACTTCTGTCTCCAGCAGCAAGCAGAGGCAAGCTGCTTAGACCAGAGCTCTGTCAAGCTGAGGCCGCCACCTGGGATGGAGCAAAACCACAATATGACATTGACTTGTTTCAAGAAGCAACAGTTGACTAAAATCTGAAAGTGGGTGCTTCCAATCAGCTCCTCATGGCCATGCCAGACAACGGGGAAGAGAAGGGATGCTTGACAATATTAGCAGGTTGCTTCCAATGTCCTACACAAACTATTCTTGTTGCTGTAACCAGATATGATATTTCTCCATCATTAAGTTGCAACAGACACACACACACACAGAGAGAGAGAGAGAGAGAGAAAGAGAGATCACCCCCATCCCAGGACTTTTTCATTAAAGGTCATCTGTTCCATGACATTTCCAACCATTTGTGCTTGTGAGAGTTACTAACAGGAGTTCCATATCCATTTGCCATTGTTTTAAAACAATTCTCTCTCACTACTGTGTTTAGAGAGAACTTGTGACTGCGTGACCATACGCTTCCCCAGGCCTACATGAGAATATGATTTCCTGTATCCTCTTAAGACATCGTATTCACTCTTTACAAGAGATTGCTGACACGACAGCGCCTCCACTAATGACAATGGCTATACGAGGAGAAATAAAGAGAGGAAAGATAGCAGCCTCACTGTTGACCTTTCAAATTCATCAGGGCCTGTACAAACAAAAAAATATATATCTTTACCTAACACAACTGCAGTTGTGAATCTCTGTATAGGACAACTCCGGAGAAAACTTGCCATTCTCTTCCTCTAATTCAGGGCTCGGCAAGGTTAACCTTGCCTGGGCTGGTTCACTCCAGCGGAGATCCCTCTATGGGTGCACGCAATTTCCAGGGTCTGCGCAGATGTGATTTTCAGTGTCTGCGTCTGTGCAGACATGATTACCGGCGCCACGAAAGCAAGCCCCTGCGCCATGCTGTGCCGGTTTAGTGCAGCATGCAGGGACTCGGCGAGTGAGCAGCTCAGTTCAGGGGCGGCTCGTGGGCCAGTTAAACGACCCCCATGGGCTGCTTGCAGCCCATGGGCCTTAGGTTGCTGACCCCTGCTTCTATTCCTATTAGAATATGAACTATGATCTCAGTCAGTAATTGGCAACAAAAAAACCGATTTTGCAGACGCAATATTCTGCAGTTGACTATCAGGGACTGGCTGGACCAAGAGGAGTGGTGGGAGGCACCAGCCGGGGAACCCTCAATGGAAACCCCAGAGGAGAAATGTTTAGAGCCAAGGGATGGTGGTGGGACATAGAGGAGAGGTCAGAGGGAGAGGATTGAGAGGAGGGGCCAGATGCTGAAGGGGCAACAGGATTTAGTGAGCAGGAAGAGCTTTTGATGGGGAGCAGTTCAGACTCTGAGGCGGAAGCAGAGCAGGGGGGGTCAAGAGGCCACTGCAGAATTCAAGGACTCTTCCCTCTCCTGCTGTGACAAGTACCCCACTCCCTTGGTCTCCAAGAACATGAAGTATAATGAGGTGAGCAGAACAGAGGCCAGAGGTGCAGAGGCGTAGTTTGAGACTGCTTGGGAAACATTTGGGAGGAGCCTTAGAAAGGGTGGAAGGCAGGGACCTCCAGTCCTGGCAACTGCTCCATAGGGGCAAGGCCTCCTAGGAAGTGTTGATGAGCTATATGCCGTTTCCTTGAATGAAGAGTTAACTTCACTGACAATGGAGCCCTGTGACTTTCGTGCTGACCAGCGTCTGACTCCAGCCCTGACACTGACCACCAGTGTCTCTGCAACAAGCAAGACTTCATTCTTCGTCTTAACACTGTAACGTGGCAGAGAGTCATTCAAGATCTTTAGCAAAACTTTACAGGCAGCACTTGAAATTAGCCAGAGACAGGGTATGATTGAAAATCTGGACAGTAAATTTAAAATTTGCAATTTTGTAGCATATTTTCAAATATTTATTTAAGCTCTTTATATGCCACAACTACCAAAGTGTCTCAGCAGTGTACATCATCATCATCATCATCATCATTAATGATGATGATGTGGCGCTTGGAATGTTGTCCAGGAGGGACTGCAGCCCTCAGGCTAAAAATGCTTCCCTGGCTGTACTCTAGGGTAAAAGACATTTGGAAGAAATAAAAGTTTTCAAGCAAATCAATTATTTTAATCTATGCTATAGTAGCCCCACTAATCCTGCTTCTGGGAAAGTTTCATGTGAGCAAGACCCTAAGGTGAGCAAGACCCTAAGTTATGAGCAACCCCTGAGAAACAAACTCCCACAGTTTAAGGCACATATTCCAGAAGAAGGAAATGAAAGATTCTGTTTTATATTTTCTTTAGGAGATAGAAAGCCATTTGCAGCAGCAGTTCCTGCCTGCTACAGAATTTGGAAACTGCTATCCGCTGCCATCCTGCAGCTTCTCTCATTCAAACATCAGAATGCCTGCCATAAAATGTGATGAGGCTGAACTGCTGCTCGCCAACAGTCTAGTACTGCTGGGATTTTATTGTTTTTCTCTATCAGTGTCTAATTCTGGTAAGAATAGCCCCATGTCAGCAGGGGAGAGAATAGCAGAGTTGTTGATTGCTGACTTATACAGTGGTACCTCAGGTTAAGTACTTAATTCGTTCCAGAGGTCCGTACTTAACCTGAAACTGTTCTTAACCTGAAGCATCACTTTAGCTAACAGGGCCTCCTGCTGCTGTCGCGCCGCCAGAGCCCGATTTCTGTTCTTATCCTGAAGCAAAGTTCTTAACCTGAAGCACTATTTCTGGGTTAGCGGAGTGTGTAACCTGAAGCGTATGTAACCTGAAGCGTATGTAACCCAAGGTACCACTGTATTCAATGGGGGTTGTGGATTTTTTTAAGATTTCAGCTGCAACTCAAAACAAGGTGGGTATTATCCCATACTAAGGAGGGGAGTATCTTTCACCAGAACACACACACACACACACACACACACACACAAGCAAAAAATGTTTTCCCCAATGCTTACTTGAAGGGGATATTGCCTATTATCCACTTGCATTTACTAAGCTATTGTAAGATGCTGAATCAATTGAGGGATCTGCTTCTATCTACACATAGCCGACCTGACTCAGGGTCAAATATTACAGAATCCAAGTTGAAACTACTAAAATCTCAACTGCAGGGAGGCACTCCACAATGGGGTTTGTTCGTGTTTTAAATGCACGTGGCAGGTGAATGGCTCAGACTGTGTGGAGAATAAAACAACACACCTAGGTTTCAAGAAACTGTATTTTGAAGATAACATTTCAAAACTTCACCGTTGAGGATGTGCTGTCAGATACCTCTGGGGAAACTTCACATGATTCGCCCACTCAGTAGTAATCTGTTTGCAAAGCTGTCTAATGTTGAAAAAAGCAACATGCAGTTTTACTCTACATATGCAAGAGACTCTCAACAGAAGAGTGTCTGATGACACAAGCCACCAGAAAATAAAATGAGATGAAAATATATTAGAACATAGAACATGCATTGTTGTTTTTCTGGATGGGGTGGTGGTGGTGGTGGTGGAAATCATGAATATTTTGACCCCTATGGGAGGGGAGAGTGGTCTTGTGCTGTTTTTCTGCTTGCTGATTTCCCACAGGCATCTGGTTAGCCGCTGTGAAATCATGATGCTGGACTAGATGGGCCACTGTCTTCATCCAGCAGGCTCTCAGCCAGTTATAATAATAGTAGTAGTAGTAGTAGTAGTAATAATAATAAATTATTTATACCCCGCCCATCTGGCTGGGCTTCCCCAGCCACTCTGTGTGGCTTCCAAAAAAAAATATTAAAATACTGTAATACATCAAACATTAAAAACTTTCCTAAACAGGGCTGCCTTCAGATGTCTTCTAAAAGTCTGGTAGTTCTCTTTGACATCTGGTGGGAGGGCATTCCACAGGGAATGCGCCACTACCGAGAAGGCCCTCTGCCTGGTTCCCTGTAAATTGGCTTCTCGCAGTGAGGGAACCGCCAGAAGGCCCTCAGAGCTGGACCTCAGTGTCTGGGTAGAATGATGGGGGTGGAGACGCTCCTTCAGATATACTGGACCGAGGCCGTTTAGGGCTTTAAAGGTCAGCACCAACACTTTGAATTGTGCTCGGAAACGTACTGGGAGCCAATGTAGGTCTTTCAAGACCGGTGTTATATGGTCTCGGCAGCCACTCCCAGTCACCAGTCTAGCTGCCGCATTCTGGATTAGTTGTAGTTTCCGGGTCACCTTCAAAGGTAGCCCCACGTAGAGTGCATTGCAGTAGTCCAAGCGGGAGATAACCAGAGCATGCACCCCTCTGGCGAGGCAGTCCGCAGGCAGATAGGGTCTCAGCCTACGTACCAGGTGGAGCTGGTAAACAGCTGCCCTGGACACAGATTTGACCTGTGCCTCCATGGACAGCTGTGAGTCCAAAATGACTCCCAGGCTGCGCACCTGGCCCTTCAGGGGCAGTTACCCCATTCAGGACCAGGGAATCCTCCACACCTTTTTATATTGAGGTTACAGTGATAAATTCACCATTCTGCTTTATCATCCCCTACCATTTCCTACTGCTGGTTAAAGATTGCTAAAAGGTATGCAGATATTGGAAACACAAATCCAAGTTTCTTAACTTCAAAACATCAATGGAGCTGACCCAGATTTGATACAAACACACAGAGGCAGCCAAATCCTGGAAAGATCAAAACAGACTTAAGAATTAAATGTCAAGAAGTGATAGGTCTCTTCTCAGTTCACAAGCTCTCGGCAAACATCTGAGTTCTCATTCATGCCAATCATCCTATTGGGGTGGGGGTGGATTTAATAGTAAACAGCCATTGCAAATCCAGACACCTCTCCAATAAGGGTGCTTGAAAGAATGAAGAAAGAATGGTTTCATATAATACCAGCATGGACAACAAGGAGTCCCCCAAGTTGTGGGTGCACACCAAAAGACTGCAAGACTTTAATATATGGCTCCACTGACATCATTGTGGTTGGGAAATAACTTCCCCCATTGTCTGCTGGTTCTTACACCATCTGTTTTATTGTTTGCAAGCTCCAAGACCCCACATACAAGCAGGGATGGAAAACTGCAGACTCCAATTCCATCAGCCCATTAGCATGGTCAAGGATAATGGGGGTTGTAGCTCAGCAATTGTTTCATTGGTATAGATACAGGCAAAGGTGAGCAGCATCAACAACATGTCTCCAAACACAGTGTACATCCAAGATGATGGTGTGACTTCACTGACTTCCTTCTTTTCAGGTCCTTAAATCATTGCCAAGCATAAAGAATTTTGTCCTGAAAACCCACCTTCTACCATCTGAAGTATTTCCATTAGCCGCACACAATAATAGGCGCACACACGTACTGTGAACTGTGTCAGAACAACTGGTGTATTAGTCCATCATAGTGAGCCTCCACTCTTCATGAGACTTACTTGGGAGTTACTGTTCTCTGAGTAAATAAGTAATGTGCAATACCTCACACATTTGTTGTGCTGATGAAGGTGTAGCTCCTTCCTCGGAGGAGGTTGGATGGACATCTGTGATGGATGCTTTAGCTGAGATTCCTGCATTGAAGGCGTTGGACTAGATGGCCCTTGAGATCCCTCCTTCCAACTCTACAATTTTGTGGTGTTTCATCTTTCTGTGCTCCCCCAGCCGGCATTCCAACAAGACTCATTTTATTCCTACAACCTGTTGCCTGGACCCTCACACCTCGGAAACTGTTCCTTGCTATCTGTTGATTAACAAAACAGGATGTGGCAATGTTAATATTTAAGATGGAGCTTCCTGTCTATTTGGCCCAGAGAATTGCTGCCGATTCTCAAAAGCCTCTTGCCTGTCCTAGTGAGGGCCATGAGCTTTAGAGAAACACAGACAAAAACTGACGTTCAGGCTATTTTAGCAGGGTGGAGAAAAATCTGGTACCCTGTTGTCATGCTATTCCCCTCAACCATAACTGCGGGAGGGCAGCACACAGCTCACGTAATCCATAGAGAAACATGAAAGCTCAGCGGTAAATGGCCAACAGCATGTCTGCTCTGTCGTGTGATTAGCTTACACAGCCACAAGCACAGATCACATAGAAAGAAGCAAGTTAAGATGGACTGAGCCACATTCAGTCTCTATGTTGCACTTACACTGAGAAGTTTGCTATCCATGCCAGATATGCATTGCAATTATTTTTCTCCCCAGGTATGCTGGTGTTGGGGAAGGTGCTACTGAACATGAGCAAGGGAAGCTGGATTGTGCACCTGCCAGTCTTAAATAATAAAGCTTCTTTCAGAACGGAGCCTGCTTTCATTTCCTAGAACAAAATGAGCCTTTTTATCTATTAATATCAGTGCACTACTGAAGAGCACTCACTCTTCTGCAACCAACTTGCGATGCTTTCCACGTGTTGGAAAAACAAGGCCTTAGATTTGCATTTGGGGATTTGTTTGTTTGTTTCAGTTGGTTTCCAGGAAGGCACTAGGAGCACAGGCCAAGGTGAATTAGTAATTCTTGCCCACACTGAAAGACAAGGGGTCTATAATGACAGATCACTGCAAAACACAAATTCTGCTGCTATATAAAATATGGTATAGAGAAGCAGCACTATTGTAGGTGAAAGAGAAAGACAGAAGGAGAAATACATACAATCAGACAGTACTCCTTATTTATCCTGTTTCCAATTCAGCTAAAAGCTACTGCCTTCGTTTCTGCATGGTCTCCTTTCATATTCTGGGGGAGATTTTCAGAGGCGATTCTGTTTCCAAAATATAAATAATAACTTACTGTAGTCAGCATGTGTGACCGGAATCAGATTAAGCTTCACAGAATTGATATGATAACATCATCTGTTCCATTTGTCACACAAGGAAGGTAAAGCAAAGGACCAGGCTGTTGTTTTTAAGTTTCACCGCAGAAGAAATTTGCAAAGACTAAATACAATAGAGTTTGTTGCTATTACATACTTCACTAAAGCAGGGGTCGGAAACTTCAGACTTCCTGATCTGCCTTGACTTTTACCCAAACCCTGAGATACATCAGCTGCAGCCACGAGAAACAGCCTCTTAGAATTAAGGACTAGAATGCATCTGAGCACATGCCAAGCCCAGGATTTTGTTTCTAGGACCCACACTGAGCTCACAGTCCTGTCACTCAAAAAGCCACTCCCGTCTTTTATTTACAGTATTTATTAAATTCATATCCCGTCCTTCCTCCCTAAAGAGGCAGCAAACATACAAGCAATAAAAGAAGTGAAACATTTTAAAAACAATTCTAATACAGTGGTACCTCAGGTTAAGTACTTAATTTGTTCTGGAGGTCCGTACTTAACCTGAAATTGTTCTTAACCTGAAGCACCACTTTAGCTAAAGGGGCCTCCTGCTGCCGCTGTGCCGCTGGAGCACAATTTCTGTTCTCATCCTGAAGCAAAGTTCTTAACCTGAAGCACTATTTCTGGGTTAGCGGAGTCTGTAACCTGAAGCGTATGTAACCTGAAGTGTATGTAACCTGAGGTACCACTGTACAGAGACAGACTGAAAAAGACCTGTACTTAAAAGGCTTTTGGGAAGAGGGAGGTCTTCAGTAAGTGCTAAAAAATATATATTGTCAAACAACTGCCATCTTTGCTGATCTACTGCCAAGTCTCACAGAAAAGATCCTAATCTACCCTCTGCCTGTCACTGCTATGAAGATCACTGAATGATATTCCCAGTACCAGTTCAAAGTTTTGAGGGACCATTCAGCAAGATGTGCTGAGTAGACCCATTTCCCCCTTGCTATTATCACTATTGCTCAGGTCTCCCTCTGGACCCATTCCACACAATGCCAAGAGGAAGAACACAATGCTTGCAGAGCATCACTGCTCATTCTCCTCACTCTTGCCTCTGCTCGCATGCTTAGAGGGGGAAGATGGACAAGCATGGAAGCCAAGAGTCTTCAGATGTTGGAAAATGGGCCTCCTGATGGGGTATGGTTCTCAGCAGCTGCCCAGCGCCTAGCATCCAACACCAGCCCTGTTCTTCCTGTAATCATCAACAAATACGAAGTGAACAAATACCGGAACCAAGCTGAGCACTGCCTGTCATAATGCTTCCCTTTTCCTTCCATGAAAGGCTGTTGAGAATAAAAGAACATGTGTGGCATGACTGTGAATGAAAGCCGGCTTCTAATCTTCTTCATTTAATTCTGTGGCACTGCCCTAATATATCCTCCTGCGAGCCAAGCAGCTTCAAATTATTGAAAATATCACCTAATCACTTTCAGGGGCTCAGGAACTGGAATACAGGTGTCATGCAGTTACTACCAATTCAGCTTACTGCTCTCATTTTACGAGCCAGAAATCAGGGTCAGTAGGGGCCTTATTTTTAGAAAGGTTTTATTGCTGTTGTGTTGCAGACAAACATGTTCTAATACTGTTCTAAAGAACAAACGTCACAAGGGGCCTTTCAGCAACACAGTAGTATTTGGAATACCACACATAAAGTCTGCGGGAGTACAAAAAGTATATACTCCCTTGCTGTTTGAGAAATGCCTCTGCTCTGCTAAGACAAGGTTTCTGCTAAACCTTGCAATTCACAAGTCAACATAACATTACTTAGGAACAACAACAACAACAACAGACCTCTTCCACCATGAAAAGAAAATACATTGTTTTGGTAAGTTTCCTGAATGTTCACTGTCAATATTTTTTTCTGTGCACCGCTTCAGGTAGCTCAAGTGGGAAAATAAACCAAATTACCTGGGCATGGTTTGGCTGTGACCACAGCAAGCCCCTAGATCATGGGGGCCTAACATGCAGCCCATGGGCCACATGTAGCCCTCTGCAACATTTGAAGCCCCCCACAGCCAGGTAAGTGAGGTGCTGAACTTTGGGAAGGAGGTGTGGGGGCTCTGGTAAGGTCCTAATGCTTTCCCCGCTTTGGGAAGGAGGTGGGAACGCTCTAGGACCTTGCCAAAGCCTTGCACCTCCTCCCCCCAAAGCCGGGCATCTCACCTGGCCAGCTTTGATAAGGCAGTGGAACGGTTGGGGGGGGAGGTTGTCAAATTTTGGCCTCACTCCCACCTCCACCCCACTCCCCGCATTTCCGAATGCTTCAGATTTTGGGAGGTTCTCATGCACTGAAGCCATTTTTTTTTACGCAGTATAATTTCTATTTATATTGATGTTTAATATCACTGTAATTTAATCCTATGAATTGTTCCTCTTCGTGACTTCTTTAACTACTCGTGACTTCTTTCCCCACAAGAATCAAGCTACCACTGGATGGACTCATCAAGCAGCCAAAAATATGGACTGACACCATGAAGCCATAAATTCTGTTTATCCTTAGCGTCAGAGCCACCACTACCACCTTTGGCTATACTTAAAGAGATAAAAGAGCCCTCTCTCAAAGGATTATTTTTAAAAAAGAAATAACACATCACTTACATCAAATCACAAATGCCACTGATGTCCCTAAGCTGTCCCACTCAATTGGCTTTCTTACGTCAAACACCACTCACCAACTGTCACAAATTCATGAGACTTCAGACATTCTTTAACAAACTAGTGAGGACCAAAAACAACAATAATCTTAAGGCCACTCCACAGAATCGCGAGCTAATAATATCACAAAAGCCGATCTCTCTTCCTCTGTAGACATACACCCACATATTTTGTGGCACAATGCAAAAGAAGAACAAGTTGATCACAATATTTGAAAACTAAAGCAACAGTCTACGTGCAAGGCCAAAAGAGGATATTGAAAGCTGGAATGCGGAGAAATCAAGAGATAAGAGCAGAGATTTAGCTCTCTCAAACTCTGCAGGCAGTTTACAAGGTTATCGGCATAAAACACAGAAGACTACCGAAAAAGCCCAAAGACTAGTTCACCTAGCATTTGCACAGCGCTTTCATAGCACATGCATTATCATGTTTAGGGGTATCCAATAAGGTGTCAGCCAGATGTTTGGACTATAGCTTCCATCATCTTTGACCACTGGCCCTGCCAGATGGGAATGATGGGAGTTCCTAATCATATGGAGAGCACAATGATGGCTACCTCTGGTTTAGTTTTAATCCTAACAATAACACTGTAAGGAAGTCAGAATTATGACCCCCCAAATTACAGAGAGGAGGGACTGAAGCTTACAGAAAGTGTGAGTTGATGGCAGAGGCAGAGACAAAATTTGAACCAGCGACTTCTGAGTTGTAGGCTCAATCTCTTAGCTACTGTGCTACATCAACTGATCATATTATGTATTTATAAACGATTTCTGTTCTCATCCTGAAGCAAAGTTCTTAACCCGAGGTACTATTTCTGGGTTAGCGGAGTCTGTAACCTGAAGTGTCTGTAACCAGAGTTACCACTGTAGTCCAAGCGGGAGATAACAAGAGCATGCACCACTCTGGCAGGACAGTCCACGGGCAGGTAGGGTCTCAGTCTGCATACCAGATGGAGCTGGTAGACAGCTGCCCTGGAAACAGAATTGACCTGCGCCTCCATGGACACCTGTGAGTCCAAAATGACTCCCAGGCTGCACACCTGGTCCTTCAGAGGCACAGTTACCCCATTCAGGACCACTGAGTATCATGTTCAAAAATATGGCAGTAAATGTCAAAAAATGTAGAAACTGCAGGGTGTGATAAACAATTATCCCCCCCCCCAAAAAAAAGTCTGATGATCTAAAATAGCCAAAAGTTCAATCGTGCCCAAGAACAAATAGGCAGTCATAAGATCATCAGCTGCCTATGATGATGTGTGCAACTGTAAGAAACTCATACATCTTTACTTGCAGGGGGGAAAATAAATCTGCAATGTATCACATCTATGTCCCAGCATCACACCAAAGCCAAACAGATTACAAAAGCAGCAGGTATTGGGTTTGGTGTAACACAATACACAGACCTCATTTCCAAAAAGTGTGTTACACTGTATATGACTTACTGCCCAGCTCATTCTTCAACCTAATCCATTTGGAGATATTATTGAAAAGAAACGATGGATTATAACAGAATGGCCATCTGCAGACTGTGATTTTGCAGCCAGTAAGATTCAGGTGACAAATAATAAGCAGAATATATTTCACTCCAGTAAACAGAAGCATGACCAATTCTGCTCCCATTTGTCATGACTCTGGACCTGAGCACAGACTCAACGGGACTTGCTGAACCCAAGTCCCCCAAGCCCAAGATGTCTGAGAACTCCAGAACCAAGATGCCAGAGACCTCCTGAGTCTAGACCGGAGACTGCAGCCACCTATGTTCAAGGACAACAAGTGCCCAGGATAATTGCCACCAAGGGTCTCACACTGCACAGTTCAAAACAAGGTTACCTTCACTTCCTCCTTCTCTCTTTCTTTCTCTCTCTCTCTCTCTCTCTCTCTCTCTCTCTCTCTCTGTGCCATGGGATTGCACTGTGCTTGCTACCCATAAAGCAGTTTGTGTGACTGCATGCATGTATGCACATGGATGTGTGCATAGATATGCAGCATTAGTCTAATGTTTCTACTATGCGCACAGATGTGCAGCATTAGCCTATGCCTCTACTATGGCCAAAAGTGTACACCTAAATCAGGGGTCAGCAAACTTTTTCAGCAGGGGGCCAGTCCACTGTCCCTCAGACCTTGGGGTGGGTCGGACTATATTTTTCAGGGGAAATGAATGAATTCCTATGCCCCACAAATAACCCAGAGATGCATTTTAAATAAAAGGACACATTCTACTCATGTAAAAACACGCTGATTCCCGGATCGTCCGCGGGCCGGATTTAGAAGGCGATTGGGCCACATCCGGCCCCCGGGACTTAGTTTGCCTACCCATGACCTAAATAGAAGGGAAAGGACAACTAGAGAGACCTTCAAGAATGAAGGCATTTGGGTGGTGTGGATTTTGGGTAGTAGCAAGGAAGGTCTCTTGGAGAAAAACTGAAAAGGAGCACCCCCACCCTGCCCAGGACATGCTGGAAGAATGGTTTGCTTGGCCTTGTGGTTTTTTACATGCACTTTTAACACACTGCTGACGCCACACTCTGTGGAACATTTTCCCACTTGCTGAAGATTTTTCAGTTGTACTTCTTGCAATGGTTCTGAATTGCCTTTAACTTTCCATTTAAAAAAGAAAGCCAGTATATAAGAGTCTAGAAATAAATGAAAACATACCTAGCAATGACTAAGGTTACTGCAATGACAGTGGCAAGCCGTATCTCCCTTTATGTCTCATATTGCTTCAAATTAATTTTATCTTGTGGAAGAGCAACAGTGATGATACTATTGCTAACTTACCAACTAATGATTGCAAGGGAAATGTTCAGAAAAGCTCTTTAATCAACAAGGTTCAAGGGAGGACTTGGAAATAATTGTCAGGGAGACGGCAGCAACTGAACAGCTTTAAATACTATGATTCCATGAACACGAACCTTCAGGCATACAGAGAATGGGGTGGGGAAAGGGAAGAGAATGAGTGCAAAGCACTTCAGTCAGGGAAGGACCTTGAGAAGCCCTGCAAACAACCTCTTAGATCTTAATTAAAGCATTCAAGGTTGACTACTCAGAAATTCTGTTATTTTATACACACTTGTAATACAGTGGTACCTCGGGTTACATACGCTTCAGGTTACATACGCTTCAGGTTACAGACTTTGCTAACCCAGAAATAATGCTTCAGGTTAAGAACTTTGCTTCAGGATAAGAACAGAAATCTTGCTCCGGCGGCACGGCAGCAGCAGGAGGCCCCATTAGCTAAAGTGGTGCTTCAGGTTAAGAACAGTTTCAGGTTAAGAACGGACCTCCGGAACAAATTAAGTACTTAACCTGAGGTACCACTGTAGTTACACATTATAGAACTACTATTATATGGTCATCATGTAGGAAGCTACAGGGAGCTTATTCTCAGCAAAGCATCTGATCAGAGGGAAACAAAGCAGCTTTCCCCCCAAAACCTTAGAAGAAATTCTTAAAACTATGGAACAAAAGCAGGATCTGCCCTAAGTTGCAACTGCCATGATCTGGGAAATCAGCAGATCAGAACCGTAACATCTTTTTCCTGGGATCAAAACACGAGCATGTTATTATGAAGTTAATGGGCTGGTTTTGTTTCTTCCTACTCATGCCTGGGAGAAACAAACCACAATCTCTGGCTCAGTGTTATGTCTGAATCAAGGATCACGGCCTCTTTTGCTCCAGTGGCAACCAAGGCAAAACTTGTAGCACCTTAAAGACAAATAAACTTTTGTAGACTAGAGTCCACTCCATCCGCTGTCATTCTCAGCTTTTCAAATACATATCAATTAAAGGTTAATAAGAACAGTGACCTTTCAGGAGTAATTGGTGATAAGGCAATTATTCCCCACCTGCTGTGTTAATGAACACCTGGGGTGGGACCAGAAACCCTTGTTTCTATTCATGTTGAGACTGATAGAATTTGTCCAAGAGTTGGATTCTAATTTGGAAATTTCAGAAGCCTTTAAAGTTTGTTTGTTGAAAAATACAGTGTCATAAGAGTGAAATGCTGCTAAAGACTAATGCACCTAGCCCTCTGGAAAACATATCTTGCATTACTTTTGCCTTTCAGCACCTTGAAACATGGACATGCAGGTCCCAGATGACAGCGTCCTCAAAATTCCACTGGAGTGGAAGTATTTGCAACTGGCCCCACAGAGACCCAGGTGGTCTCCAGGGAAAAGTGTGGCTATCTACCAGCTCTTGAAGAGATATCTGTTCTGACAAGCATTCCCCTGATCTCCTGACCTGAACCTCTTGTCTTGTTTTAGTCACTGATTCAACTGTTTTAATGAGTGTGCTCTTTTAATGGGTTTGTTTCATTGTACATTTTGATTGTGGGTGTTTGTTGTCTTTATTGCACATTTAATCATGTTTTTTTAAAAACCAGTTTTACACTTGTCAACCGTTCAGAAGCCACTTTGACAAGTAGGCAGTACATATGTTTAATACAAAATAATAATAACAATAATATTAACAGTTTTGGTTGGTGCATTGACTGTGCCCTTTTCCTGGGCAAGGATAGCTTGGCCACCGTGACTCAAGCACTGGTAACCTCACTTTTAGACTGCTGTAGTGTGCTTTATGTAGGGCTTCCTCTATGTTTGGTCTGGAAGCTACAGCTGGTACCAAGCACATATCAGGCCAGTGCTGAAGGATCTGCACTGGCTTGTCCATTAGCCACCAAGTCAGTTTTAAGGTCCTGTTACTTAAGTAACTCTAGACCAGGCTACCTGAAAGAGAAGATTTCCTCTCCATTGTGTAACTGTTTTTCATACTTTGCAAACCCCCTATTTTGACATTAAGACTATTTGGATGACCAAGAGTCAAAGTAGACCAAATTCTGAATGAGGATATCAGTACATTCAAAATAAACACTATGCAAACATACACAACAAGGTCTGCTAAAGCTGTTGAATGAGTCCTGCATTACAATAATAAAAAAATCTACTCTTGTTTTTAAAAAAGAGGCATTCATGCTGATTTATAGCGGCCGGTGGTTTCTGCTCAGGCAGTATCTCAGTCTAAACATGGCTCTCATGAGCAGAAATCCCCACAGGCCTGCAGCTTCTAATTATGTAAAGGTCTGGAATGAAACCCGCACATTGCAGAAATCAATAAATATGGTAATAAGAGAAGAATCCCCTTGCTGCCAAGTTCAGTAAGCCAAAACATAAAATGGGAAATTGTTTTCTCTGTGAAAGTTGTATCACTGGAGGCAGCTTATTCCTCCATCAGTGTGGCACCTTTAAAAAGCCTATGCAAAAGACCTACTGATCAGCACCAATAGAGAGACAAGGAGAAGGAGAAGGTTTCTGCACGTGATTCTAGTTGAAGATGAAAGAGTCTTATGACATTTTGACAATATGTCAAAATGACATTATTGATGGCACCGAGGTAGGGGATAGAGAAAGAGGACAGAAACTAAAGGCCACGTACAAAAAGACGCCAGAGACATCTGACTTTTTCTGTAACCAAGATAAGGGCAACAAATGGACTGAAGCTCACAAACATTCCCAAACACTTAATCATGGCTAAGCAATTGTGGAATGGGATATGGGATCAGGAGCTCCTTCCCCATGGCTCCTCCCTTCTGCAGCTCAAATCCCAGCCCCTTTCCCTGCTTGCCTAAACCACAGCTATAGGACTGCAGGAGCAGCAAAGAACCAGGATTTCAAACCAATCAGGGTTTCAAGTTGGTTACAAACTCTGCTAAAGAATATCAATAACACATTTAACTGTTGTTAAGGCTAGCAGGAGAGAATTTGCACTCAGAGGATACCATACAGTACACCCCCAAGGATTGCTTCCAGTTGTTTAACCATGATTAAGCATTACATGTTCCCAAGCCCATTAACAACTATAGCAGCTCTGTGGTGTCAGCCCATGTTATAATTATCTTAACACTGTAAGCATATAATTGTGCTTTAGTTATAATTACATTGTATACCTTCCTCCTCCTACATGCCTCCCAAAAAAGTATTAATGATTTCCTAAAAAATAAACCTTAAGATTGCCTAAAATTTTACTTAAGAACTTTGGAATACACAGCACACACACATTCACTGTATGAATTGCCAATTATCTCTGTTATGAAGTGGCATAATGTAACCCATAATAGAACTATGATATAGTCCTATAAACTAATACAGTCCTTCTATGTGAACTAATCCTATTATATAAACTAATATGATATAGTCCTGTAAATGAATCACCAGCACTATCTTAAATTCAAATTACTGTTCTACATGAGCCACAGTGCAGAATGAAGGCTAGTTTGGGTGAGACAACAAGTGCCAAATTCTAAACAAATCTGTGAGCTACTGATAAGCGCTGTTGGAGAAATTAAGACAAAAAGATGGCAGAATTGCACACGCTTTTCACCTTTTCCTCCCTAGTTACCTGCAAAAGATAACCTACAACAAAGCACCTAATGAAGCAGACTCTATTCCATGAAAATTTCACCATTATAAATTTGTCAGTCTTTCCTGTGCTGTGAAGTCTCTTCATTGTTTCTACAGCAAACATGAAATGTAGTCCATTTACTGGCGACACCCAGGGATAGAATGCTACCGCATTAGCAGAGGAATACAAACGTTCTGGCAGCAATAGAGCCCTAACAATGCAATACCATGACTTGTAATTCTGTAAAGAGAAAACTGCAACCTGAATTAGCAAAACAGACCTCGCTGATGGTACTGATCCGCCGAGGGCCTTCAGACATGGACCACTTGCACAGAACCTATCAGGAAATGGAGATGGCGACAACGTGGCAGTGCTGATTTTGGAATTTACCAAAGCGACTGTCCATGTTGGGGACACGGGTGGTGCTGTGGTGTAAACCACTGAGCCTTGGGCTTGCCCATCAGAAGGTCGGCGGTTCGAATCCCCGCGATGGGGTGAGCTCCCATTGTTCAGTCCCTGCTTCGAAAGCATGCCAAAGTGCAAGTAGATAAATAGGTACCACTCCGGCGGGAAGGTAAACGGTGTTTCCGTGCTCTGCTCTGGGTTCGCCAGAAGTGGCTTAGTCATGCTGGCCACATGACCCAGAAAAACTGTCTGCGGACAAACGTTGGCTTCATCGGCCTGTAAAGCGAGATGAGCGCCGCAACCCCAGAGTCATTTGCGACTGGACTCAGTTGTCAGGGGTCCTTTACCTTTACCTTTTTACTGTCCATGTTTCATTCCTCTAATTCAGGATTGAGGAATTTATGGTGCTCCAGATGTTGCTGTGCTATAGCTCTCATATTCCCAGACCACTGACCATGCTGGCTGGGGCTGATGTCCAACAACATCTGCTCCCCCTTCCAGATTTAAGTAGGAAGTATGACTGATGAGTTCTTTGGCACAGGACAGAGATGGATGGCAAGCAACTGCAGCGCTGTATAGATCAGGTAACTAGTACTAACCACATTTATCATTTCAAGTACATACTACAACATACACCAGGAAATAATTTAACCAATAATTTCTCTTCCTGATATTCAAGGATCGGCATATAGCCCAATGTACTACACAAGTGTGTGCCACAACATGCAGACACCCCACAGAAAAGTCACACAATAAAATGTCAGCAAGAGTTTAGCACTTCCGCATGTGGTCGATATGTATCATTTCAGGAAATGTTTATTGTTCTTCTATTTTTGTCACAAAGCTTTTTAGTTCTAACCCATGAGATCTCTTGAATCATCACCGGTCTTCCTTTTTCAACCTTGATTTTACTGCTCACTTTCCACTACAATGTTGTGCAGTTTCTCCAAGGCGGTGAAGACTTGGAAGGTGCGTGCATCTCATCGTATGCTGCAATGATTTTTAAAATATATACATTGCATTAATCTGTGTTGCCCAATAGCTTCAAAAACCTCTCATTACTGAAGACATGCTGGATAAGGCAAAAGGTCTATTGGTTCCAGCATCCTAAATCCCAGTGGCCAAAAAGATTCTGATAGGAAGTACCAAGGCAGAACATGACTGCAACTGCCCTCTCTTGCTCTTGTTATGCAGAAACTAGCATTTAGAGGCATGATGCATTGTGACAGCTGTCCACTTATCCCTGCTTTCTGCTTCCTGTTCTTCAGCTAGTCACCAATCTATAATTTTTATTTATCCAGAATATATATTAAGCTAATTGGCCTGTAATAGCCTAGATCTCTTATCAAAATTAGTGTTCCATTGGGTTGATTATAGTTCTCTGGAGCAGAGGCTGAACTTAGGGACATATTTTTGTCAAAAGGTCACTAAGCATGATGTGTTCTTTTTTCCCCCCTCCTCTCATCTCCACTTTTTCCCTCAGTTCTTCAGACTCCCTCCTGTGAAAGGTAGTTCAGGCAAAAAATTCATTCAGCTTCTCTGCAATCTTTTTTCCCCTCCTCAGCAAACCTTAAAGCTTTATTGATTATTGTTCAATAACCAGTTTCCTGCTTCTAATGTATTTAACGCTCCTTTTTATTGTTGGTCTTTTTGTCTTTAGTGATATGCTCCTCTTTTTATACCATACTGCCTGCTTACGTTTCTTTTGTTAAAGTTTGTGTTCCTTTTCATTCTTCTCATTTGGGCAAAGACTTCTCAATTCTTGAAGGAAGTCTGTTCATTAACCATACTGCCATCCTCTTGGCCTTAGTGGCACCTTTCTTGACATGTGGAATACATTCTAGCTTAGCTTCTATTAATTGTGATTTTTTTCAACCCATCAGGATTCCAGAGAGATGTGACCCGCTTCAAATTCTCTTTTAACTTCCTTTTAACCAATCCCCTCATTTGGGGGAAATTTTCCTCTTCTGAAGTCAACTGTGATTGCAAGGACTTTCTTGGTGATTGTCCACTTACGTATATGTTGAATGCAACTGCACTCTAGCCACTGTTTCCAACTGCATTCACAACATCCAGCCACCACTTAGCATTAAGTCTGGGGCTGCCTCTCTAGCTGACTCCATGTCCAACTGTTCTACAACAGTCACTTAGGGTGTCTGCATTTTACCTCTTTGTCATCACTAGAACACACTTTGACAATCTGCATGGGGGGAATTGTTGTCACCCATTAACAACAACACTTTCTCCTTTGAACGCCCATTTGATTCAATACTCTTCTTCAATATCACCCTGAAAATGTTGGTCCTCCATACCCAATTACTACTGAGATCAAGTTTTACCACCTATAGCCAACCTGTGAAGTCTAACCCCTTGGGATTGCTAGCTCATTTGTCTCCATGCCCTCTTTGACATATGGAGAAACACCCGTACACTCATCCCTGGTGTCCCAGTGAAGTTTGTAACCATATCCTACTGGTTCTTTCCCTCAGGGGTGAGTTTAAAAGCTGCTCTACCACTTGTTTTGATATTAAGCATAAGGAGACGGGTACCATTTTTGCTCTCTCTTTTGGTCCACAATGCTCGAGAGGTCCAAAACCCCTCTCTTCACTTTCTCTTCCCCCCACTGACATCCTCCTTCCCTAAGACCCTCATCATCCATGATGACAGAACAGGAGCTGCCAGTTTGGGGGGTGGGGTGCTGCCATCACATCCCTAAAAGCCCCATCTGCAAGCCTCTAAGCTTCTCCAGGTCAGCAACCTTGACCTCAATGGAATAAACTTGCAACTGGAGAAGCCAGGAGCTCATTGCACCCAGCACATGCTGCAACTTATGTTCAAGTGGGCAGGTAGCCGTATATGTTATACACTGCAAGAGAGAGGATAGCTCACATACCCCTGCCAGCTATCCACCTGCATAACTGTTTATATATTGATATGAATATAAATTAGCCATGTTACGAAGATAAGAAAATCCCGCTTTTCTTTTTAGACTCCGCTCTCTGAGGCATCCCTCACTACCCCCAAGTCAGAGAGACAAGGAAATCCCTTATGCAGAAACCGCACAGCTGTTCTAACATTCTGACATATTTTTTTCATCTATTTTGTGATTTGTATAGTGCACATATTCTGAACACAATGCTTTTGATAATTACAAAACACCAACTGGAAAATAATTCCTTTGGCGGTGGCGGAGAGGGAAGCTTTCATCCCTATCCAACAGCATGCGCTCTGAACAAGGGACAAATTAGTACTATGCATACTGGCACATTTATGGCATTTGATAGTCCTTGGAAGCCAGCTGCTCTTCATCCATCAATAAAAGCAGACCCATGACAAATTTCATGTGACCAGTTGTAGGAAACATCGTGGGATTTCTGCCATGAAGGCTATCTAGTTCTGCGGCTACAACAAGCACTTTGCTTTTAGTTCCACATCACAACCACTTTGTTTCAACTGCACTTTAAGGTCCCTTCCCCACTGTAATAGATAGAAGTCCCCAAGCTGAAGAGCAGAGTCCGAAAAAACTTTTCAGTGGTCAAAAATTGAACCCACACAACTCACTGCTGCCCTCCCTCCTCTTCGCTGCCATTCTTCAACTGTTGCATCTTTACTTGCTCTTCAACAAAACTTTTCATTTCCCCTCTTAACTCTGCTACAGTCATACCTCCCCCAACCAATCCTGTAGTCCTTGCAAGCTCCCACACATGGGCACCAGGGACTACTTTTTAAAAATCCCTGTAACTATTCATTTTCTGCAAGTGCCCGTGAGCAGCACTTTGAATGACTCCCACGCACTCACTTCAGATGCATAATTTTGTCAGCGACTGGAACACAGTTATAACACAGTTGATATCCTCATTAAATCCAGAAACAAAAACAGGGTCATTTTTTCTAGTATAGGACATGCCTTTAAAGTCAACATCTACCCAACTGAAGTAAGAACTCAAGGGGCGTTATGAATCATCAGCCAACCGGTTCTGAGGAACATGCCCCTTCAAATTTCATGCCAAAGTATTTAAAAATAATTATCGTCAGAATGCCTGTATTCTAAAGATTGCCAGTGCAACTCCAAAAGATACACCAGGGAGCCTCCTGAAAACATTAAAAATATATCCTAATTCAGTGCCAAGAGATTTCAAATACAGTGGTACCTCGGGTTACATACGCTTCAAGTTACATATGCTTCAGGTTACACACTCCACTAAGCCAGAAATAGTGCTTCTGGTTAAGAACTTTGCTTCAGGGTAAGAACAGAAACCGGGCTCTGGCGGCGCGGCAGCAGCAGGAGGCTCGATTAGCTAAAGTGGTGCTTCAGGTTAAGAACAGTTTCAGGTTAAGTACGGACCTCCGGAACGAATTAAGTACTTAACCTGAGGTACCACTGTAGTAATGTACCCTTAATGACATATACAAGTAGCTCTATATGTATATTATTTACGGTGCATAACTAATTCTTGCTTCTAAGATGCTGAGCTTTAAAATAAAGAACTTGGAATTATATGACTGTAAAAGTTGTGGACAAGAAGAGGGAATAATGGATAAAGTGAAGGAGAAGAGGACAGAAACTGAGGATTCATGAGAAGTAGGGGCTCAATTTTGACACTCCCCATAACCAGACACCCCCAAAACAGCCATGCCCCAAGCAGAGTTCTCAAATGCAGGGAACTAAGTTGATCTATTATTATACACATGCAGACATAGCAGCACTTTATGCATGCCTGCAATCCTACGCATTTTCCCTGAGAGTAAGCTCCACTGAACTTAATGATACTACTTATTTTGAGTTGCATAGGTTCAACCTGAAAACTCACTGAACTTTAATGAAGCATCTTCTGACAGCTGGGTACTTATCGCTTACTTACAAATGTAAGCAGTCCTGCAAAGAAATGTTGCCCTTTAAAGTACTAGGCCCATCAATTAACCTTGCTAAAGGAAAGTGGGGAAAATAAATAGCTTGCTTAATTGTTTTCTTCTTTCTCCAACTTCCAGAATGCTAATCTATCACAAACAAACTAGAAAGTCTCAACATTATTCATTTGTCAGAGCCAGGGTGGTCTGTAAATTACTCCAACACAGATGAAATTATCACTCCTATTGTGGAAAAAAAAAAAACCACTGGAGCTGCACTTTGCTATCTTCCCTCCACAACACCACTAGACAGTCGTCGTTTTTGAGAGGAAACAAGGAGAAAGACAGACAGGCGAAGCACCTAATGACTGCAAGACCCCACCATCCAATAAGATATTTTAAACAAAGATAGCATATTCATGATTGCAATTCTATTTACTGAGCATAGAATTCTCAATATACATAAGTTCCCAATGAAGAAAAAGGAATCCCTTTTTATCCAACTCTTTATCCAGCATTTCAGTACTAAACACTGAATGAATGTTCAGAATGTAGGAAATAGAATTAAGTTCATCAATTTTTTGTTTATTCGTTTTTGCTTTGTTATGTTTTTTTAAAGCTGGAGGTGAGGAAGGTAGACATCCATACAGAGAATGAAACAGAGGACAACCCTCCCATTTAAAAAAATGTGTATCAGTCACATATATGAATAGATCTTCGATTGCCCTACACTTATTTCAGTTCTGCCATGGGTCCATTTTTAGTGCAGGTTCTTCCTGTGGGACAGCTGTACCATTTGAAGACCCACAACTATAAGCATGAGGCCAGTGATATGGGTGAGCTACAGAATCAGCAACTTCAATTCCAGCAGGATACCAATTTCCTGTCACGTACCCACCCCACCAGCCTGTGGTTGTGGGTCTTGGAAAAATTGCAGATGCACTACGAAAGAATCTGCTTCAAAGCAGTTCCTGTGACAGAGCTGTAGTGTGCAAAAGGAATCCACACCAGGAGGGTGCTAGTTCCATGAGACTGATAAAATCAGTCAGTCCAACCCATGTGTTTTGGGGGCTTTAATTGGGATTGATGGGAGTTGTAGTCTCGACATCTGGAAGGCACCAGGTTGGCAAAGGCTGGGCTACAACACAACACCACACAACATATGCTACCTTGTCTCTCTGTGTGTGTGTGTGTGTGTGGAATCCTTCAATCAAGCACATTAAGCAGTCATAATCAATAGAGGAACCGAATTCTAAAACCCAATATGCCGCACTCACTTGCTGAAAAGAGGAAATACAGGACCAGTGGCTATCTTACTGAACCATGCCCCAGTAAACTACTTCATGTTTTGCTATCAACTCTGCAATGAGGAAGGAAAAACAGTCTTCCTGTTACTGACGAAAGCAAGTTTTCCAGGGGCAAAAAGGACAACAAATAAAAGGGGAAAGTTTTCTGAGAGCAAAAGCAACAGAACAGAGATTAACTCCACAAGCATGATAACTGGAGAGTGTGGAAAAAAAGCTATTGCTTTTCACAAAGCAATATAAGTCCTGCTGGAATAACTCTTCCAGTGACTGTCTAGAGGTTCTCAAGTTTTTTTCTCTGCGACACATTTTCAGAATAAAAATTTGCTCACGCCATGTCCCATTTCTCATTGACAAGAAATACACTGGAAAGCACAACTAGGATTGCCCTCCGTATCACTTGATGCTCTTGCTCTCGTTTTGAAAAGATGTATCTCCATAATCTGCCAACAAATAAAACTATTTTTTTGATACTATACTACACTGAAATGTTTCTATGTTTCTGTGATTGTCCTGAAATCTTCCTGCCACTCTTGCCATCCTCTCCTACCACAACCTTTGAGAACCACAGGTCTAGAATCATGGTCAGTTCACACTGTCAGAACTGAGTAGCAACACTTTTCTGGACCACAGTAGTTTGGCTTGAGGCTGAAGTTACATGTTCAAATGCTCCCCCACGGCAGGGCGGGGAATGAACACAACACCCTTCATGGAGAATGTGATCCTTGAAATCACATGAAGCTACTTCCAAAGTTCTTGACCCACTTCCTGAGGGGCAGGGAGGAACCTCTTCTTTCTTAAAGGTAAAGGGACCCCTGACCATTAGGTCCAGTCGTGACCGACTCTGGGGTTGCGGCGCTCATCTCGCTTTATTGGCCAAGGGACCCGCGTACAGCTTCCGAGTCATGTGGCCAGCATGACTAAGCCGCTTCTGGCAAACCAGAGCAGCGCACAGGAACACCATTTACCTTCCTGCCGGAGCGGTACCTATTTATCTACTTGCACTTGACGCGCTTTCAAACTGCTAGGTTGGCAGGAGCTGGGACCGAGCAATGGGAGCTCACTCCGTCGCAGGGATTTGAACCGCCGACCTTCTGATCGGCAAGTCCTATGCGCTGTGGTTTAACCCACAGCGCCACCTGCATCCCTCTCTTCTTTCTTAGGTCAACACAAATACCCTAGAGCAGAGGTAGCGCCCTGGAGCCCCATCCAGCAGCATGCCAGATGTTTATGGCAAATGTTCAGGGACGCTGGGAGTTGTAGTCCAATAATATCAGAAGGGCAGAGAAAAGGCAAAGTGTGGAAGCTGAGCCACTTGAGCTTTGTACGCTTACCGGGATGGGAGACTCCTCCAGCAAGGCAATCCTATATAGGAGTAATTCTGGTTGAGTTCAATAGGGCCTATTCCCAGGTACACATGCAAAGAGGACTACAGTCTGAATATCTCGGAGCCAGTGGTGGATGGTACCCATTGGGACTGGCAGGGCAGAAGGCAAGGAGCCCAAACTGTAGGTGGAACCAGAGCCAAAGCCCATGACAGGCAGTTCTTCCAGTTTGGTCGCCATCCTCTTCCTTTCTGAGTTCTACAAGGGGCAACACTGAGGCTAAGGAGGAGAGGGAAGCTTGATGGCCAGGGTTAGCAGGGTTACCACTGCTCAAAGCAAAAGTGAGTGTATTGTTGTAATAAAGAAATACCGTAAGTAATAGACTACTCTGGTGCTGCTGCTGACTTGTTTTAATATTGTGATGAGTATACACAGCTGCTACCTCCCCATTTTAATTCTCTCAAATGAGGAATTGAAGACAAGGGTTTTACAGGCTTCTGTTAAAAGTGAAATTAATTATTGTTGTGGGCATGGCAAGAAGCTTGCAGCACACATGCAAAATAAGAAGGAAGCACAAACTGAAATGGGTGTGTGTGTCCTCTTGTAATTAAAACATATCCAAAGAGCCAATTGGGCTTGGCCACCTTCCAGTCTGAAACCAGGAATGAGATGCCAGAACCAGTAAATGTGTTAGATGAGAGACCATGTACAAGCAAGAACTATCCAGCAGACATTTCTCCTGCTAGCACAGCAGCAAGAGAGTTAAAATTTATCCTGGAAAAGCAACAAAAAACCCCTCAACTTCTAAAGTCTAGTGGCCCCTCTTCAGAAATTCCGGCACACCCTAACGGACACTGCATATTTCTCCCTTTGAAAAGGGCCTCAGACTGGCAGACGTCATAAGTGCCTTTTACACATCAATGATCACACATGAAATTTCCCAATGATGAAAGGAAAAACCCTAACACACAGCATAAAGAAAAAATGTGAACTTTATGCTTCCAAACCCAAATTTCAGCTTAAGTAAACATGTTCAAATATGCATTGTAAAGAGTGCATTCTACAGTTGAGTAAGGTCATTTAGGTAATTTTCAAAGCACCATAAATATCCATCAACTTTATCTCCCTCTCTCCCACCTACCCCTAGAATGGGGCTTATCCCATTTTATCCTGTCCATTGGGTTCATAGGGGTGAGAGGTATGGCTGGCTCAAGGCTACCCAGGGAGCTAGATAGCAGTTTCAGACCAACCCTAAGCGACAATCCACTATATCACACTGTTTTTAATATGTTAGATATTATATGCTAGTAACCCCATGATACTATAGGTAGTAAACCTCAAACCAGTATCAACAGCTTGCAAAACTATTTACTTAAGCAACAAAACATTAGTTCTTCTGATGCCACATAATCACAAATTTTCAATTTGTTGTACTCAGCAAAAGGGGGGGGATCTCTTCCACAGATTTGGTTCTCAAAACTCTGGAAAGGGAAACAGCAGACAGATCAATTCTCAGCTCATCCCTTGCAGGAGTCATGCAGAAAGAAGTATTTTCACCTGGCACCCTTTTCTCACCAGGCTCTCTGACATTACCGACCAGGCTCTCTGACATTACCGCCGAGATGCACTTGTTCAGAGAATCGGAGAGCAAGACGTGATGTGATAGGAGTTTATAAGATCATGCATGGCATGGAGCAAGTGGATAGAGAAAAGTTTTTCTCCCTTTCTCCTAACACTAAAACTCAGGGGCATCCAATGTAGCTGAAAATTCAAGACAGATAAAGTAGGTACTTCTTCAAACAGTGCAAAGTTAAACTATGGAACTCACTCCCACAGGATGCAATCATGGCCACTAACTTTGGGTGGCTTTAAAATTCATGGAAGAAGACAAGGCTATAAACACCTACGAACCACAATGGCTATGTTCTACTTCCATTAGCAGAGCCATTACACCTCTGAATACCTGCTGCTGGGGATCGCAGGTGGGCAGAGTGCTGTTGTGCTCATGGCCAGCTTGTGAGCTTCCAATAGGCAGTGGTCAGCCCCTGTAAGTACAGGATGCTGGACCAGACGGGCCATTGGTCTGATCCAGCAGGCTCACCTTATCTTCTTATATCACACAGCCTTGAATGACAGCAGCTCCTTGCTTAGTCTGTACCTGGATTTGCCACTATGTAATGTGCAAAGTAGTGCTCAGAGTTAATAGTGAATTGTTGAGCTGATATTATTATTATTATTATTATCTGGGTGGCTTCCAACATATATAAAAACATAATAAAACATTACACATTAAAAAGCTTCCCTATACAGGGCTGCCTTCAGTTGTCTCCTGAAGATAATCTAGTTATTCATCTCCTTGACATCTGTTGGGAAAGCATTCCACCGGGTGGGTGCCACTACCAAGAAGGCCCTCTGCCTGGTTACCTGTAGCTTCACTTCTCACAGTGAGGGAACCGCCAGAAGGCCCTCAGCACTGGATCTCAACATGGGGTGGGTGGGAAGAGGAGGAGTTTAGAACAGGCTTCCTCAACCTCGGCCCTCCAGACGTTTTTGGCCTACAACTCCCATGATCCCTAGCTAGCAGGACCAGTGGTCAGGGATGCTGGGAATTGTAGTCTCGAAACATCTGGAGGGCCGAGGTTGAGGAAGCCTGGTTTAGAACTTCAGTCTAAAATTTACTATTCCAAACCTTATAGAAAGAGATTGTCCATGCACTATGCTTTACTTAACACTCAAAAGTTTGCTTATCTTTCCAGAAGTTAGCATTTTTAATAGTTGTGCTGCCATCCCAATTTCAGTGCTTGTTACTTTTGACAGCCGGCCTGGAAATGGAAGCGTTCACCAATGAACTTACGTGCTGCCATTCTGAATCAGCCACCAGAAACAAAACATGACATCATTTCCTTCCCTCCAACTTACAAAGACTGGAGTTTTATTCTTCAGTGATGAAATATGTGGCACAACATGCATGACTAAACCATTTGTTCAAAATTAACATGTGCAGCGATTACTCTGCCTGCTTCCTCGCATCCTTCTCAGACTTGATGACTGTGCATCAGATGGTGGAAAGAAATACCTGTAAACTCCATAAGCTATTCAGCATGGGCACTAAGAAGTCCATAAAATCAGTTCTGTTTCACCCAAGACCTTTTAAATAATAATATATTTTTTTTGCCATGCATGAAAATCATCTAAGTAACTATGTAGACCCAATCATATGCAGAGCGTAGGTGGGGAGGGATGGGATGGGGGAAGTGAGGCAAATCCATCCTCTGAAAGATTAAACTCATCTGTGCTTATCTATGAAATCAGCTGCTACTGTACACGAATTGATGGATTGGAAAGAGGCATAATGCAATCTTGGGGATTAAAGAATGTGTTTGAGCCTTTAAGAAGGATGCTAACTTCCAGATAATTGATGGCATTAGCATTATTTATTGGGATTTCCCAGAAAATTAGAGTGCTTGAAGTTCTAAAAACAGGGAATCAAGTAAACAAGGGATCAAGTATTTTTAGAGAGAGTCTGTCTGCAGAGCGGCTGGATTATGTAGCACAGCATACTTCCAACTCCCCAGGTTGCAATGTGAATAAAGATGAACCCGAGGATACAGGTTTATAGCATCCTCCAGTGAGGAGGCCATGACTAATTCAACCTGTTCCCCACACACCCAAATGTGCCAAATATCATTCCTTTGATATTCAGCACACACACACAGTTTGTTCCCACATACTCTTCTTTTGGTTTTTTTGCACAGAACCATTAGGTAATGGAAATTCTTCTCGTAAGAAGTGGGGGCTTTAAGCTCAATGTCACACTGGCGATTTTTTTTAAAAAGCACATCCATATGCCAAGAACGGAAAGTGCTTGTTCAGTAATATTTACTTGTTGCTGTCCTATGCCAGTTACAGCATGGTTTAAACTGAAGGTAAAAACCTGACGAATACATTCTCCACATATAACTGCATTACCAGCAGGTTTGCTGACCAAAGAAATGAAGCGAGGTGTGCTCTACCTGCGCAACTCTTTGCTGGATCAGGCCGGTTGTCCATCTAGTTCAGCATCCTGTTCTCACAGTGGCCAAACGGGTGTTTGAGGAAAACCCCAAAGCAAGACCTGAGTGCTACAGTTCTGTCCCTGCATATGATTCTTTGCAACTGGTATATAGAAGCATGTTCCCAATGGCAATGGAGATACAACACAGCCATTATGGCAAGCAGCCACTGATAGCTCTATCCCCCTGTGAATCTGTCTAATCCACTTTTAATGCCATTCAGGTTGGTGGCAGCTACTAGATCTCGTGCGAGCAAATTCCAAAGTTCAGCTATACGTGCCTTGAACTACTTTTTTTGTTGGTCCTGAATCTGACAGGATTCCACCTAAGGATGATTGCAAGAGAAGATAAGAGGGCCAAACATTTGAGGCAGGGGGACGGGCTCCAAGCAATGTTGTAATGGTGCCTAGGAATTCTGAAGTTTAGATGTGGTCAGGAATGGCTCCTAAAAGTTTCGCTTTGATTTCTTGGAATCCGTATTATCTTTAGATGCCCTGCTCCTCCCATCCTTTGGACTGGAATACCATGAACAGAGAACACAAAGATGCAATATCACACTAAACAAGCTCTGTTTCCATGTTCTCCCTCACCTGAGATCAGATTTTTCTCCAGCTAATGATCTAGCAGCAAACAGTTGTTTCCCGTTGCAGCTGAATGGCAAACAATGTTTCACGACTAAATCAGAAGTGAAAGGGAAAATCATTACGACATTAGCAGGATTATTGTAAAAACTCGCAGTTTCTAAAACATATATAAAATAGATGAGGAAAATAATAAATAGAGTCAATTGGGATATGCAGAAGAAGAAGAAAGAGGATAAATTCACAGAACCGCTGAAAGAGGGGGAAGGAAGTCAAGGTTTGATATGTGAGAATTGTTTTAAAAAAATTGAAATGTTTGTTATAAACGAAAATTATAAATAAACTTATTTTTTAAAAAGAAGTAGTAAAAGGGAAAATCAAAGACCACATGAAAACAGTTCGGCATTATGTCTGAACCGATATATTTAAAAGGTATACAGTCATACCTCGTGTTATGTTTGCTTCACGTTGCGGCTTTTCAGGTTACGAACGCGGCAAACCCAGAAGTGTTTACTTCCAGGTTCACCGCACGCACGCGCACAGAAGCGCTCTATCGCGCTTAACGCACGCACAGTAACGGCGCTCTACTTACAGACTTTTCGGGCTGCGAACAGCACCCCGAAACAGATAGCGTTTGTACGTAGAGGTACCACTGTACACTAATAGATTTCTCAGTGCCTTTCAAACTACAAATCTTGGAATCGTCAAAAAGAGGAAAATTGCTTTTTCCAGTGCAGTTCATGGCACTACAGTCCTACACAACTTGTGAACCACCGAGGCGAACAGAGAACACCCCCATCCACCTCCTTTATGAAGTTTTCAAGACTCCTGTCATCCATGGCTGCTGAGCCGCACTCAGCTTGGTGAGTAACAAGTCATGCGCTCTATTTGGCAATAGTAGTAGAGATTTGAGAAAGTCCAGGTCAGGGCTCTCGCTTATGAGGTGACTGCGAGAATAGGATATATGCCAGGGGTGGGGAACTTCGGGCCTAGGGACCAAATATGGCCCCTACAGACCTCTCTATCCAGCCTTCAGAACTCTTTTCGGGCTGCACACTCTTCCAAGCCGCATCTCTTGCCAGCCCTGCTCTGCACCCTCCTTGTATGTTCTGCCTTGCTGGAATGTGTCCTTGAACTCTAATAAGACTGCTTGCTTGTCTGGGTGGAGGATAAAGATAAGTGTGTGTGTGTGTGTGTGTGTGTGTGTGTGTGTGTAAAACTAGGTTATTGCTCCATGAACTTTTAAGGAAAAGAGCATGTAATTTTGTCCAATGACAGATTTATCTGCTAAACAAGTTGATTCATAATGGCATTAGCCTAACATTTTCATCTGCAGGAAATTCCCAGCCCTAAAAAGGTCTTCTGGGTCAACATTCCCCATATTAAGATGAACAAAGCTATTCCTTCTATCTTAACTGAAAACACCAAAGAAAAGTTCCCAACAGGCCACAGCTTTATTTGATATGCAAAACAAGACTGTATTCTCTAACTTCTCATAAACATAGTGTTGTTCTTAGCATGCCAAGTTGTAGGAGGGAGTACAGGAGCGTGGTTTTCTATTTGACCTCCTAAGATAAAGGGGTTGGATAAAAATGCAGCGAACTAATAATAAAATACTCACAGGTATAGGAGGGTTTCAGCACATGCTCGTCTTGCTCAAATCAGATTCCTCCTGCCTTCTACACCAGAGGTTACCAAACCACAGTCCACAAACCACCAGCGGTCTGCAAGCTTCACTCAGGTGGCCCTCAGTCTGCCTGTGAATGTGCAGCTGAAGGTGGGAGGTGGCACATCCATTGCACAAAACATTCAGTTTGATTTTTACTTGTGTTCTTATTTCTTCTTATATTATATTAAGATTTTAATTGTGTGGAAATCATACAGCATCTAACACGGCCCATTACAACTGCTACAACAGGCAGAGAAACAATTAAGTGGTCCAGCAAGAACATAAGCAATTTTCAAGCGGTCTATGGGGGGTTGGGGGTTGGGGAACCACTGTTCTACATGATTGTAAAAGACAGTATTTTAAAACACAGATCTGCCACCTTCATATCTAATTTGGACCCAAATGAAACCCCAGCAACTCAGCTGACACTGAGTTGTCGCTTTTGCTAAAACGCAGCGGCAACAAATAGGGTCATAAACCAACAAACCTACGCATGCTGACTCAGAATTACCCCTCTATTCAGAGTGATCTATGCACATGTAAGTGTACATAGAGCTGCATCCTGGAAGATTTTATTTTTCCCTGTGTTATTTCTTCAACAACTGCTTCAGTGATATGAAAGCACTGCAATTTCCATTTCCAGAACTGACCAAGGTGGGAGGGAGTCAAAGAAGGTTCACACTTATTTTATTTTTTGCAGCCAAGGCAATCTCTTGCTAGTTCATGCCGAGCGAAGGCAAATCTATTCAGCAGCCTTTTACGCCATCATATCTTTCACCAGGTATTCCATGCTAGCACACTGTATTCCAACCAAGGCTGGATTAGCCCAGCATGATTTACACAGGGAGAGATGCTTGTCAGAATGACTGCTAGCAACAGGAATGCTCATAACAGCAGGTGAGGCTCAGGAAGCAGCACAGGCAATTTGGGCAATTTCCCACAAAGGGCCTTGTTTCAGCAATCATATGGAAGTTGCCACTCTTGACACGTGCTGGGAGAAGCACACGGTGCAAAAGGGAGGAGGGAAAGCATGCTGCCATTTCCTGCAGACTATGCAGTTCAGTACTTTTCCTTCAGTTCAACGATCTCACAGAAAACTAAAAAGAACATGTCAGCAGCAGAAGACAACAGAGGCCAAAAGCAGCTTGCTCTTTGCCATTGGCGATCACAGTTTTGTGATGCCTTTGGAAGCCAAGCCCAACATTCTGGGTGCTTGCCCTTCCCTGCTGAAAGTTACCCACCCCAACGCCAATGCAGAAAAAGGGAGCCAGATCACCTCCGTAGCACAGTGGCCAAATCCCTCTCAGCCTTGTTTTCAACCATGGAGTGGGAAAGGGGTGGTGACGGCAGGACAACTGCCAGAACAATTCCCACCCACTTCTCAGAAAGAAGGAAGGGGTTGTCCTGCTCACCAGACAAGTGAGAGCAGGTTGTCCTGCTCACGGCCCATAGCAAGTGAGAAATGCGCCGCTGCTGCCACAAAAGACCAGTCATCAGGTTCCACAGCTGCAATTCTGTCCATCTGAAAATGTGGCATTGCATCCCGAGGGTTGCTGGCCAGGAGGAAACAGTGGGTGTATCAAGCTGAAACATTTGGACCACAGCCCAGAACCTCCTGCTTTGGACAATCAGGTGACACCAAACAGCCAATCCTGTGCCACTGAGTGATCAAAAGCTCACAGTTCTGTCCATTATCCATGGAGGCAGTGAGAGATTTTACTTTCTTGAACTCCATGATCACTGCAGATGGTGACAGCAGTCATGAAATAAAAAGACGCCTGCTTCTTGGGAGAAAAGCAATGACAAACCTAGACAGCATTTTAAAAAGCAGAGACATCACCTTGCCAACAAAGGTCCGTATAGTTAAAGCTATGGTTTTCCCAGTAGTGATGTATGGAAGTGAGAGCTGGACCATAAAGAAGGCTGATCGCCGAAGAATTTATGCTTTTGAATTATGGTGCTGGAGGAGACTCTTGAGAGTCCCATGGACTGCAAGAAGATCAAACCTATCCATTCTGAAGGAAATCAGCCCTGAGTGCTCACTGGAAGGGCAGTTCGTGAAGCTGAGGCTCCAATACTTTGGCCACCTCATGAGAAGAGAAGACTGCCTGGAAAAGACCTTAATGTTGGGAAAGATGGAGGGCACAAGAAGGGGACGACAGAGGACGAGATGGTTGGACAGTGTTCTCGAAGCTACCAGCATGAGTTTGACCAAACTGAGGGAGGCCGTGGAAGACAGGAGTGCCTGGTGTGCTCTGGTCCATGGAGTCACGAAGAGTCGAACACGACTAAACAACAACAACATGGGACATATCACCAAAGGCGACCACCAGCTTCTCCCTATATGAACAAGCTACTAACTTGTCTTCTTTTCTGCCTATCCAAATGCTGCTAGTAATTGTTATTATTATTTCTGGTACTCCACCCATATGACTGAGTTGCCCTGGCCACTCTGGGTGGCTTCCAACAGACTACAAAAAAAACTACAGCAAAACATCAAACATTAAAAGCTTCCTGAAACAGGGCTGCCTTCCGATGTCGGCGAAAAGTCATATAAAATAATAATTTATCTCTGGCAATGTTATTTGCTTGCTTGTGGCGCTGAAGACCTGACAACCATGTTCAAAAGTCAGAGGATCTGTGACAACGTGGAACAATCACAATTTTTGCACACCTCCTGAAATTGTGCAGAGACTGGGGAGAGAAGGCGCTTGTGATGTGCCAGGAAGGAACCCAACAAATGTATCTCCAAGCAAAAGTTATGAAACAGAGCTGTGCACCAACATCTCTCCATCTGGCACAACTCTCATAAATGTCAAAGGCGTTTTGCAAAGGAGGCATCCCTGATGGATTCTGTCCCAAGTGCACTGATGCAGGGCCCCAAGAATCACACCTTGATTGGGTTCCTAAAATGCAAAACAAAAGCAACAACAACGAAGAAGTGTTTTAACTAATCAAAACCTCTTAATTGCAATCTAAAATTTAAGAGGAAAAATTCCTGGGGATTTCTCTCAAGCTCATTTAGTATAATTGGTCAGTAAAGGGGTGTATGTATATTGTTAGCTGATTTTTGTTTTAGCATTAACCACACACACAAACATCAATACAGTTCAAATACCTCTAAGGAAAAATTACGACCAGCGGAGTGGAATGGGAGTCTCATTGTTCAACTTGCCTCATTGACTGTAGGCATTAAAGGAGGTCAGTAAGTCATCTGTAGCAGGACTTGGAAGTTGTGTCGGCACACGCTGACTGAAGAGAGAAATCGCCAGGCAAGCTTCATTCAAACAAATGTGCTGCAGAACTATCTGGCAGGCACAGAGAGGGCTCTTACATGCAACGTCTAAATAACCATTTCCAAAATGACCATCAAAACAGTATCTAGCCTTGTACAAGGAATCTTGGCTTGCACAAAGCTATACTCAGCTTTCTGAATGTGAATATTGTTTGTATTTTTAAAAAACACAGTGATCGTGCAGGGAGGTGGGGAATAATGAGAATGAAAAGCCCCGGGTAGTGTCACCCTGGAGCAGAAGACAAAATTATTCAGCTGATATGAACTCCTGTGAAATCTAAAATACACAATTCCTTGAATGGGCCCAGAAATACAGAGAGCCTTTTCTGCTGGATAGGAACAATGCTCCTTAGTACCAAAGATGACAAATGGAGCTATATATTTATTTCAGCCCTGGATTCCTACATTCAACCAAGAAACACTTTCATTTCCTTCCAAAAGCAACAGGCAAAAAGCTGAAAATGACCCTGGGTGGCAGAGGTGGTAGATCAAACACACCAAGCATTCTTGTTTCTATTCTAAATACCTGCGTACATTGTGGAAACGTTACCTTGTCCTCTGCCGACAACTCTGTCTGTATTTTTTGGCTTTGAGGCCAATGCTCCTGCTGGATGCAAAGACCATATGGTTTCCACCTACAGGGTTTACAGAAGAAAATACACATGGAAGGAGAAAGGAATGTTCAGTGGTAGGTCCCTTTTGTCCAGGGGTCAGCAAACTTTTTCAGCAGGGGGCCAGTCCACTGTCCCTCGGATCTTGTGGGGGGCCAGACTATATTTTTTGGGGGGGATGAACGAATTTCTACGCCCCACAAATAACCCAGAGATGCATTTTAAATAAAAGGACACATTCTACTCATGTAAAAACACACTGATTCCCAGACCATCTGCAGGCCAGATTTAGAAGGCGATTGGGCCGGATCCGGCCCCCGGGCCTTAGTTTGCCTACCCATGCTTTTGTACACAAATTCAGTCCCCAGCATCTCCTTGTCCTCATAGTGGGGATAGACCTGCATCCTCATTCTTTAACCTTTAGAAGGGACAATCACATACATCATATCTCGGGTTACAGACGCTTCAGGTTGTGAGTTTTCGGGTTTACGGACACGCCGAAACCCGGAAGTACCGGTTTCAGAGCTCGTGCATGCGCAGAAATACTAAATCACGCCTTGCGCAGAAGCACCGAATCGTTACTCACGTGTGCACAGACGTGGCGCTGTGGGTTGTGAACACTGCGGGTTGCGAACGCTGCAGATTGCGAATGTGCCTTCCGCACGGATCATGTTCGCAACCCAAGCATCCACTGTACTCTCAGCTGCAGGGCTCACTCCCAGCATTCACCAGTCATTTCATGCCCTTTCCTCTGTGATCCCCAGAAGGTGAAACAATCACCATGTTAAGGCAATTTCTTGGTGCCAGAACTACACATCCACCACTTAGCGCCAACAGCAGCTGCTCGTTCATCTAACTGCCAGCTATTTTCACTAACTAAGTAACGCAAAAACCAGTCTCTCAGTTTACTTGAGCAGGAGAAGAGGAAGGAGACATGTGACGCAATTATTAGACAGCCGCCATCAAGGGTGAGGGGGAAGTCACAAATCATGCCCCTGGCACAACCTGGCCCTCACAGTCATCACATTCTCTAATGAAGAGAGAATTGGCAATTACTGTCAGGGCCAAAGGGTAGGTTGCTACTTTCAGCAAGTACACTGTCAAGGTATACTGGGCATAAAGCCTCAATTTCACTGTACATTTCCTGCTGGACATATCTGACAGCAATTCCTTCCTTGCTGGTACACAAAGATAGTACATTGGGATTTACGGCATATATTATTTTTCTGATTGATCTGGAACGTTTATGAGGTAGGCTTCCAGGTGGGAACTGGGAGGGTCTACCTTTCTGTGTGTGGATAGATGAAATGATATATATGATACAAATGTGATAAAGGCCCCTTATAGTTATTTTCCCCCTCCTTTCTCTTTTCTTTTCTCTCTCATTTCTTGGGTTTCTTAAAATTTTTGTTATTTGGTTGGGTTTTTAATGTATTTATTGAAAACTTTCAATAAAAATGCTTATTTAAAAAATGAAACGTTGGTGAACTACTACACATCACAGTATCATCGGTATAAAACAAGAGTGGTATACAATAATAAAAATAAAGCAAGAACAGATAGAATAGTTCTTTAAAAAAGAAAGAAAAGCAAATACTGCCTGCGAGTAAACTCATTCTTCTGAGAAAGACTGTGAAAATGAAAAAGAAAAAGTTTTCAGCATTTGACAAAATGCATACAGAGTTGGAATCTAACTTCAACAGGCACTCTGTTCCATAGGATAGCTGAAGGACCTTGTCCAAGCTGCCCTGAAATGAACATCTGGGCATGCAGCTCCACAAGGACGACCCCTTCTAGATGACGGCAGCGGACAGGAAGGTATATAGACATCCTAGTCCCACGTTGTTGTTTTTTATATATAATAATTTTTATTAAGTTTTCCATTATACCAATTCACCATATCAAATTTTTTTCACAAATTTCAACTTTTTAGACTTCCATCAGCTTCTCTGCAGATCATCCATATTTTTACATACTTTCCGCATTCTCTAAATATAATATTGCCTTTTAGCATACCCTAACTATCCTGTTTCTTTTTAACAATATTCCTCTAGCTTTCACAAAACTTCTTTAAATCCCACTAGCGTTGTTCGTTCATCACATATACTTTTCAGATATTCTGTAAATTTTCCCCAGTCCTCAATGAACTTGTGATCCCGTTGGTATCTAATCTTCCCAGTTAGTTTGTCCAACTCTGCATAGTCCATAAGTTTCATTCTCCACTCTTCAAGGGTCAGTAGTTCCTCCTGTTTCCATTTCTGGGCCATTAATATTCTTGCTGCGGTTACTGTGTATTGAAAAAGTTTATAGTCCCTTCTATTTATCTCACTTCCTGTTATTCCTAATAGAAAGGCTTCTGGTTTCTTTACAAATGTATATTTCAAGATCTTTTTCAACTCATTATATATCATCTCCCAGAAACCCTTCACCTTTTTACATTCCCACCACATATGATAAAATGATCCTTCTTTTTCTTTACATTTCCAACACTTATTACACGTTTTTGCTAACTTAACCGGTGTGATATACCATCTATATACCATTTTCATGATATTTTCCTTTAACGCAGTACATGCTGTAAATTTTATATTTTCATGCCATACTTTTCCCCAATCATCCAATAGTATATTGTATCCAAAATCTCTGGCCCAGTGTATCATAACCGACTTTACTTCCTCATCTATCGTATACCATTCCAACAACATTTTATACATTTTTGACAGTACCTTATAATCATTATTTATTATCTCCATTTGAAATTTTGATTCCTTTTCTGCATATCCACTCTCTTTAAAATCGTTTTTATACATTTCATTTACCTGAAAATAATGCAACCAATCAAATACATATTCTTTTACTTGTTCATATGGCTTCATTTTCCATTTTCCTCCTTCTTTGATTATCAATTCTCCATATGTAGCCCAACTCCCTCTCATATTGATTTTCTTTATACTCATAACCTCTAATGGAGACAGCAAGTGTGGAACTTTTGGTTCTAATAGGTTTTTATACCTATGCCATATTTCTATTAAAGATCTCCTGAAGATATGGTTCTCAAAACCTTTATGACTTTTCTTCTTTTCTGACCATAAATACGCATGCCATCCAAATCTGTTATCAAATCCTTCTAAATCTAACAATTTAGTATTTTTTAATTTTATCCATTCTTTTAACCAACAGAGACACAACGCCTCGTAATATAATTTCAAGTCTGGCAGGGCGAAGCCTCCTCTTTCCTTCGAATCTGTTAGTAACTTGAATTGTATCCTCGGCTTTTTGCCCTGCCATATATATCTTGAAATTATTATTTGCCACTCCTTAAAAATTGCTGTCCCTTTAATTATTGGAATCATTTGAAATAAGAATAACATCTTTGGAAGCACACTCATTTTAATCGTTGAAATTCTGCCCCAGAAAGAAAGTTTCATCCTTCCCCACACCTCCAGATCTTTTTTAATCTCAGTCCACACCGGTATATAATTATTTTGAAATAGATCGATATTTTTAGGAGTTAACCATATTCCCAGATATTTTACTTTCTTCGCCACCTCAATCCCTGTTTGTTGTTGCATTTCATCTATCATTCTGTGCTCCATATTTTTTGCAATCACTTTAGTTTTTTTCTTGTTTAATCTGAATCCTGCCACATTACCAAATTGTTCAATCTCCTCCAACACCTCGTTTACACTTTTTAGAGGATCTTCTATCGTAATTACCAGATCGTCTGCAAAGGCTTTAACTTTATATTCGTTCTGACCTACTGTTACCCCTTTTATTAGTTCGTTTTGTCTAATTGACCTTAAAAAGACTTCCAGGACCGTTATAAATAACAATGGCGAAAGAGGACATCCCTGTCTTGTACCTTTCGAAATCTTCACTTCTTCCGTAATTACATTGTTCACAATCAATTTTGCTTTCTGCTCCGTATAAATTGCCCTTATTCCATTATAAAAATCACTCCCCACCTCCATATACTCTAAGTTTTTCAACATGAATTCCCATGATATATTATCAAAGGCCTTTTCAGCATCTACAAACATCAAGATAGCTTGTTTCTCATTCCTGGCAGTCAGATATTCCAAAATACCTAGTCCCACGTTTTTAGGGCTTTATACAGCAACAGTAAAACCTTAAAACTTGGCTCGGTAACGTAATAGCAGCCAGTGTAGTTCCCTCAGCACTGACGTGATGTGTTCACAGAAGACAACCCCAGCCATAAGAGGGGCTGCGATACATCCTGCACGAGCCACAGCTTCCGGACCAAACCCAATGGCGTACATATTCACAAGACAATGCATAGTCACACATCAAAAAGCTTCTAAGAGGGAAAAAAAGAAGATGCCCATTTGGAACTCCCAAGCACAAGAAGCCATTGGGAACAGCCATATTTGTTTACACATGGAGGCCATTATTATTATTATTTAAGGTTGAGCATAAATAATACTATAAGTATAGCGGCTGGACCTGGCACTAGGAAAGCAGTCAAGGAGTTGAGCCCAGTATACCAGCAGATTAACTGAGTGATGTTACTTCATGAATATGCGCTCTCTGGTGTGAGCTCCCAAGTAGGGAGACTGTGTGCCATAGATCCCAGTTGAAAACAGAATGCTATAGCAGCATGTGAGTTAAGCTGGATCTGTAAAGGAGAAGAAAGCAGAGTCTTCTCATGTAATCCTTACGACTAGAAATAAAAACCCACATTATGCTAACTTTCTTGTAGAGATAATGAATTTAGGTAGTTTTTTTTAAAAAAAAGTTATAGAATGTTAATTCTCTTAATGAGGTTGCTAGGTAGTGACAGCAGTCATGAAATTAAAAGACGCCTGCGTCTTGGGAGAAAAGTGATGACAAACCTAGACAGCATCTTAAAAAGCAGAGACATCACCTTGCCAACAAAGGTCGGTATAGTTAAAGCTATGGTTTTCCCAGTAGTGACGTATGGAAGTGAGAGCTGGACCATAAAGAAGGCTGAACGCTGAAGAATTGATGCTTTTGAATTATGGTGCTGGAGGAGACTCTTGAGAGTCCCATGGACTGCAAGAAGATCAAACCTAGCCATTCTGAAGGAAATCAGCCCCGAGTGCTCACTTGAAGGACAGATTCTGAAGCTGAGGCTCAAATACTTTGGCTACCTCATGAGAAGAGAAGACTCCCTGGAAAAGACCCTGATGTTGGAAAAGATGGAGGGCACAAGGAGAATGGGACGACAGAGGATGAGATGGTTGGAGACTGTTCTTGAAGCTACTAACATGAGTTTGACCAAACTGTGGGAGGCAGTGGAAGACAGGAGTGCCTGGCATGCTCTGGTCCATGGGGTCCCGAAGAGTCGGACACGACTAAACGACAACAAAGGGTGACAGAGAGGAATGACTGGGATAATGGGAGATAATAAATGTGCATCAGCAAAAAGGGGGACAGTGGGACATGTGGTGAGGAACATAACTTTAAAGTCACTCTCAAGACTGCAATGAAACCTACAATTTTGTGTCTGTCTCTACTAGCTCAGGTACAGGCAAGGAGGCTGAGAAAAGGGTCTGTCACTGGAGCTCCCAATGGATTCTTATTCCTACTTAAAAAAAAAAAAACCACTACTCCAACATAAAGGGGGGAGGGAAGCATCAATTTTGCTTTCTTTACATTCTCAATGACCTTGCCCAGAGCAAAATGCAAAGCATCTACAGAGAAAGTGAATACATTTTAATCTGCGCATGCAAGTTCATGTACTAACAGAAATGAAGAAGAAATTTTTCCCTACCCTTCCTTCAAAAAAAACGACAGGTAAGCAAAAGTCACTGTTAGGTCCTGCAACATAAAATGGATATAGCTAGAAAGGAAATTAGTAATTGATTCCAAATCTAAATTGGCTTTCAAGCTACAGAGTCCTCTCTTATTATCTTCCTCTAACTTAGCAAGAGAGCTCGATGCAACATGGCAGAATTGTGTGTTCAAACATCTACATTTACCCTAAAGATTTCCAGAACTCATGCAAAAGGGTAGAGACAGAGACACCACATATTCTGTTACTGATTATTTGGAAATTGTGAAGAGGTCACAGGAATGCAAGAACAATTTGCTAACAGACACCCATACCCATAAATTGCTGAATCACTAATGCACAAGGGAAACTTCGCAGGGAAACAAACGAACTTTGATCTGGTTCCTTCACCCACTTCACTCTTCAACTTCCCTGTTCTCTCCACAATGACACTGCTACACCTGGAAAAATACAACTATATGCCATCAAATATAATCTTTTTTATGCAAACTACATAACGATGAACAGCAGCAGAGCACACTGAATAGCCACTTAAGTATTTGCTACTCACTCTTTCTGGCATACACCACGTATCCTCATTAACTAACAAGACTAGCAAGGAGTTAATAATCCCTCTTTAAAAAGGAGCAGGTCTCTTCAGTTATACTTTGCTTTACTGCTGCATCCTCCAGGAATGAAAGCTGAGATTTAAGTTGGTGAAGGTCTTCGCTCTCAAAGCTATTGTTGTATGAGCAGCTTTACAACCACAGGGGCGAACACTGCCATCCAAAGTGGCTTTCTAGTGCCTTCCTGCACTTGACATTTAAGTGGCAATATATGCCAGAAACATTTCAATTTCTACACATTTACTCTTTACACAGTAGCAAGCTTCAAATATGTAATACAGCTGGTTTTTAAATGAAAAATGAATAAATTATGCATGTGATTTAAATTTACACCCGTACAATGTGCCATGAATTAAGACCACTTTCACAGCTCAGTACAATCCAAGGCATAATTTTGTACTTTTTTATTATAAACCAATGGCAAATATGCATATACAAAAAATTTCCGTGGCTGTTTATCAAAGTGGAAAGAATGGCAAGGTCTTGGCAGCCAGCACCACTCTGCCACAGCAAGCACTGAATCCAGAAGGGTTTTAAGAGACAAGAGTTTCTAATGAGATGTGCAAACAGAAAAGTTTCTGGCTACCATTACTACTAAGTTCCCAAGGCAACATCTCATGTATGGCAAGACCAATAGGAGAAATTGTGCCATGGCTGCGGAATGACCACATAAGCATATCACACAACATAGGTGGAGCACTCAGTTCAATATCAACTATAATATAATATATAATATATAAATAATAGTATATACATATATATATATAAAATATAATATAATAATAATATATAATATATAAATTTCAGCGATCACATCTGGACGGCATGGTAAGCCATAAGCCATGGTTTGCTGTGAATAAGCAGCTAGTGCATGCTGCCAAATGGTGCCACCCACGATCCTCCTCTAGTGTAACCATAAACAACAAACCATTGGACATCCAAATCAATCCTCATGGCTGGTTTCTCTCCAAACCAATCATGATCTGAAACCAATCATGATCTCCCCCTGGGAGAAACAACCACAATCACTAGTCCAAATGCAATGCTAGCCCAAGGCTTATGGCTTATGGTTTATTACCCTGTTTGCGCTAAGAAAGGAGTGCAGCAGGAGCACTCAGCAGCATGAATTGGCATGGTACTCATTCCCATAGATAAGCCACATGGCTTCCCTTGTCGTCCCAAGACAGCCAATGTGCGAGCCTTTTAACAAAGTACAGTATGATCACTTATACATTTTCAATTATTCTTATGTCTAGTTATTAAAAATGACTGATATGCCAACTGTCTTACACCTTGTCTGCATATGTCTTGCCCAGACCTCTAACTGAAATAATACGCTAGACATACAATTTATCAGAATTCATTCAATCAACTGCAAGGAAATACAAAAAAAGTATCAGCAGCACTGAAAGGCTCACATTCCAGATGATGAAATCACTCTAAAGTTTGCGTCAACTGTGTGTGTGTGTGTGTATATATATATATATATGGAAGACTATATTGTAGCAATACTTTGAAAAACTATAAATATTTTGATTCCTTAACAATGCACTCCATCCTTAACAGCACATGCACTATTCCACAGACCCAATGGAGCTATATGGGTATGCGTCCTGAATATGTTGCAACCCAATCTAACGGAACGTTCCTTTTTATTAAATTTTCTTTAAGCAAGCCATGCAAAGACTGCAAAACAATCTGTCTGCTGCTCTGAAACCCTGAGTCTTTTGCATCCGGTTCGACAAACCTAAAAGCTCTTGTACAATTCTGCCTTTGATCAAAAAGTTTCCCACATACTTGGTTGAAGAAAATAAACTGCCCCTGTCTAGCAAATAAATCATGTTGAAAAACAATCCCCAGTCAAGAGTTGTTCCACCATGCACAGAAAATTTACCACGCGATTGACATGCCATAAAAAGGAGGCCTGAATGGATTTTATTAGTGGCCCAGTTATATGGGATGCAGATTTCTGGTCCGGAATTGACAGTGCAAGATGTGATCTAGCAGTACTTTGTTAGTGCTTCATTCCAAGCATGAGGGAGGAAAACATTGCATCAGAGCTGAAATTATTACGCTATTAATATTCAAACCCACCCCACAAACAGCATCTGGCATTGTTATATGGCTACAATATCCTGGATCAGCGTGTGACGTGAGTGGGAACATCACAGATAACGGCAGCATAGCAATGCAGAAATCATGGCATCTAATCTTAAATGCTAATTTGCCAGTGCTTCAGCTAATAGGATCGTGTTGCAAGAGCATTTTAAGGATCAGATGATGCTTTAGCCGGTTCTTAACAGCATTAATCCCCTAATTAATGGAATTTATAAAACAGTTGCTTTTAGCAAAAGGTAGAGAGGGCCTGCATTTGTTGAGCACAACCAGTTGTTACAGTCGCCACAAAAAGGTCTTAATGGTGGGAAATATCACTTAACGGCTAAAGCATGATTAATGTATTATACATTTGATGTTAGCTGCTCTGAGCCCAGTTTTGGCCGGGGAGGGCGGGGGATAAATTATTATTATTATTATTATTATTATTATTATTATTAAACCGGGGGAGGCGGGGGTGTCATAAATTCAACATAAACTGAACCCTGAACATTACGGTCAAGAAGTAATCTTAAGGCCAGACAAATTCCTCCACTGTGAAAATGTGCGGGATTTTTGAAGTTTCAAGTTGTAAACAATTAAAGAGATACAAGAATTATGGTGTCGGTCTTGTCAAGAAATGGCATGAGAGAGAGGATTTGTTTTATTGCAAGCTGGAATCATCCTAGCCATCTCCAACTAGGAAATCTCCAATAGTTCTGACTGCAAAATTAAAGATACACAGTGCTATATGCCTGTTTGAGAGACAAAGATTTATTTCCCTTCCATCTTTCGATCCTCACCAAACCTTGAGGTACTGAACCTGAAACAGGTTTTGGTATCCAATTCAGAGAAGCAATGCAAATAATTAACAAAAAAGACACATGGTTATATATATTTTTATATATCAGAAAATATTCGTATATTGCTGAGCTATCAAAGTACAACAAATACCAACATTTCTTTCGATCTATTTGACACATATTACATTGCTTATCTACTGGGGTTAATAAATCCCACATATAAACACACTTGAATAACTCATTAACTGAGTAGAGAGCTCAGGCTAGGCCACACCCTCCCCTCTGCTTTCATTCAAAATGAACCCTGTGAACACACTGGCTTTCAGCAAGGGGTCGAATCCAAGTCAAGTGTAGATTATTTCGCAAAAAGAAATCTTACACAAAATAATTATTTTTTAGAACTGTCATTTTACCTTGAAAAGGTACAAAATAAATACCACGCAGCACTGAGCACATCTTGTCAGATGGTCAGATTTTTTTTCCTATTAGCGTGTCATAAAATGCACTCATTGCTAACCTGGCCATTTCTGACGTTGCAACATAAGAATCACTCTGAGAGCATTAGGAATGTTCATCAGCTACTCATCTGTGGCCCCAAAAAAGTCTAATAATAATAATAATAATAATAATAATAACAATGTGTTTTAAATGTCTCAACTTTAGCCAACATCCACACACTATTAAGAAACAATAGTCTATCTATGCAATATTTCAAATCAAACCAATGAACATGGGGAAATAATGTGTTAATATAAAATCTGGTGTATGAAAAAGTTGAAGCTACCAGTTTTGCTTTTTTTTTTTTTAAGAGAAACATGTGTGGATGGACACACTTTTAAAAGAACTGACAAGATTCCAATTAACTAATGCAAAGGACACCGACTTGACAGGCAAGTCAGGATTTCCCAGACACTTTTCAAATAGCTCTCTGACTCTAGCACAAGAGTTATTAATCCATTATACCAATGTCTTGTCAACCCATGCAGGGGAAGGCATCAGTAAAGACTGCCACAGAAGAAACCTGCCCAGTATCTGTGACTGTCTACATTTCTCAGTGAAATTTAGCACAAACCAGAACAATTATCCCATGATACTAATTCAGATCTGATGAACCGCAGCTTGTTTCTGAAACTGAATATAGACAGATTCTCAAAGCTATGGTTTGTATCCAGTGCTAGTCATACTTAGAATAGATGAATAGATCCAGTTAATGAGCAGAAGCCGGAACAAAAGTTAACAAACATGACTAACTTAGGTCTATTACTTTCAATGGGTCTACTCTTGAGTAGTTAGTTGGTCCCAACCCTACAAATTTGATTGAACTTGAGAGGCCTGTATACTGCAAGAACCCATATATGTCCACAACATGTTGTGAAGCCCAAAAGGATAGCATTCTTAAATATTACAGGCTTTCCCACAGATATACAGACTTGGGGGGGGGCGAGAACCCCATAAAAGGCAACACAAAAAGGAGAGCAATTTGTTGCCTAGGAACACACTGCACCTTAAACAAAAAGTAACTATGGGATTTTTGGGGGGGAGGGGGTGAGAGGCTTTCCCTTCTAGAGTATGGGGAAAAATACTGACGGGCCAAAGACATGAGGGCCTCCAAAAAGCCGTCCCCCCAGAGTGGCACGATAACATCCAAAAGCTTCTTCCATCAAAAGCAAGAGCAACATATGCTAGCATTTCCCACAACAGAATGACAGTGATGATCACATGTGGATGGATGAACAGCATGAGGTAAAACAAAAAACAAAAACAAGAAAACCCCACAGCATTTTGACGCTGCCACTTTCAAATGAAAGCGCCGGACCAGGCAGGAGCTACACGAGGAAAAAATAAAATTTCAGTCAGTAACGAGATGGAGGGAGGAAAGGCACACTCCAGTCCCTTTCCTACCCCACTAAAACAGTCTCCCCAAACCTAGTGCCCTTCATCATGGGAGTTGTAGTCCAAAAACCAGCAAAGTGCACCAGGTTAAGGGATAAATTAGGCTACCCTAGAAACATACCCTGAGAACCATCTCACAGTGTCCATGGGACCACAACAGTATTTTCAAGGTCCTCCTCAGTTTCTCTTCACAAAAAGGCGGTCAGGGAAAAAAGACCTAGAGCTGCCCCTTCTCCTCCCTTCAAATACTGGCTATTTCTCTTAGTAACTCAAGGTCACACACATTCCTCTGTGAACTGGAGTTGGGAAACAACTGTTGGATATTCCCTTCCCTTCTTACACAAAACACTTGAGAAGATCAGGAAGTGGGCAGAAATTCCCGCATTGTCCCAAGACCTCTTGCTCACAGACTGAAGGGTTAGTTCTCTTCCCCCTTGGTATGGTGGCAGGGCAAAAACTGTGACCCTCCAGATGTTTAGACTCCGATTCCCATCAGCCCATTGCTGTCAACCTTTCCCTTTTTTTAAGGGAAATTTCCTTATTCTGAATAGAAAAGGGGGAAGTTGACAGCTATGCATCAGCCCCTGCCAGTACAGCCAATGGTCAAACATGGTTGTAGCTGTGGTAAAGCTCCATCTATGGTGCATGGGGAAAGAATGTGCTTACCTTGTGCCACCCTAGAAGTTGTAGGGTTGGCCTAGCACAACGTACCACAAAACTTTACCATCCAGTTCTGCGGTACACTGGCTAGGGCAGCCTAGCTTCCCCAAGAAAATTAGAAGGGCGAGGTGAGAGACATTTTCCCTTCGCAACTCTGCTAAAGAGACCAAGGGAAGTGACCTGGACCCCAGGCAAATTGTGGGACCTGCTCCACGACAATTGCTTTAAGAAAGTCTTTGAGCACAGGCATGTCCTCCCCGCGCACAGCTCTCAACAAGAGAACATGGCTCCAGCGCTGACCCCCACACAAAAAGCACAAGCAGCATGTGGAGACTCACTAGTAGCCCATGAGGAAATATTTTTTTTTTAACCAAGGCATATTTCTTAGGTTGGAAGTTTGAAAAATGGTCCACATCTGCCATCAGGATTTCAGGAGCTAGAAGAGACATATTGCCCCAGATGGCCTATTCCACCATGGCTGGGCCATTCTATCTACTACCAACTGCTCTGTGGCAGGAAGGATCCTGGTTACTTTTTATATGTTGGTGCTGTTTACTGTGATTTTAAAAAAACAACCCACAAACCATCACAAGCTGCCTTGGAAGGCTTTGCATCCTGAATATAAATACATGCAATAAATAAACAGAACTAAAACGACGGGAAGGCCTCAAGCCTCTAACTCTTTGGTGGCCTCTGCTAAAGGATCCTTGAGACACCCAGCAGTGTCCCAAATCAAGCCCTTTCCCCAAGGCTCTGTCATTAAGCAAGGGAGGCATATTTTGTTACCTGAGGTGGGCAGGTGGAGAAAAAATATAAAAAAGCAATCCTCTTATGCAACTGACAATCTGCAACCCTTAATAGAACCCCCAAAATCTGACACCCCAGATGGCTTTCTCCTCATCACGCGTAAAGGCAGAGCCCTCCCGAAGAGCAATCAGCACATGCTCAGAGGCTACCCCCCCCCCCCGCTTAACACACACACAACCCAAAACATGCTCAGGAGCGCTCTTCCGCATTCCTTCTTCGGGGATGCCGATCTCTAGCTTGCAAAGAATTGAAATGCAAAGAAAGAGAGACCGCTCCAAGGCTCAAGTTTTTATTAAGCCGTCTTTGGAATGTTGCTTGTTGCTTGACGGGTGCAGGAAGGCTTTCCCACGTGCATGAATGGGGGAATCTCTCTCTCTTTTCCCATATGCACGCCGCAAAACCCGGGGTCTCGCGCGGTTGTGGGCGAGGGGGAGGCGAACAGGGGGTCTCTCCTTACCGTCGATGTTCTCCCTGTCGCTGATGTGCTGCAGGTTGCATCCCGTGTCCTCCCGGCTCAGCTCGGTGTCGGGGCGGTAGGACTCCAGCCGGGAATGGGCATTCCTCCGCAGCTTGGGGCTGGACGACACGCAGCATGAGGTCGTGTTCCCCATCTCCGCCGCCCGTGCAAAGAGGAGGAAGGAAGGAAGGGAAAAGAAGGGAAGGAAGGAAGGGTGATGGTAGAGGAGGAGGAGGAGGAGGGAGGCAGCAGTCACCAGCGACGTCGAGAAGCCATCAGCGTGCTGGGAAACGGCAAGCGCCGCTGCGGGGCAAGACTACGGTGGCGGCGGCAGCAAGCGAGGCTCCCGCCGGCCGCGCTCCCCGGCGGCTGCTGGTGTGCCCCGAGGCTCATGCAAGCCGCCTTGCCCCGCCGCGCGGCTCAGTCCTCGTGCCCAGGCAGGCGCTGCTGCAAAGCCGGGCTATGCCTCTGCTGCTGCTGCTGCTGCAGAGCCGCAGCCCCATTGCCCTCCGCCGCTCCGCCGCCTCTTCTTCCTCTTCCCAGCAGCAGCGGCAGGAGGGGCGGGCTGGCGGCGGCGGCAACACCGCAGCCTTTTCTCCCCCGCCAGCGAGCAGCGGCAGCAGCAGCAGCGAACCCCGAGGCTGCCTTTTGCAAAAAGGAAAAAAAAGAAGCGGGGGGAAGAAAAGGGGAAAAACGGTTCCGGTTCAAGTGGGTGGGAACGCCGGGCTTGCTCGCTCTCGCTGCTGCTGCCAGACAAACAGGGCAGGCAGGCAGGCGTCTGTTTCTTTAAGCAGCAGCAGCGCCTCTTCTGCTCGCTCCTCCCGTCGGGGGAAGCCCGGCCCGGCCGCAGCAGAGCGGGAGAGGGAGGGGATCCCAGCCGCGGGCGGAGGGAAAAGCCCCCAGCACGGCAAGGAGCGGGAGAGCCGGCCGCGGCCAGAGACAGCACCGCCTTCCTCCTTTCTGCCGGCTGCCCTGGAAGGAAACGGGCAGGAGGCTCCTCCGCGGCCGGGATCCTCCTCTGCGTGGCTCCGCTGTGAGAGGTCTTCTGCTCTGCTTTCGCTTTCCTCCCGCCCCCACTGAGCTTAGTTTTGGAAGTGACAAGCTGAGGGGCTGGGATAACCCGCGCGCCTTCTGGTTTAGGGGTTAGGAGGGCCCGATCCGAAAGACGCTGCTAGGGAACAAGGGCTTGTGTTCGAGTCTGGGCACCACCAGTGCCCCAGATGGATGTAAAGGCTGGCTTCCAGCGGGGGCAGGGGGGGGCGTTATCGGATACCTGAAAGTTTCGGGGCAGGGGAGCATCAACACAAATCTGCAAATGCGCATTTATAGGATGCGGATTTGGCATGGCACAGAAGGCAAAGCCAATCACTGTAAATAAATTGTTTAGTTTGAACCCCACCTTAGATCACGCCAAATCAGCTTCTCTTCAATTCATTTTACCCCCATTAATTTCTCTCTTTTGCAAATCAATTACCGGTACACTATTTCTCCCCAATTCATTACCCCTGCAAAGTTAAGTAAATTGATTACCCAAAATTTATATCCTACCCAGTAACCAAGATCGCACGCACACAAATTCAGTTTCTCCCAAATTCATAACCCACCCAGATATATTCAAGTGGGCACTCAGAAAGATTGGGGGGGGGTCATGCCCCATTTGGGTCCATGCCCACCCCAGGTATACCTCTGACGTCAAGCAATAGGGCCTCACCTGGATCACCTAGTCATAGGAGAAAGGAACCACACACATTCTCAAATTCATGAGAAAATAAAAGAACTGAAAACTGTTAGATTTGTCTGTCTTTAAATTCAGCTGCCACAGTCCAGTTAGATTCTGTATGTGGAAGTGGGAGTGCCATCCTGTCCTTAGCCTCTGGCACCAAAATGTATTGGGCTGGCCCTCAAAAATGCAATGCTTTTCTATTTGGATTGCATGTGTCACATCCTACCTTGGGAAGCAGGCTCTGTTGAGGCCTGGTTCAAATTATGCTTCTTCAGCATGTAGCGCACACATGCATACCCTCTGACCGCACATTATCTGGTTAGCAACCCTTTCAGGAGTTAGGAGATCCTGAATCACAGCAATTGTTGGCAGTAATTTTCCTCTTCTTAATGCGCAGCCAAAGCTTCCTGTGGCTGTTGTAGGATGTGGTTGTTTTGTATTTTTTTAATGAATTTGTGTGTGTGTGTGTTTAAAAGGTTTTATTTCATTAGCTAGGGGGGAAATCCCTTATTTCATTTGAAAGAGAGTACCATGCTGAGTTCTGGACACCACATCTGAAGAACAGTACTAACAAACTGCATTGTGTCAAGAAGAAAGGGAAGCAGGATTATCTGGAAACTTAAGTCTTTTGAAGATTGGTTGGACGAGTTGAGCATGTTTAGCCTGGAGAAGATCAGATTAAGGGGTAGTCTCCAGATCTCTCCGAAGGGTTGTCACACTGCAAATGGAGCAGGTTTGTTCTTTGAGGGCAGGAATAGGCCCAGTGAGTGGAAAACTGCGGCGTCCAGTGAAACATCTTAACAGCACAGGCTATTTGAGGGTGAAGCAAATGGCATTGGGAGGTGGAGGGCTCTCCTTCACTCTTGGATCCGGCAGCCATAGTAGCTCCAGAACTTCTGACTGGTTGCCAAGGGGACACATCCAGCAGCACTAAAGAAACGTGGAACATGCTTTGTTGGTGTGCAAGCCATAGTTCCTACACGTACAAATGGGTCGGGGTGTTTATCTTGGTGTGTTTCTTGTTATTGTAGTTAATGTTGTTGTTGTTTAGTCATGTCCAACTCTTCGTGACCCCATGGACCAGAGCACGCCAGGCACTCCTGTCTTCCACTGCCTCCCGCAGTTTGGTCAAACTCATGTTGGTAGCTTCGAGAACACTGTCCCACCATCTTGTCCTCTGCCATCCCTTGTGCCCTCAGTCTTTCCCAACATCAGGGTCTTTTCCAGGGAGTCTTCTCTTCTCATGAGGTGGCCAAAGTATTGCAGCCTCAGCTTCAGGATCTGTCCAGTGAGCACTCAGGGCTGATTTCCTTCAGAATGGATAGGTTTGATCTTCTTGCAGTCCATGGGACTCTCAAGAGTCTCCTCTAGCACCATAATTCAAAAGCATCCATTCTTCGGCAATCAGCCTTTTTTATGGTCCAGCTCTCACTTCTATACATCACTACTGGGAAAACCATAGCTTTAACCATACGGACCTTTGTCGGCATGGTGATGTCTCTGCTTTTTAAGATGCTGTCTAGGTTTGTCATCGCTTTTCTCCCAAGAAACAAGCGTCTTTTATTTTCGTGACTGCTGTCACCATCTGCAGTGATTGTGCAACCCCAGAAAGTAAAATCTCTCACTGCCTCCATTTCTTCCCCTTATACTGGCTACCAATTCTGGACTCCATTAAAAGTGCTAGTTTGGGCCTCTAAAGACCTTCAGAGCCTGGTACTGAAGGACTAGTGCTGCAGTTAGTCTAATGGAAAAGGACTCTTTAGACTGTGATGTGTTTTACTCTTCTTATTTCAAACTGTGATACGAGTTAACATTCTTGCCTTTGGAAGCCCCTCCTGTGAATCTTGCTGAATGGGGCCCTGCACTGCCTCAAAGTCCTGCCTCGACAGTGTCAAGAGGAAGGATCACCCCTCACAGCTGAAACTTGTGTCAGCAACCAGTTGGTTAAATTAAGGAGAAGGTGGGGATTCTGTGGCCCTCCAGATATTGGACTCCAACTCCCATCAGCCCCAGCCAGTATGAGAAATGGATTGTGGGAACTGTAGTACAATGACATCTGGAGGGCCACTGGTTCCCAATCCCTGATTTAGGGTCTGATGCTGGTTTCCGTATTTATTTATGTTTTCTGTTGATGTTTTCCTTTCATCTGATCATATGATTTGTGTGCCACTTTGAGATTTCGAAAAGCAGTTTATAATCTCTAAAATCAATCTGCCAGCAAATGCATTTCTGCCAACACAAGTCAACACAAAAGAATGTTCAATAAAAAGGGGATTAGTTGTCACCTTATGTCTTTGAAAGCAAATGTCACACACCTCTGCTGCTGCTGCTGCTTTTAACAGCTGACCCAAATAAATGTGGGAATTATATGTCAGAAAGGCATGCTCCAGCTTTGGTGGTGATAAATTAATTCATTTCAGCCAAACTAAAAAAGTGGGATGCTTCTGTAAAAATGGTCATCATGTGAGCCACTGTTAAACAAAGCCTCTTCACTGTGCCATGGTTGGCTTGCTTAAAGGGTTATTGAATGGCGATATTGTTTGGCGCATTTCATTCAGTTAGAGACTACTTACTATATAGATTGCTGCTTACATGCATGAGCTTCCCTATTCTCTGAGGAGCTCTCTGCAGAAAAACAGGAGCATCACAGAAGTCCACAGGCTGTAGGGTGGTCCACAGGCTGTACTGTATTCACAGGAACAAAAAAAGAATTGTATTCAAACTAAATGGAAAATTGTATTTAACCTTTCTTCCCCGAAACCACACTGGAACAGAGCCCAAACCATTACTTTGGAAGTCTTAAATGAAAATGAACAGGGGCAGGCCTTAGAAATGCAAGTTACTAGTCCCAAATAAGGGTCTATCGAGGAAGGCTGAAGTGGTGGTATATTCACTGCCGCAAATCATAAGCATGTCAAGGGGCTGGTAAGCAGCACCAGGATGGAAACCTGTTGCTTTTGAAGGAGCTGTGATTTACGGTAATCTCCTGCCATTCACTGGCCTGATTCTGCAGATCAACAGAGTTCAGCAGGCTACATCTGTGCGAGGGCAGACAGCCTTGCAGGATATCGCATCCTGCCATTACTCAAACTGCAGTAGGTACATTTAGAAAAGTATTTGGCAACATGAAGCTGGATAGTGTGACAGTAAGAGAACAGATGAGTGTATGTTGCGGGGAGCGGGGTGTAATAATAATAGTAACTATGCTTTTTCATTATATCTCCTTCAATATCCCACCGACATTCTAGCAAATCCATTTCTAAATGTTTCTCTTTTTTAAATTTCTGCAGGTGTAATTTTTTTAGTCTATTCTAGTATTAACATGAGCAGACAACATCCGTCGATAAGTTAAAGTCATCATCCCATGCATAGTAAAGGTAAAGGGACCCCTAACCATTAGGTCCAGTCGTGGCCGACTCTGGGGTTGCGGCGCTCATCTCGCTTTATCGGCTGAGGGAGCCGGTGTACAGCTTCCGGGTCATGTGGCCAGCATGACTAAGCCGCTTCTGGTGAACCAGAGCAGCACACGGAAACGCCGTTTACCTTCCCGCCGGAGCGGTACCTATTTATCTACTTGCACTTTGACGTGCTTTCGAACTGCTAGGTTGGCAGGAGCTGGGACCGAGCAACAGGAGCTCACCCCGTTGCGGGGATTCGAACCGCTGACCTTCTGATCAGCAAGTCCTAGGCTCTGTGGTTTAACCCACCCATCGCATGCATAGAATCTAAGAATTGCAGAGTTGGAAGGGACCCTGCGGGTCATGTAGCCCACCTCAATTTCGGAATCTCAAACTAAAGCATCCCTAACAGAGGGACATCCATTTATATTAATATCAGTTATATTAATCACTCCCAGGCAAATCAGCCTTTATTGAAAGGGTTCTGAGTAATGCATAAACATAGGAGACTGTGGGAGGGCCACTGCTCAGTAGCAGAACATCTGCTATAAATGCAGAAGGTTCCAGGTTTAATCACTGACATCTCTAAGTAGAGCTAGAAAAAGACTCCCTGTCTGCAGCTCTGGAGAGCCTCTGCCAGTCAGTGTCGATAGATGTAAAAATGGTCTGACTTGGCAGATATTGCGATATTCCTATGTAAGCTTGCTTCTGCCAGGTCAGATGATTTGTACATTTGTTTAGGGAAGCTTTTAATGTTTGATGCATTACTGTATTTTAATATTGTGTTGGAAGCCGCCCAGAGTGGCTGGGGAAACCCAGCCAGACCGGCGGGGTATAAATAATAAATTATTATTATTATTATTATTATTATTATTATTATACATCAGAACTGCCTACTTTGACTCACAGCAGCTCCCTAGGCCCTTGGGCAAAGGTATTTTTACATTACCTGTGCTACCTGCTCCTTTTAACTGAATAGCCCAGGGACTGAACCTTGGACCTTACAGTGCATACAGTGGATGTCAGTGATCTGCGGTCAGTCATTAAATCAATAGGGTTTTTTGTTTTTTTAAAAAAGATTATTATCTGTTGTTTTTTAAGTCCCCAAAATAAAAAGGATCTTTCTGAAGGATGCATGGGAGGCAGATACGAGGAAAATGTAATTACGTGGCAATTAGAAATGTAATCTCATTCCCTTGCCTGTCTGGTTTATGAAGACACTTCATTTACTTAGGAACCAGCATGTTTCATCGGTACTTAATCATGTCCCACTGCGAGGGGTTGCATGATGGATGCGAAACAGCATGCTGAGATTTAGTGGTTTAAGAACTACCTGTTGACTATCACAGAGGTTGGGGAAAAGGGGGAAATTCCAACTTAAGAGACTGCGATGGAAGGAAACAGACAAAAAGTAAGAGTTTGAAAGTTGCCATTTGCCAACCTTCATCTAATTACAAGCTGATGAACTAAGAAAAAATACTGGTTTTAGGTAGATTTTGCATGCATACCCCCTCTGCTGGGGAAACAGTTGCTTGTTAAGGCTTCAGAGCCACCTGTTCCCGTCATCTCCATATGATTTCCCTAAAACACATCTATATCATAATAACATAGTGTCCTTGTATTTCCTACCATTTTACTTCTATCTCAACTTACACAGTCTATTTTTTTCCTTCACCATATGGTCTCCTTGATCTACTTTTGTTCTTTTCAGTGATTACTTTTTTTTTTACGCTCCGTGGAGTGTAGCCAGTAAGATCCAGTAGGATGCGTTTTTAGGTCAGGGACTAATTTTTTTTCCCAGGCTCACATTATAAGCTTGGGTGATTTATCCATGCTCTATTTATAGTGAAAAGATGGCAAGTCTCATAACTTTTAGAACCGTGGCATTGCAGAGCTCACCTTGGCGTTCCAATCTCCTGTTGATGGATTCTTCCCACCTGCTTAGGTGATGAAGCTGTGGCTCGGGTTCCTGAATCAGGGTGGTTTGGTGGGCCCCTGCATTGTGCTGCCGGGTTGTAATTGAGATGTACGAGAGAGAAACAAGCAGCTGATCCATGTTCTCATAAGCAGTGTGTGCTACACCCAGGACTGTGCCACTTCAGAATACAGGCAAAGGGGTGCGTGTTTGGGAAAAGGCCATAGCTCAGTGGTAGAGGCCCTGCTGGGTGTGAAGAGCTCCCAGGCATCTCCAGGTAAGGCTGAGAAAGAGTCAGTCATGAAATCCTACCATCAGTGTAGACAACACTGCACCCTTTCCTCCACGATCAAGCAGTCTCGGGGAGTTGTGTACCTTGTCCTTCTCATGGACATTTACATTTTTGTGTGTTTATGCACATAGAACATAGAGAGTGTCCTGCTGGATCAGGCCCAAGGCCCATCTAGTCCAACATCCTGTTTTGTTTTCTTTCTTTTCTTTTTGTGTATAATTTTTATTAAATTTTCTGTTTTACAATTTACAATATTCATTTAAACAACCTTAAAATGTCAATGACTTCCCTTCTTCTCTTTCCATGGTTCATTTTTCATATCATAAATCCCCACATATTTTACATAAAGTAAACCATTCAGTATTCCATTATTTGTTTTATTGTTGTTAGCCGCCCTGAGCCCGGCTTCGGCTGGGGAGGGCGGGATATAAATAAAAATTTATTATTAGTATTGTTGTTGTTGTTGTTTAGTTGTTTATTTGTTTAGTCGTGTCCGACTCTTCGTGACCCCATGGACCAGAGCACGCCAGGCACTCCTGTCTTCCACTGCCTCCTGCAGTTTGGTCAAACTCATGCTGGTAGCTTTGAGAACACTGTCCAACCATCTCATCCTTTGTCGTCCCCTTCTCCTTGTGCCCTCAATCCTTCCCAACATCAGGGTCTTTTCCAGGGAGTCTTCTCTTCTCATAAGGTGGCCAAAGTATTGGAGCCTCAGCTTCAGGATCTGTCCTTCCAGTGAGCACTCAGGGCTGATTTCCTTCAGAATGGATAGGTTTGATCTTCTTGCAGTCCATGGGACTCTCAAGAGTCTCCTCCAGCACCATAATTCAAAAGCATCCATTCTTCGGCGATCAGCCTTCTTTATGGTCCAGCTCTCACTTCCATACATCACTACTGGGAAAACCATAGCTTTAACTATACGGACCTTTGTTGGCAAGGTGATGTCTCTGCTTTTTAAGATGCTGTCTAGATTCCATTATTACATCCATCAAAACTTGTTTACACTGTTGAATTTATCTTAATGCTGCCAACATTTTCAAGTGTACACAGTCCCCCACCCATATATTCAATAAATATTTTCCAATCTTCTTTAAACGTATGTTCTTCTTGTTCTCTTATTCTATATGTTCGGTCTGCAAACTGCACATATTCCATCATTTTAAGTTGCCATTCTTCTTTAGTTGGGACCTCGCTTGCTTTCCACTTGGGGGCTAACAAAACATGGGCCGCAGTAGTGGCATACATAAATAACCTTTTTTCACATACAGATGGGAATTTCCATCAGTATTATCCCCAACAAAAAGAACTCTTGGGTCTTTTTTTTTTTAAAGAATTTTTAAACATTTTTTTTCAATTCATTATGAATTATTTCCCAATACTCTTACCCTTTTACAGGTCCACCATATGTGAAAGAACGTACGTTCCAGCATCCTGTTATCACAGAGACCAACCAGATGCCTATGGAAAACCCACAAGCAGAGCCTGAGTACAACAGCACACCTGCAATTCCCAGCAATGGGTATTCAGTGGAGGGAGTGGATCACGTGTCACTGTGATCCAGGCTAAATCTGTGGGTGAGAGGGAGAGGACCTTTCTCTCCATTCTGAATACCAGCGACACTAACTGCATGTTTGTTTTGAAGTGTGGCCAGAGACACATGGGAATATCACAGGGCAGCACAATGACCCTGGAACTTCCAGCTTAACTTTTGTCACTGAAACACGCCTAGTGATAGCAGAAATGTACAATATTTTCTGTTTATGGTAGCTATGCACTGTTTCAGCTATAGCTGCAAATGAGTGGTGATTCCAAAAGCCTTATAGAGTTTCCCTTCTCCCACTTGATCTGCCTATAATTTTAACAGTCAAGCAAGCATGACTTCAAAACAGAAACCTTGAGGTGGCATAATGCTCGTTGCTCACTCTATTGCCTTGCTTGAAGCCACATGATTTGGGCACAAGAGATGAGGAACATTGGCACACAGCAACATAGACTCTTTGGGCAAGGACTGTAGCTCAAGGGCAGAGTTCCTGCTTTGCATGCAGAAGGTCCCAGGTTCAATCCTCAGGAAGGTGAAACCTTAAAGATTTGGCTGCTGCAGCCCCTCAGGTGTCCCTATTTTCCAGGGACAGTCTGGGATTTACAGAAGCCATCCTGGTTTCTGACTTGATCCTGGAATGTTCTGAGCTAAACAGCCCCGGGGTCTGAATCAGTATAAGATAGCCTCCTCTGTTCTGTGGCTTATACCAAGTCAGACCACTGGCTCATTTAGCTCAGTGTCTTTCATATGGCCAATCTTTCCTAGCAGTTGGGAGGATGAAGAACTGGAAGATGAGCTGCAAGCTGCTGGATTCCCCTTGAGAGGCTCCAAATATGAAGTGTTTCCTAAAATGATCCCGTAACCAGCAGACAAGGCACATCTTCAGGGGCAATGAGTATTGTAGTTACATATTCTTGGCCACAGCTCTGTAGCACGACAGTTGGAAATGGCAAATGCACGTATGGTTACCAGATTTTTTCAATGAATCCGGGGACACTTTTTTTTTTTTTTTGAAGCTGAGTAGCAACAGGGAGTCAGTAGTGAGGATGATGAGGCAAAAGACCCTGGGCCCAAGAACACATGCATATTGTATAAAGGTGCAAAGCCCTTCTTTCGCACCCTGTGAAACATAAATGGGGAGAGTTTTTTTAAAAAAACTGGGCAATGGCTGCCTGCCGGCGGCTCCCGAGCCTCCCCCAATCTGTCAGACCAAAGGGGGAAGGGGGCAGGAGTTCAGGGGAGGCTCGGGAGTCCTGGGCAGGCAGCACGCTGTTGCCCAGTTTTAAAAAAAACTCTGCGCATTTATGTTTCACAGGGTGCAAAAGAAGGGCTTTGCACCTTGCCTGGCAGAGAAACCACGTGCCTTGCACCCCTCCTGGGCAACGTCCACCCGCCCGCAACTCCCGAGCCTCCCCCATCAGTCAAAACAAAGGGGGAAGGGGGCAGAAGATCTGTACTGCCGGACATCCCCAGTTCCCCTTCGGTAGTGGCAGTGGCAGCGGCAGTCAACAGCCCGGAGCCAACCAGAGCCAACTGTGCTACCAGGCTGGCTCTGGGCTGCTGAGGCTGCCGCTGCCACATTTCCTGGGGACAGGTTTGCAAATCTAGGGACATTCCGGAGATGGAATTTGTCCGGGGATGGAATTTGCAAATCTGAGGACTGTCTCAGGGGAACCAGGGATGTCTGGTAACCCTAAGCCTGGCCCAAAGTCTGGGTTCCATTTTTCAAGAGGTGACCTCATCCTCTATCTGCATAAAATGCAGATACTTATTATTTACGATAATGTTGCAATCCATTTCTTTACCAAAGGGGTGGTATGGGGTGTTCTTTGTTCTCCTGTAGATGCAAGAGGATCCATACAGAATACCCAGATGAAAAGTTTTTGCAAATCTTTGTTATTTATCTGCATAATGCAATTCCTTTGGCACCAAGTCTGTGTTTCCTTGTTGGAGTGTGATTTGTTGCTCTATTTTTTATTTTATTTTTTTAAGCATTAATAATTTTGAGGTGTTTTTTTGCAAGACTAAAATGGTGGGGTTGAGACAGTTGCGCTGAATGTGGATGCTGCATTAAGTTAAATAATTCTTCTGTAATAATAATAATAATAATAATAATAATAATAATAAATTGGGCCTTTTAGCTTTGACAGATGAAACAGGCAAGGAGGTCTGGAACAGAACAGCCTGACACTTGTATGTCACGCAAGCACTCCAGATGGGAAACTGTTTAATGGCAGCACAGCTTGTTTTTGTGCCTCGGTTTGGTTTCTTACATTTCCCTTTTGAAAGTGCTTTTATTGTTCTCGTGGGGGTAGGGAGGCAGTAGCTCCCACCATTTTAAATAAACACTAAAGCCTACTATGACTGGATAATTATAGCTATGAAAACGTCAAGTCATCAGGACGAAAGAAGGCAGCGATCTCAGTGCCAAACACAGACACACACACACACACACACACACACTGCAAACACTGGCACAAGGCGGCTAGAGTGTAAGAGAAGGATGAGAGAGAGCGGCGGCTGGCTGTGTCAGGTTAAAGCAGGGATGGAGGACCTGAGGCCCTCTAGATTTGGCCAATAGTCAGGGACGATGGGACTTGTAGTCCAACAGCATCTGGAGGGCTACAGGTTCCCCAATTCTGGGATACAGCAAAAGTAGGACTTCTCCCTCACTTACAGCTTTTTACTTAAAAATTAAATTTGTATACCGCCCTATACCAGTAGATCTCAGGGCGATTCACAGCGTAAATTTCACAATATAAAAAACACAAAATGATAAAAATGGGAACAAAACTAACTAGACATTCCCCCTTCCCCAACACATTTGAGAGGGCATCATTCCTGACCATTGACTATCTTGGCTGTGGCTGATGGGAGTTGTAGTCCAAATGTCTGGAGTGTCCCATGTTGCCTACCACTGAACTAAAAGCATTCATCATCAATACTTGCTAATAATACTCATAGCTCAAAAAGGGGGGGGAGGAGAGAGAGTCTCATTCATGGGACCTTAGGGGCTAATAGATTTGTTGTAGCATAAGCCTTTTTGAACTAGATACCACTTCATCAGATATTAACTAATCTTGCAAAGATTATCAAGTTTGGCTCCTCTTTTCATGCTTCATGCTGTCAACCAGTCCCATCAGCAGGAGATGAACCAAGGGCGCTTGAGTCACCCTGGGGTCAGTAAAGTGCTAAATCAAGACATGAGATCTCCCAAGGAATAAACTAGAAAAATATCAGGACAGCCCTTCTGGATTAGACCAAAGGTCCATGTAGTCCAGGACCCAGTTTCCATTGCCGGCCAGTCTCGGAGATGCTTACAAGACAGACATGCAGGTAACAGTCTTCCCCTTGGTTTGTTCTTAGTGCTTGGTCTTCATAGATACATTGTGTGCTGGTCCCAGGGGGGGGGTTACCGTGTGGCGTGGTCAAAGTCCGGTCCTAGGTCAAGGGTAAGGAGGCTATCCATCAGGAGCGAAGCGAAGGTCCGAAGCAAGGGGTCAGGCGTGGTCAGGAACTCAGGAGAGCAGGTCAGGGAGCCGGCAGGAACAGTTCACCAACGATGTTGCTCCCGCAACCTGGGACTGGGCTGACTGGCCTTTATCTTCTCTGAGGCATAGGGCGGTCCCGGCTCACAGGTGACTCGCCTCTCCTGGCCTGGAGGCGAGCACTCCTCCTGTGAGAACTTAGTTCCCTCCGCCTCTCTGCCCTGAGCCTCTGCAGCTCCGGAGAGGCTGGAGGGTTACCGGACCCAGAGGCAACCTCACCTTCCCCTGACAGGGCTGGGAGAAGAGCACCTGCAGGCAATGGGTCCTCGATTACCTCCAGAGCCAGAGTGGATACATCTGGTGTCTGCTCCTGAGGATCCGGCACAGGTGAGGGCCCTTCAGGTTCAAGCACCTGCCCCAACTCAGCTGGCCCTGGAGGCGGGGACTCCTGTGCAGGCTGGGATTCCTCAGGTTCAGATTCTGAATCAGATTCCCAGGCCATCACACATTGCTTCTGAATTCTGAAGTTCCATTTTGTTACCATGCCACATGGACATTGATAGACCTCCTCTCAATCTCTGTTCATCAAAGATCTCTGTTCACTCAATCTCTGTTCACTCTCTCCTTGTAGCAAGATTGGGGAATGTATGTCCCTCCAGGCATTGTTGGACTCCAGCTCCCATCAGCCTCTTACAGCATTGCCAATGGTTAGGGAATGATGGAAGTTGTAGTCCAGCAACATCTGAAAGGTGATAGGTTTCTCAGGCACACAACACCTTCCTAGCACTTTTTGTCTCTTTTTAGATGAGGAATTGGGAAACTGTGTCTCTCCATATATGGATTAAATACAACTCCCATTGTATCTGACTACTGGCCCTGAAGACTGGGACTGATGGGAGTTGAAACCCAACATCTAGAGAGCTTCAAGTTTCCCATCCCTAGTTTAGATGCTTTCTTCCTCTATCAATTTGCCCCTTTTGGTCAAAACATGGGAAGGGCTGGCAGATGAAACTGATGGACTATATGGAACTGGCGGAAATGACTGGCAGAATCCGCGACCAGGGAGAAGAGTCGGTGGAGGAAGATTGGAAGAAATTCAAAGACTATCTGCAGAAACATTGCAAAATTAAAGAATGTTAGAGTGATGTTGGATTGAAAACAAGAGGCTTCCAGCTGTACAGGATTTAAAGTTATAGATAGATTAAGATTAAGGATTAGGATTAAAAAAGTTTAAGGAAATGGAAATTTGGTTTTTAAGAGGTAAAATTTTAATATTATATTATATTAAGATTAAAGATTGGGATTAAAAAAGAGGGAAAGAAATTGCTGGACAAACAATTTGAACTGGAATACAAAAGAGGGAGGTATGAGGAGGTCCAGAAAATAAGTAAACTTAAAAATGGAGATGAAAAGGTGATATTGTTTTTACCTGTTTTTTTTCTTTTCTTTTTTTTCTTTTGTTTTTTGTTCTTTTTTCTTTTTCTTTTGGATTATGTATGTATCTTTGAATTGTGTATTTCTTTTCTATGTTTTCATGTTTAATCTTTTATTGATGTGTTCTTTTTATTGGAAAATTTAATAAATATCATTAAAAACAAACAAACATGGGAAGGGCTGTGCTGGATCATATCACAAGCTTTTCTAGTCCAGCATCCCTTTCACAGAGTGGCAAACCAGACACCTACACGAAGCTTCCAAACAAGACACTAACTGGTATTCAGAGACATACAGTGGTACCTCGGGTTACAGACACTTCAGGTTACAGACACTGCAGGTTACAGACTCCGCTAACCCGGAAATAGTACCTTGGGTTAAGAACTTTGCTTCAGGATGAGAACAGAAATCACGCAGTGGCAGCAGGAGGCCACATTAGCTAAAGTGGTACTTCAGGTTAAGGACAGTTTCAGGTTAAGAACGAACCTCCGGAATGAATTAAGTACTTAACCCGAGGTACCTCTGTACTGGCTCTGACACTTGAGGCAGCAGCCATTGATAGCTTCGTCCTCTGTGGGTTTGTCCAAACCACATTTAAACCATCCAAGTTATTCATGG